CGAGTTGTGAGCCCTAGGGCTTTGTACGCCGAAATTTGACCTCGCTGGTATGGAGATAACTCCTTGCCATAGCTCCTATTAATTTCAAGAGGCGCCAGAGCCTTGCGTTGAGCCATGGTAGTTGTTTGAAAAAGGGTGTAAAAAAACGCGTGTTCAAAAATGACGCGTTTTGTCCGGATACTTTTGCACGTGGCTGTACTACGTAGGGGTATGCTCAAATGCAACGGAGCCCCAAAGACAACCTCTTTACCGGGAGAGGCCCCGAAATTTCAACTAATTATGTATTCTAGGTGGAAGAATCACGATATTGCTCCTTTTACTAATCCTTAAGTCTATTATCTTAAGACCTTGGCCAGATATTGAAAGGCGTCTTTCCGATAATTTTGATATCGGTTCCATGAAATCGGGAGTCTGTTTGGTCTTGATGCGGACATTCTTTAAAACTCTGGTTGGTCGATAGATGTTGCGCTTGAGGATTGCATACGTTAGGCTGTATCCGAGCACATTGCCGACTGGGGCTGCAGAACAGGCCGAGTCGCTAAATGCTCGTCTAAATATGCAGACATCACCCGGAAATCGGTCCTTCGGTCCAAAGGTCAGGAGGTCCTTCTTCACTCAGGGGCTACTCTCCACCCACACACCCACACACCACAAAATGTATATCGTACGAGCAACCAGCCAACCGCCACGTCGTGATCTCTATCGCGGAAGGTTTTTGATTCTGCGAGGAAAGCCCTTGACGATTGCTGTCAAATGCAACCGCTGAAGAATGGGTGCGCCACTTTACTAACACCACCAATTACCGTCTGCTCTTTGCTGCTCTTGGGTCCAGTAACGTAAATGTACCAACAAAGCAATAGTACGGAGTACCCACAAAAACAATGAAACTTCTTGACACTTCCAGTTCCAGCTGCACCCTCAAGCCATCAATTTCAGCTATTTTAATGCATTCCATCTCAAAGAGACCAGGGCGACGTTGTCGTAAATTCAGATGTCAAAATGTGTTCTCAGATTCAAAAGCTAAACAAGCTGGATTACTACTACTACCTACGTTAACTGGTTCGCAACACACACCCTACGCTTTGCCGAAGCGAGATTGAAGGATGCTTGCGGCAGACCTGCTGCAGTTAGCTGCATGGCTTCGGTTCAAGAGACAGCTGATATGCTGTTTGTGCGCGAGGCTGCAGGATTCAAAAGGTTGAGGCAGCCTTCACGCAGCCCCTGCCATGCCATTCCTGTAACAGTATAGATGCAAGGTCGGCTCGCAGCGCTTCTGGGCGAGATCGCTGTATATTAATTACCTTCTGACTGCTGCAATAAGCATCGTACGTTTGGCACCAACCTGACCCGACTTTCTCGCTATTATGCCTTTCTACTCAGCAGCTTTCCTCTGCGTCGCCGTACTGGTGCCGTTTGCGCACGTCCGGGCCGACTCCACGGTCTTCTCTCAGTTCATCGGGGCGACGACAGCGTCCGGCCCCAGCTCAGGGGACCTCGCTCCTTCATTCACCCTCTGTACTAACTACCTCCACGGGTTACCCGCTCTCACGAGCCTCCCATCCAGCTTGTCGACCCAACTCGAGCAACAGGCCGTTGACGGCGTCTGCCAATTCTGCACCAGTCTCGATCAATCCCGTATCGACTCCTGCTGCAGGCAGGCAACATCCTCCGCCTGTTTCGACCAGTTCGCCGGCGCAAATACTGTACGGACCACGCCGGCCTCAGCCAGTGCGACCCCAACCGCCACCTCAGCCGGCGGCCCGACTTTAATGCCCCCCAACTCCTCTAACAGCGGTGTAATTGCCAGGGTACGTCTTCAATACTTGATTGTGATCGATACTAAACTTTCAGAAGAAGGATACCCTTGCCGGTTCCTTTGTCGCAGTTATGGTCGGCTTCGCTGGGTGGATTTTATAGGGAGAGGTTGAGTTGGTGGGCATGAGAGGGAGCGCTGGAGTCTTTGAGATATTTTGCAGGAGAATTGAAGAAGATGGGTCAGAGCAATTAGGTGTATATTCAATGGTGTAATATTAGTATTTGAGAAAACATACAAATTAGAGAAACATAAGAAACAGCATTAAACTGTTGCCAAGCTTGAAAGGGAACCTATATACATACTTGATTTTGATACCCAGCTTCATTGTTGGGACTAGAATGAGAGAAGCTGATATGTATCGGCATCAAGACAATTCCATCGCAAACCGCTGTCGATGCGACTACACAGAATTTGTCGGGGCCTGGCGCGTCTCGTGAAGTTACTGTGCATGGCCGCATCCCGCTCCAGAACCAACCGATCTGAAGTGATTGAATGGGGTTGACAGGAAAGGTCCCGCAAGAAAAAAACATGATTTAGATTAATGATCAGATTCCATTAAAAATTTTATGACTATATCAAAACCAGTCGATCTTGAATCAGATCAATCTGATTCCGATCTAGCGAAGAGAAAGTGATTGCCAGTGGATAGTGGCCGCATACTAGTTCCTAAGGTATAGTAGTACATGATGCCTCCGAGGATCCCTTCACGTTGCAGGTGAGGATAAGGCATATGGGCTCGTTCGAAGGAAAGAATCGAAGGTGTTGACGCTCAACATGCTCCGAGCCAACCTTGACCGCTGCATCATCTGCATGCAGTGTACTAGTATCCATCAAATCAAATAAACCAAATCATGACCCTCATTTGATTTGCTTATCTATCCCAGAGGTCGATTTGATTTGATTTGACTCACTTGTCAGATAGAGTCAATTGTTAGTAAGGAAATGTTCTGTTAGGAGGACTGTCGAGGATTTTCATCTCAAAACGAGTCCGCCAAGACCTTTGTCTTTTCAAAAATGACTCCCCTAAATATTTTGAACCAACATCTTTTTTACTAAGACTTTTGTTTGACGACTCTAATTTTTCATTTGATTTGACCAAAGCACAGAGTTGATTTACTAGTATCTGCCAAGCATTTGATTTGGTTTATTTGACCCAATTGGGGAATTTTAGAGATAGACACGGAGGAGGCGCAGGAGGCAGAGGATGCGCCATCTGTGAGTTGTTTCTCGATGATCTACACAAGTATTCTAGTAGTTGAGCTGCAGCAGCAGATTTTAGGCCGCCGAGGATTCCTAACACTTTTGGAACGCACAGTAGTTGCATTGCAGGTGGAGAATCCGCACGTCAAATGTGAATTAAGGGAAGGTTTTGAGCTCAGCCATCCAAAACACTTGGTGGGAACTGGGACGTCTATTAAACATCGAATGCATTATTTTGAATTTGGTGTATTACTAGTAGGAACGGACCTTGGGTTTCTTAGTTCTGTTATGATGATTTAATCGTTGTGGGTTGGTAGTTTCAAATACTACCAACGCCGGGATGTTGCAGCTTGTTTCTAATAACAGCGATCCTTCCATTAACACCCTATAGTACTTAATGATCTGCTCGTCTCAGTCAAAGGAATTATACAACGTCTTCATTGTTTCATTCCTGCCGCTCTACTTCAACTAATTTGGTGCAACAGCCCCTATAGCTACAGAATCACCGTTTCACAAGGCGTCACTACGGAGATAAGGGCTCGCCAAATACAGAAACATAGCGAATCTGTGAGATACGTTTGTACCCACACATGCCACTCACAAAACCGAACTCGTGATCATTTCTGCATTCAGGCAATGCTTCGATTTGGCCTGAAAAGACATCTTGGTGTTGACTATCCCCGGCAAATTCATCTTGATCCATCGCTAACTGGAAACACATAGTGGCGACTGAAGCCACCGAGCCTCCTCTCTGCAGGAAATTATCCGTAGCAGGCGGCCATTCACCAGTGTTTCGCAGAGTGGCCAGGACGTTGGTTTCCGTCGGAAGGATCTTTGCTCTGAGGCAAGCAGCGATATAGTCGAACATATTAGTAAATCCCTGACGCATTGACTTGTTCGTTTTGAAATTATCCTGGACCTTTTCAGGAACGTACTCGAACATATCACGATGCCAATCGACCCAATCAGGACCCAACTCTCGAAAAACCTCACCATTGAGCAAGTCGTGTTGGATTTCTGCTTGACAAAGAAGAGCATAGGTCATTCGGGGGCTTAGGAAGCCCTCGATACACTGCCCACACGTGCAACCAAAGGTTAGCCGAGCGAGGTCAAGTTGAGATGCTTTCGTCAACCCTTTAAGTCTAGCAATGCATAAGACTGACGATTTGCTGTATCCCTCAAATTTATCCGACATAGGCACAGTCAAATTCATGACCTCTCTACGCGTTCTCTTCCCCTCGAGATCCATGAGAGTAGCTTCCAAAGGCGTGTCCCCGGCATCATTACGTGTACTGAGCATCTGTTCACCAAACTCGTTCTTCATGATCCAGTCGACTGTCCTTGGCTGCGAATTAAGAGCAGCAATATGGAGCAGTGTATTTCCCTCCTTATCAGACATAAACCAAGAAGGATCTGTGGCCGGGGTCTGATGGAGTAATCTTGTCAACTACTCGACACACTGTGCCTCGTCAGGCTCCATTGTGGCTGTCATAAGAGCCAGGGGTAATTTGGAAGTGTCATGATGCGGCACCTCGGGATCGTAATTGTCGTTCACTGATAAGGAATGGCACGGGTGACCGGGATCACTGGCCAGAGCAAACCAATAAGAGGAACCGACTCTTCGGAAGCCCAGCGATCGCGAGAAGGCCTGGGCAATGTTATCATAAGATTTCAGAATGATCAGTCGCTCCGTTTCTGTTTTCTCGTCCACCTCATCTCCTAACTTGTCGGTCCAGAGTACGGTCGGCCAAGTTATCGCAAAGAAACCTCGAGTTTTCTCTCTAGTCTTTTGCAGCATTGCTGTTACGACTCTATTTCCAAGCCCGCGTCGCCGATACTCTTCATCTATCTTAATTTTCTCAATAAGCAGGATATCACCATCGTCGAGTTCTTCTTTCCAGATCCCAGAACCTTTCCTAATCGAATGATTCTTATACTCAGGCTTCAAGCATCCGTAACGATCGAATAGGTCAAACGCGAGAAGGCAAGTCTCTCTGGAGGGCTCTTCCATCTCATGATAGAAAATACTACGGATCTTGCTCCTTCGAATCAATTTTCCCACGCAGTGACCAATTTGTTTGTGATGTGAAACATCTGCGGTGCCTCCAGTGTAGGTCACAGTTCCGTCCAAAGGCTCTAGCCACTCGAACTCAGCAAATTCGTCATCAGAAGATTTTTCCGTAAATTCTTCAAAAGAACTATCATCTTCGATTCGGTCTTCGGGATACTCGTCTTCAATCAGCAGTTCGTCATAATCCATCGACTCGCCATCTGCAGGGCCACATTCAATCTGCCCAGTGTTCATATTTTCAGGAGCCTGGGGTTCGGACAACGTAGTGCTGCTGATTTCAACTCTGTCTTCTGCCCCTTCTGATTGCGTATGGACGTCTACAATCAGCTCCTCTACTTTGTCCTCCTTTTCCTTGACGTCCAGAGATGTAAGTCCCAACTCCTTCCATCTTGTTTCCATCCGATCTTTGTGCGATTTTGGATCATTTCGGCCTGCCTTGGTCAAAGATCTAAGCTTGATCTCGACGATAAAATGATCGGCTGAGGCAGAATCAGGGGGACTTTGGACGCCTTCCTCTGTCTGTCGTTTCTGTAAGTATATCTCTTTCTTATGGAGGTTTGAATAGGTGTTAGGCTCACTCCTCTTTCAGGAAGAGAGCAACTAACTCGAGGCTTCTTGGCATCTACACCCCTGATTAACTCATCTCCTGGACGTTTTTGGGAGCTCATGGCCATGGTTTAGACTCAGGATATGTGACCGAGAAAAGATGTTAATCGTTTTGGATGGAATATAAAGTTGAAAAGTCGCCAAGAGACGGATGGAAGTGACTTAGAGTGAGGGAGGAGAGAGCAATAAGGGTAGGTGGGAGCCTGGCAGCCATGGTTGCTTTTTGCGGCACAGCCCAGGGCCTGTGATATAGTATTTGGGCCATAGGCTTGGCAGAGTGCCAATTAGCAGGAAAAGACCCTCTTAAAACAATGCTAGGGGAGCCATCAAAGTGCGCTTGAATGAAGCCTAACTGTATTATTTAGAGTGTACAAGGATACGCAGCTTTGTCGTCCGTGATGTAATCAGATCTTAATATCTACGTCGTATTTTGCTGAGAATATGGTCATAGTGTGATCAACACATGCTTCTCTTATTATATTAGTAGTATGGTGGCCATTTGACAGAATAGCTGTCATTTCCACACTTAGCTCATATCTTTAGTTACCCCTTTCCCTGGTAAGCAATGTTGATTGTCCGCCAAGCCTAATACGTGCGGCCAAGCTGTGACAATCTACAACTATAGTACCATGTATCTCTGTAGTTAGTTAACTTAGAAGTACCCCGTAACTTAGAGAGATTCAGACACCTTATGGTTTCCCAGTCCCCACGACGGAAAGGGCTAGCCAAGTTCAGGCATGCGAAGAGAACGGACGCTCGTGTCGTGGTAGGATAGAGAATTTACATACACTAGTAAGAACTTAGTAATGAAAATTGGTGGTTAAAAGCACTAAGACTTGTAATTTCTTGGCACGCTAATATGCAGCCAGAATTGCCTGCGCGTGAGATAATATGTAAAGAAAGACTCCAGAAAGCCATTAAGATAAGTTTACCTAGAGCGTTGCATTAGAACAGCTATTCGAAGTGGGTACCGTAAAACCAGCCAATCAGCCCTTATTAGTAACTTCCAAAGATTGATGCTTAGGGGTCCGGCTCATCAACATAAGCCCTAACGGTTGAGCACCCAAATCAAGCATACAACCTCGTCTATTGGAGCCATCAGACGCCTCGGTCGGCGTACAGCGCTGTTATATTGCAATGCCTTCCTCAATCGTGCCGATGGTGGGCTCCCAGTCCATGGCACTACTGTGCAAGGACTCACTATCGTCCGTCGACAGGGTTCTGTAAGACGTTATAGAGAGTCCAAGCTGCCGCCTGAGGGATGAAGTCGATGCTGAATCTCGCCGCTGACTGCGGATTGAGAGATCATCAGCGTTGCTCTTGTGACCCTGCCCCCGGGCTATCCTTCGCTGCAAGGACAACATCGAGGCAAATCCGCTGCTCTGGGAAGATCGAGGCGTTATAGAAATAGTTGGATCAAACGATCCTGTTGGAAAGGGTGAATAACTAGGTCCGTTAATCGGTCTCGTTGGAATAGTGGAGGATTTGGTCGTTGAATCAATGGACGCTTTGGGAAAAAGTGAATAACAGGGTCCGTTAAGGGATCTCGTTGGAATAGAGGAGGTGGCCGCTGAAGCCTGGCTAAGTGAAAATGATAAAGATATGTTCGAATGTTCTTGTACGAAGGCGCTGACGTGATCTGCTTCCAGTATTTGACTTGGTACTTTTGAAGTGTTGACCGTGGCATAAGCCGTGAGGAATATCTCGATGAATTCGGGATGAGAGCTCTCCCACAGCGCTCTCTCTTGCACACACCTCAGGTTTTGGGCTGTGTGATAGCATTGCCATGGAACCTCAATCGAGCGACTCGATACGCCGTTTACTACCCAGCGTGGTGCTAGACTCATGAGCGCCACTGATGCGGTGGCAAAGATTTCAGGGGTAGAGATTCCCATAAGTTCCCGGATTTGAAAAACCAACTTGGCGATGTTCTCGTCCTCCTCTTCGGCTTTGCTTGCCTTGAGAAAAGCCATCCACAGATGGCAAAAGACAACTGTGGCAAGCTCGCGGAAGAAGGCTTCATCGTCATCCACGTGCCTGGCTTCCAATGCGGGTAATGGCTGGTGCAGTTCCGTGTCGAGCAATCTAGCCGCACACCACGTAAAGATCAGTCGCAAGTTCTCATCGTTGGGGGACTTAGTTCTCCAGCAGAGGTATCCTCCTGGCAACATTGGCTGAAAGGAGCACAAACAGCTGTGATCAGTCGATTCTTCGGAGCGTTCCGAGAGTTTAATGCAGCACTGGTAAAGAAGAAAAGCCGGTCCCCGTCGATCGTTTGGGACATACCCTGAGTCGCATCCCCAACCGTAAGAGCCAGTAAGAACGAATGCGCACTGCTTTGCGGCTTCAATAGGCTGTCCCAATTTCCGCAAAATGTCTGCCAACTGAGCTCGTAATGTAAACTCTGCCGTCGGAAAAAGTTTGAGCTTCTCATTGGCTTCTTGCATCAATTTTTCTATTGCCTGCTTTGCAACCTCTAGCTGTGTCAAACTTTGGGCAGAGCGAGCAACGTTAACAACAGCAGACACCAAGGGATGCATCGTCTCGTGGTTCCGTGCCAACAGAACGTGAAAGTATTTGGTATACAAGTCGTAAGCATTTTGGTATGATCCAGCGGCAAAGAGAAAATGGCCTGCTTCGGCGATGTTTTGTAGGTCTTGAGCAGAGAGCATGGGTTCGACATCATAGCGCTCCATAGCATCAATAAGATCTCGTGGTGCAATGACCTCGATGCTGCCAGGATATAGATTGCTTTGCAAAGGCCGACTTGGGTTGGGCGTTACCGGTTGAACACTTGTACTGCCACCTGGTTGAAATAACGGGACTGGCCTTCTCTTGTTATCGACATTCTCCATTTCGGCTTCGGAGTTAGCAACAGACGGGATGTGCGCTCGTAGGGGTGTTTCGTGTTCCACGGCGGGAGATGGTGTGGACTCTGCAGTCGGACTGAGCAACGATTCTGCGACAGCCTCGACTTGAAGGTTACTCGTTCCCTCACGTAGCGGCAAATTAAATGATGGGTCCCTTGTGGTGGCTGCCGGAGTTGTTCCAATTCCATGCAGACTCGGTGCCGCCTTTACATTAGGAAGCTCCCACTTCTGGAATCTTGACTTGTATTGAGGCCGCCTAAAGTAAGTTAGACTTTATGCAACCCAAAATTGGTTGCATGGCGGCATTAATGCTGCTGCTGCAGCACGACAGATCTTCCTTGGGGATGAGAAACTTATTTAGTAAGGGCAGATGAAACAAACGACATACGAAGCTGTAAAACTATAGTCTCGTGCCATAGTGACCATCAGAGCCTCGAGAGTCATCAGCGGACGAAGTAAAACGATGACATCTTTATGCTTCTCCCATTCTGCATCTGGAATCTGTGCAGCCTGGGGGGCTCGACCGTTCCAATTCAGCTTCATTCCCCACTTCCAGGCTCCTACAGCTAAGAGGCAAGAGTGACGGCGCCTCAGTATGCGGACCTTGTTCTTGCCGTATTGATTGAGAAAAGCGGACGGAAGGACTTGAGAGTTAAGGGAGCCAGGCGAGCGCAGGTGAGAAAAAGTCGGGGTACTCACAGTGTACAGGGAGGCGGCAGCGGTTGCATGCATGGAAAAGATGAAATCAGTGTTCAATTCCTAACGGTGCCATCCTGGTGGGGATCGTTTTGTGGCTCTTGTGGCAGCGTGGCGGAAGTGTCAAGGGTCAAGAATAGTTTCCGGGTTGGGATAAGTTCTCAATCAAGGTTCAGTGGCACTCGATATTCTCCGGCCCTTCGGCCCCACCTCCCGGCGGCGGTTGAGATGCTAAGCCCACTTCAGTACCGTTGAATCATCTTCACCAAAGATATGGGAATATGCTTCAATTTCATTCCCCCAAGGCTGGTTGCACGAACTCGCCGGCCCGCGCCATAATATCGCCAAAATTCAAGTCTCCACTTGAGGCGGTAGCACTTTCCGGAGTGATTGGCAGCATCATCCCAGGAACAACAATCTCGCCCTTTCCTAACGGATCATAGCTACCACCGCCATTACTGGGATCACTCCTGGAACCCGATATCCGTCCTGAATAGTCCACTGACGGCAAAGGGCCACTTTGGTTGTACGCACCGGGGTAAGGCGGTGTAAGACCATTCGCAGGAGTCGCAAGCGCGGCATTCAGCTTCCCCAAGGCTTTCAATAACTTCGTTATCGACCGTGCCGAATATGGGGTGTCGGCCATATCGCGGTCGCCATCCTTACTTTCCCTATTTCGAGCTCCTAGGTCTGAACTCTTTTGGTCAAGTGGCGGGGACTGTAGCTCTGCTGTATCGAAAAACGTTTTCTCCACCTGGTACGCTCTGAAATGACAGCTTCAAGGTCGCGGAACAAGGAATGCTCCTCCGGGTCCTGGCGTGATTCTTCTTCAACGGTAAGGAAAAGGCAGCTGAAACAGTACGCTGGATACCGACCCAAGACCGAGCACCAAGGAAGCAAAGTGAGTGTAACTCCACATATGTTTTGATTACTCGTTTCAAGCTGGTGAGATATTCTTGGCTCATGTCAGCATGAGTGATCTCACCCTGTTGAGTAGACGCTCTTTCACGGGTAGCAGTGCTGCGATCGTGAAGGGACCGACGATCTGCACAAGGTCGCGTTGATGTCAGTGCCGACCGACACAGCGCTGAGGTTATGTAGCTAGAATGTAGTTTCAAACCTAAGCGCTGAAGGTGTTGCGTCTGGTTGAAACAATGCTTCCGATCGGGCAGGTGGATCTCGCCGTCTGCAACTATCCTGGCAACTTTCTCCATGCAAGACACGATCCATGGAGTGGTCATAATGGCTTCAAGCTGGAATATTCTGTTTTTAATCAGTTCTTGGGTCGGTTTGAGTATCCACATCATACTCCCTGCGTAGCCCCTATGACCAGGTCTGCTTGTTTTTAGAGTAGAAATCTCCGATCCAAGTAATGTGGTTGAGGACGGTCGATCATACGATATGTTGAAATGCGAATCTTGCCAGGCAACTGCACACCAGACGTGACGGCGAAGGTATTGTTCCACTGGAGGAAAGTGGTGGCTCTCGATCTGTAGATCCAAGCTGAAAGCCATTCGTACCGTCATACCAAGAAGAATATAGGACACCCCAGGATTCATATTGAAAGACAGAACATTTCCCATTACAAGGAAAGCTTGAATGGTCTCGACGGAAGGATGTGTCAGGAAGTTGATCATCCAAAGAGCCTGGTAAGCACAACATACTGAAGGAGGTAAGCTTCAATTTCGACAAAGTGGGTGCAGAGACCTTACTAAGAACTTGCGATGTCAATTCCCTTTCCGTAGCAGGCAAAGTTGAAGACTGGCTTCCCGAAGCAAGAACAGCGAACAACTAACCCAGCCAGATAAGCTCATAGCGAATGGCCTTTCCATCCCATATAATGATAGTAGGTGAACTCCGCCTGAAAACGCTCCATGAGTAAGAAGGGTGTTTAGATTGGCTTCGAACGAGGCAACATCGTGAACGGCCGGATAGATAATGGATGGTACGTCTCTATAGGAAGCGAAGAGCCTGTGTACGCAGTTAGAAGAAAATCTTAACCCGTAGTTCATTGACTCACTCCCAGCAGTGTGCATCATCTGGCAAAGCCTTGACAAGCCCCTTTACATCAAATGTGCTTGCCTCGATGCTCCACAGGTCTACGAAAGGGCAAGTAGCCGTCTCGTTGTCAAATCCTAGTTTTCACAGGATGTTCTCTTCAAGCAGCGTCTTTGCGGCCTCTCGGCTCTACTTGGAACTCTGCAAGCCCATCATATATGCAAGGACTGATCTTGAACCCTGATGTACTGTTGCCATTTGACCACTCTAAGCATGAAGTCCTCCGTGATCCCTTCTTCCGCTGCTCGATTGTCTTCGCCCTTTGCTGTCTTGTCGCTGACGCTTCCGTTATCAACACCTGCCCGTAGGGCCAAAATCGTCTCCCTCAGCTGTCGGATTTTCCTCGTGCAACGCTTCAAGCTCTGTTTTTCGTATGGACACTCGTTTCCTTGGAGCTCTGATGAGGAAGCTGGAATGGTGTTCGGTGAAAGAATTGGTGGCCCTAGCTGACTGCTTTATTCGAGATTCGAAGCTGGATTATTGATTGCAAGCTGCCTTTTCTTAGATGGGCGTTTGTAGGACCATATCTCAGGATGTTCTCTAACGACACACGCTTTGCATGGCAAGTTTCGATCGCACCTGACCTGGGAGCAGTTAGAGAAAGAAATCGCAGGATTAAAGGACAAACGCATGCCTTTCTTCTATGGCGAGCATAACAAGCTACAAAACAGTCAGCGGACAGCTCTGAAGCAGTCGAGAAGCATATAGCGAGCCTTGGGGGTTCTCTGGCTTTTCGTTTGTTCCGAATAATTGCGTCAACCTCGTCTTGAGGAGGGTCTATCTTGCCTTCCATCATGCCATCGTAGCAGCGACAGCTGGGACGGTCTGCGGGGTCGTAAGGACCGAAGGCACGTGCCAGAAATAATGATAGTTCGCGCCCAACCACTACGCATTCTATTAATTTAATAGGGTATAGACAACCTATTCCGTTCATTTATGGCAGTTACTCTATCTGGCATCATAGATAATGTCTTTTTGATATCATCTAGAGTAATTTTATCCCATTCCTCCTCAATAGCATATCATAATTCTGCAGGATTCAAAATCAGGCCCCGATTCTTCAAATGTTGCTTTTATTGTCCTCTAAATGGTCTTTGTCGTCTCTATTCTTCACTAAATTAGACTTAAGAATAGCCATAATGTGACCGTTACTTTCTTAAAATGACGTCCAAAATAACATAATTCTATTAGATTCCAGATGTTTAGCTGCATAATCTTATGTAAATTAGATCATATCGCCGCTAGTCTGAAACTAAACATATATTGATGGTAATTTAGACATAGTTCTCAGAGGGCCTTCTCCTGCTAAGTAGTAGGGAATCAATCACCTTTTCTACTTCTGATTTCACAGCCCTGGCACCAATTCTACAAGTTCAGAGACCAAAAACATCGACACCAACCATTCATTATCTATGACAACCACACAGCCCTCTTGCAAAGTAGTCTTAGCAGGAAGTATCGCCAAAGGACTGCTGGCTGAAGTTTCCGATGGTCTGAAAAGCATAGAACAACCACCTCATCTCCTGGGTATCCTAGCAAATGCAGATCCTTCCGCTCGGTTGTACGCGGAGTGGACGGAGAAGACGTGTAAAGAGAAGTGAGGATCAGTGCCAAACAATTCTGACTTCTCCACGAGGTTCGCACGCCCCAGGACGCAAGGACTGATATTGGATTTTCAATAGTGGCTTTCAATACACACTCCGCGAAGTTGGCAAGGACCAGGTCGAAGAAACCATCATGAACGCCAACGCTGACCAGGCCATTGACGGGATCATCGTCTACTACCCCATCTTCAACAGCCGACAAGACCAGTACCTACAACAGATTGTCGATGTCTCCAAAGACGTCGAAGGTCTTAGCCATCGCTACATCTTTAACATGTATCAGAACATCCGCTTTCTCGATGAAGCTCAGACACAGAAGAGTATTTTACCATGCACGCCCTTGGCTGTGATCAAGATATTGGAGTACCTTTGTATCTACAACACGATATTGCCTTATGGAAATCGACTTTTTGGTCATACGATTTGTGTGGTCAATAGAAGTGAAGTTGTTGGTAGGCCTCTTGCTGCGCTGCTCGCGAATGATGGGGCTTGTGTTTACAGTGTGGATGTGACGGGCATACAGAAGTTCACTAGAGGGGAAGGTATCAGGAAACGGAAGCATGAGGTCGAGGATATGGATGGGTGGGGATTGGAGGATTGTTTGCCATTTTGTGACGTGGTAATCACTGGTGTGCCTGGTGAAAAGTTTAAGTTTCCTTGTCACCTGCTGAGGGAAGGGGCTGTGTGCGTTAATTTCTCGAGTGAAAAGGTGAGATCTCTGGTATCTCATAGTATTGAGACGATATTCTGGGCCGTACGAAGACTGACATCGAGCAGAATTTCGGACCCGAGGTCAAAGAAAAGGCATCCATATATGTACCTGCAACTGGCAAAGTCACCATTGTAGTGCTATTGAGAAACCTTTTGCGGATCGTCCAGAACAGGCGAGCAGGTAATTCTAAACCTGCCGAGGCGGTAGAAAAGCCGGAAAAGGTGGAAGCAGCAAATCCCCGGAACATGGCTTGATTCATCTTGCACCCGCTTATATTCCTGGAAGGCCCATTCAAAAGAGCGGCACAGCCAAATCTGGAAGCATAGAGGCGTCCGAGGTCTTGTCTGAGATCCATTGGTTCAATTCCTTGATCAAGCTTTTCTCCTTGCTTTTCTAGCACCCTTCCCACTACTCGGTGTCTCCAGGACTGGGCTTTGATGGTGCTCGATTGGCGTCTGTACAGCTTCATCTGGGATTGACTCCTCGATTGCCTTCTTGCTTTGTGGATCAGCCATGCCAACAACCTCAATGTTGTTCGCAAGCCATTTCTTTAATTCTGCACGCTGCAGGTAGCCAGCCTCATCGAACCACTGCGAAAAGCGTCCTTCGATCTCTTTGTCCACCCAGTTCTTCCCGGAAGGAGCTTCGTACCTCACTTTCAACCTGTAGATTGGAACGTGCTTCTTCACAGAGGACTTTAGCGTTAACTGTGTATATGACCTCAGTACAAATGGCATATTTTACTTTCTCCTACAGGGCTGCAAACCTTTTGCTTTCCTTCCCTGATACCAACGAATACCTTTCCAGCCTCGCTTTTCCAGACCCAGAGAGTCAGAAAACTGTTCAGTATGAAGTAAAGCACGCAGGCTGCAGTCGTGTAGTTTTTGGTGGCATCCCAGCCAAGTTTCCAATCAGCATAAAATGTTGCGGCCGCTATACTGACAGCGGCATAGCCAACAGCGAGGCGCACATCCGTGTAATAGTGCGACTGCTTGAATGTATATGGAAATGGGAGCTTCGTGAGGTAGGGTGCAAGGGCGTCATCTGTTGCATTCTTTAGATCTGTTGACACAGTTAGCCGTCGTGAAATGAACGTTGGATCAAGGATCTGTCACCATTGATCGAGTACAAAGACACCTTCTGCGCGCCATCTGCAGGTTTTTCATCCATAGAAGAGAGAGTCTATAAGCTACACGAGAGGATAGAGTGTGGGGTCTTGTGGATGTTTTCTTGCCAGCTCACCGCAAGGCGAATTTAGGGTCCGGAGGTTCTGCGGGCAAACTCTAGCGTCATCTACAGATCCCTGTCGCTGATGGACTTTCTGGACGTCGCTTGAGCTGGAAATAATACTCTACTCGTTATCACTTGACTCTGGCACAGAGTTGCCCCTAGACCAAGTCCCGAAAACTACCAAAGATGGCAGTTGCGGGCATGGAGCAGACGATCAACAGAGATCCAGCACTCTTGTAAAGTCACCACGGCTCCTCAAGCTCCCCAGAAACCATCTAACAGACACAGTTACTGGATTCTTTTCCCAATCACAATCGTCATGGTACCTCCCTCCGTCCTGTACGTCTACAACTTATCCACTCACTTCTCGACGTCTAGATCTTAACCGGCATCCTCCGCCACTACGCCTCAATCTTAATGTCTACTCCCCCGAAGCCGCCCTCCACACCCTCCGAATCTCGCGAACGCCTCGCCCTCCTCCGAGGCATGCACCTCCGCAACCACGCCTCCTCGACTCTATCCCCCTCTTCCTTCGAATCCCGACGCACCCACCTCGTAACAGCCTACAAAAGTGGCACTTTCCTGAAAGACGGTCCCGAGTCTCGCGGCAAAGCAGCACCGAACCCCATGACCGACCCGGCAGCCATGGAGGGCATGATGGGCATGATGAAGGGAAATATGGCGATGATGATCCCTCAAACCTTGATAATGGGGTGGATCAACGCCTTCTTTGCAGGATATGTGATCTTAAAGCTGCCGTTCCCGTTGACGATCCGATTCAAGTCGATGTTGCAGTCCGGTGTCATGACGAGAGATCTTGATGTGAGGTGGGTGTCGAGTCTGTCGTGGTATTTTCTGTGCCTATTCGGCCTGCAACCAGTGTTCGCGTTCATCCTGGGGAATGATAATGGTGTGTATAATTATATCTTCATCCCTCTTCCACCCAAGAGTGCAGCTTCACTGACGAGGTTTTCTTTGTTTCATAGCCGCGAACCAAATGTCCCAACAAATGGCACAGATGAATCCCGCAGCCAATGCCAATCCCTTCGGACCAGGTCAGGATCCAGACAAGATGTTTCTCGCCGAGGCGGAGAACCTGGAGGTGATGGAGCATTATAGCATTCTGGATGGGGTGGAGGAAAGGTTATTACGTAGTCAAGGAGCAGTTTTAGAGTAATCTGGGTGTCCTCGAATCATACAAAAGAATAACAGATCATGCCGTCTTTCAAGTCACATCTGCTATAGTGTAATATAGGTCTGGTTTCCCCCGAGACCTGCAACGGATATCTTACTGGTTCCTTCTTCAAGAACAACTTACATAATATCTACTGCATCATAATAATAAGGGTACGAGTACTCAGAACCTACGAGCGTTAAGAAAGGGTTCCTTCTGCTGGGTTGTCTAAAAACATATTCATTATTCTATCATACTAGAGGCTGGTAGCTGCAAACAACCCCAGCGAATGAAAAGTTTAAAAACGGCAAACATGGGCCCGTTGACCCCCACGCTGTAAAGACTGACAAAAATTCAAAAACACACACAAAAGACAACCACTGCCTCTGTTTAGGCCGGGGGGCCCCTAGGTCCGCCTGTGTCGGCAGTCGCATCTCTCGCAGGTGCACAAACATAAGCTCTTGGAGCTCGTTAAATCTTGAGAGGCGCATTTTGCCTCTCGAGAGGCCGTTGTTCTGGCGTAATTTGACTTAGTCGTCACGACAGAGTTTTCAGAAGCAGAGCTGTTATAGCTCAAGGGGGTGGAGGCTCTGGGGCGGCGGGGGATCCCTTCGGTCACCTATTGTTGTCGAGAGGTTTTGGTTGACCGCATATATGGTGGTATGGTAGAGGTAGAAGTAGAAGAGCGTTCAGTAGAAAATGGCATCTGTATGTCTGTAACTTTAGAGCGGATGGTCTCAGAGGTTGTAGGACTGACGGTCTCCGAAGTGGTAGGTTGTGAGATTGACCGCTGTTATTTGAATTGTGTAGCAACGATGCAAAGTCCAAGGCAAAGTGCGAAGAAATCCTGTACCAGAGCAACGATGAGCTGGAGTAGCTGTCGAAGAGTCGAAGTGATCTTGTTGTTGGAAGAGGTAGAAGAGTGTTGTGTATAGAACGGTATCCGCTTATCTATGATTCGAGAGCTGACGGCTTCGACGACTGTAGGTTGCGAGACCATGATTTTCTTTGAGAGGAGGAGAGGTATGATAGCTAGTGTTGTTCATGGTTGTTATGATCAGAGGAGAGGTATGATAGGCAATGCTGTTCACGGTTGAAATGACCAGAGGAGATCTACAGGCCTCGGAGTGATATGCTGATGAGTGCTCAACACAGAGGTGTTGAGCAGAGAGGAGTTGCACGTCTTAACGTGGTATGCTGATGAACACAGAGATGTCAAGCAGAAAGGAGTTACATGTCTTAACGTGGTAAAGTGATGAAGGATTTTGTTTTCCCAGCAGAAAAGTTGTATCACCAAAGAGTTATAAGCTTCAGAGAAGTGTTACAAGCTTCAAGGTAAGTTGAGAAAGCGGTTTGAAGAGAGAGGATGCCTCAAGGAAAAAGGAGTATTATGGGAAGCTGGAGAAAGGCAGGCCAAGTGAGGGAAAACAGCAACAATATTGGCCAATGGGCGACCAGAATGGATATCCATGCTGTGATACCGATATTATGTGCAGTGATAGCTTGCACCTCATTTTCAACCCCTCCCAACTTCTTCCCCACCATGGTTGAAGAGCAGTATTCATAAGACCTACTCTGGTAACGGAGAGGCTATGTATATCATTAGTATCACGTCAAACCAAGCTTATCACGAAAGCAGCGGCAGATTGCATTTGATTCTGGTAATGTTATGGGAAACTTATTCCAGACAGCCTTTTCATCCTGCATGCAATGCAGTGCATGATATCCAAATAAAGTCTTGGCGGTCAATGAGATCTCATGGCAGTTGCAGTGGAAGAACTGACGTGCCAAGGCCGAACGGAGCGGGCCGCTGCTGGCCGCTGCTGGCCGACTGGCTGATGCTGTGACCCCTCTATTTAAGCCTTGAAGTGAAATTGCTCTCTGACAATTTCAAATGGCCTCGGAAGATAATCTGATGGAAGGTATCCCGAACGTTCAATCCTACATCTACCAGGAAGCCACAAGCGCTATCTGAACATCGTGACGATGCGATCAAGAACGGGCTGGTATGCTTTTCCAACTCTTTTTATCTGACCCTGATTCCGACTCTGTCTGAATTGTGGCTAATCTTTTGTGCGGCAGTCTGACATGCCGTGCCCGCAAGCTCAAATGCGACGAGAAACGACCAAGGTGTCACAACTGTCAAAAAGGCAAGAGAGACTGTCAACCATCTGATGGGATTGTGTTTCGTCACCAGCAGAATGCATCCATGAATGGCACAGATGGTGGATCAAAAGGCGACGGAAATCTGCCCGGCTTCTACTCATACAAAAATACCTTCAGCCCTGACAGCGTATGGCTTGAGATTCCCAAGAAAGGTGAAAATCTTCTTCGCCTGTTAACCAAATAAGGTTCTGACTCAAACAGTTACTTTCGTCGACGTCACTGATCCATATGCGGAAGATCCCTTAGAGCCTCCATTCACCTCATCTGACACCTCTGTCTCTGCGCCATCACGAACAGAATGGGGTCCTGGTGATAATTACGGGAGCAGACCCAGCGAAATCGCCGCACACGGTTTGGAAGCTCTCTCTGTTGCCGCCTCCAGAGACAGAAGCGCTTTCCCGCAGCCACAAATCTCTCACCATGACCTGGCTTCGACTGCAATATCGTACATGGCACAGAGTCCCAGCGCCCCTGTATCAGCCAGAAAGCACATGCACACATCTCATTCACCCACAACGTCCCTAATTTCGAACAATAATATCAACTTCTTGCTGAACCCTCAAGGTTCGAGATCGCCTCCTATTGACCCTAGTCTGCGGAATGCACCAGACCACCAAGAGAATTCGCCTTCAATAGGTTTTCGTTCTGAAGCCAGAGTTGAGCAACCTGCGGAATCAGATCAAGAAGTGGCATACCTGCTCCGTCACTTTGCGGAAGCTCCTGGATAGAGTTGGGTAGATTTTCCCTGCAAAGGGTATTGCTTACACTACTGGTGGTTGTATCAGGAGGGTTTTCGTTTGGGGAAGGCCATATTCTCTTCTCGTGTTCATATCAAGGTATTGCCTCAATCACTCCTCAACTGTGCAGCACGTGCTTGTACAGCTTAGCCAATGGATCAAATCGATGCCACCAGCGTTGTGAAAGCCGGTGGTTGTCTCCGCATAGCTAGAGAGAGTTCTAGAACTAGTGAGCAGATTAACGAATGGTGATGTTGTGGTGCAATGCATCATAATTTGGAAATCCTCTGTTTGGTGAAGCCACACTACAGGGCCACAACTTGCATCTTCGATACGACAGGTGATAATGAGACATGCCATGACACAGAGCCTACCAGAATCTACCTCAGGCTCAGCGAAACTAGCCCTCTGCTTGACATGATCCAAGGACAACAGAATGCTTATGAAGAATCTACCAACGTCTTGGGCACTGCAGCTGAGATTTCGGAGAGTGATACCTACTAACTTCATACTACTCTGAAGCTTGCCCGGCAAGACCATCTTCTTGGCTGTGAGTTCCCGTTCGAAGTACCCGTCATCACCAACAAAGAGCTACTTCTTGTAATTACAGGCTAGACCTAGAAAGACTTGAGGCTGAAGATTCGTGCTTGTTGAAGGCTGCCAGCCTCCAATCATTGACGAGCACCTTATTACATCGAACCAATATCCTTTCTACACCTAGTATTATTGACCGGACACTGACAAAGGAGCCCACGTCAATTTGCCCGCTGGTCTGCCTCAAAACTAGGCCCCGCAATCTCACCGCTGCAGCAACCTTGAGTTTGGCTGAGCTTGCTGAGTGATAATGGATAACTAATTGGTATTCTGATCAGACTGTACTTTAAGGGGGAAACGGGCTGAAGAACGACTTGAGAATGTGGCGTGACAGCTTACCAAACACCGTCGCTACATCTGATCATATACCACTGGTGACACTGAAAAACAGGACTGCTTTTGAGAAGTCTGACATAGTATACAAAAGGTGTACATCTGCTCTGCTGGATTATTACATGGCGCAGGTCTTGCTCTTAACTTGATGGCTACTGCGGTCCACCAGCATCCGCCAGAACTCTGCGGCACATTCGCATCCTCCCTTGATAGTTCTGCACAAGTCCGTTTTCTACCAAACCTTCTTTTGTTGCCGTACAGCGCGTCGCAGGGTCTCAAGAAGAAGCGTTAGTGCCAGAAGTGCTCGGAGAGGTCGAAGCAAACGAGGATGGGCCATGGATTTCCGTTCCACCGAGCTTCTCCATGGAACAGAATCAAAGAGGTATTCGGGTATCTCTCGGGAAAGCTCAGGAGCCTCTCAGACTATTCCTGTTTCATCAAACAGATTCAGTGTGTGATGGGCTTCTATAGCCATGCTCAGAGCTTTGAAGATACATATGTCCCCATTCTCGCAGTGAGGCAGTCGTCCCCATTGCAGTCAGCTGGTTTCCGCAGTCAGCTGGTATCGGAAGACATGGCTAAGCACAGAGAGAAGAAGAGAGCTCAGCGGCAGCATGAAGAGGTCTATCCTATGATGACTTTCTATCCTCCGTTACTGACTCGTCCAAGGTCCCTCACCCCCGCAGAAGAGCCAGTCGTTTCAACGCCCGTGACCAGAGTAGTTCGTTCTCGGGTCATCAACCCTGGAAATCGATCCCTAGAAAACACTGAAGCCGGCTCTTCCAACCCCACCAATCTAGAAACTCGCTACCAGCAGCCGATCCTAGACGGCGGCGTCAAACCGCTCCAGAAGACCACCACAGCACACGCTCAAAAAAGCGAAGCAACAGCGGACTTCCAGGCCCCCATCCTTCCGGCTCAGCCTCCCTTCATAACCTAGATACAGCAGAAGAGAACGATTCTCCTCCCAGCACCCACCGGGCTCATCATACGTTCCTAGACCCAGATCTAGCCAGCACACACCGCACTCTCAAGCGCCAAGGCATCTCGCTCATTTCCAGTCTTGAGAAGCTAGTCGCGACGCTCGATGCATTGGAACCAGACCCAGAGGCGATGGAGGGGTTAGCAGCACCGGGACCGTGTGTTACGTACCCTACCAGTTCCCTGCTCAGAATGTTGGCCAAGCCGTGCCGGCAGCGGAGGCGGTATCTCAGGCCAAAACTGTAGCAGGAGCTCTTGTTCAATGCCAGACTTCACCACCACCACAGCAAGGGGCTAGTGCTATAATGGATCTGGGGGCTGTTGAAGGGCCTACTGGGGATCTCTTGGCTGCAGGAGAGCCAATATCGGCATCACGGCCAACAGTGGCAGGTAAGCGGGATAGCCAGGTAGCAGACCTGAATGCGCGGCCACCTTATTGTCCGGATAGTTGTTTCTGCGAGGGGATGTGGGATAGGGTGCCCTGAGAAAAAGGAACCGTGGATGATGGGAGAAGCTGGCTGAATGAGCAAGGGAGAGGAGGGAGAGGGAACGTGAAGTTGAGCTGGTCTCCTTTGATGGCAAGGAGTTCTTTTAATAGAAGTATCCATTAGTATTACTAGACTTTCACATGTGTTTCAGGACACTAAATGCTCAGGGGTATCAGCGCAATGCGAAAAAAAAGGCTACAGTACAATGCTAGAACAAATACTCCGTACTGAGTGCCGATCGAAAACTGGCCAAGGATTCATGCCTGGGGTCATGACTGTTTCCGCTCCGTGATACCCTCCTTTTCCATACCTTCAACACTTGTACTTCCCACGCCTGTAGGCTGCCTGGTATCAAGCAACGGGATCTGATCAACAGACTCCACCTTCTTCATGCCATCCAAAATGCCATCCTTGCCGGGGTTCTCGGCTAGCTCTCCACCCAGAGGCGGACTCCCGACCAAACCCTCCGGAGGACTATTCTGCCATTTCGCTACCTCCGCCTTCAGCGCCTCCAGTTCATTCTGGAACCTCTTCCCAAACACATCGATGTAATATGTCGCCCCGTTGTAGATGCTCCACCCAAACACCACTAGCAAGAATGTCGCGCTCGCGTATCGATACCAGAACCATATTGGACAGGGGATGATGGTCAGGATCGCGTACGAATACTGGATCAGCATGAATGCTGGTTCTTGCAGCCATTCGGGAAGGGAGAGGACGAAACGACCAATCCAGGTCTTGGCGTATGATCGACGCATCCAGGTGAATGAAGTGGGCCGGCCAGCGGCGATTTTCTCGCGGCGTCGAACGGTGATGAAGATGTGGTAGCTAAGTTGCCAGATGACGTAGGGAACTGTTGCCCAGAGGAGCATCGACCACAGAGTGTAGTGGTTGGGAGAATCGGGGTGCGAGAACTTGATGTCGTGCAGTGCGGGGAAGCGGGTTGCCAGTATGTCTTGGGGGGTTAGATGGACGAGGCAATGAAGGGTCACGGGTGGCATGATGTGGATGAAGAGACTGGTGACTTTGTCGAGGGAATGGAATACCATGCTGTTGCGCCACATAGCAATGGCGATCGCATTGTTGCCATAGGCTAGGCAATAGGTGCTTATGAACATTCGCTTGGATTTGGGGAAGACCCAGATGCTGAGGACGGTGAGTAGGTTGACGAAGTAGCATAGGTCTGCAAGGAAATAGTGGTAGCCCTTCTTATGATAGGTGTAGAAGCGCAGTGGCATGAAGTAGCAAAGCTGTGCCGTAAACCAGTAATAGAAAGCGGCCGGATAGGCACCGATTAGGTACCCAGAGATGAAGACGTTGAGCACTCCGGCAATGAAGGACATCTTCTCCCGGAGTGTAACAGCAGCGGTATCCCTCCATTTCCGACCAAGACGATCCACGGACGTTTTCATGCGGGCACGGTATTTTTCGAGCTGCTCGTCTGCTGTAGGTATACGTTTCCGCCACTCTCTCACTGCTCGGTCTTTGGCGCTCATGCCTGTAGATCTGATGCGCTCTTGATGGCGTTTGACCTTTTCCTTTTGGACGGCAATGGTGTTCTGCCATTGCTCAAGTCGTTGTGGAACTGCCAAGTTGCCGAGGAAGTCGAACACTGTGAGTTTGTCCAACGGCGGATAAGCTTCCCAGTCTTCTGGCAAGGGACTACCGTTCGTGAAAGAGACATTTCTGGAGAGGGGATAGGGTGTAGGTGGGGAGGAGTTGCTAGGGGTCAAGCTGCCTGTCAAATTGAATTCATCGCTTGACCCCCCAGTACTCATTCTTTTAAGATCTGAACTCGTAGTATTATCAGCCTCGACCAGATCCGACATGGTTCTCGGTACAGGAACTGGTTCTGTCATTGCGTTGTAGTCGGGTTGCAGAATAGATGGAAGACTGGTAACAAAGCTCCACAGCCTGTTGATCAGGCGCGCAGACTCGCTGGGTAGACGAAGCCGAGGATACTTAGTCTTGGTGGGGAATGCGGTTTAGATTGTTATTGAGAACGCAGGAAACCGACCACTCGATGCGCTGTCCATGAAGGGATGGAAGTGGAGGTCAGCCGTTGATGATCGGAATAGGGGAGGTTTGGGTGGCCAAATAGTGATAGAACATGAAGACAGCTACAGTCATGAGAACCATACGGAGTATGAATGAGTAACTTCGGCAAGGGCTCTGCTCAATTGCACATGATACTATGATAAGCGCATATCTTTAGACATTTAGAAAACGTGTTGGATAGATTGGCCCGGAGGCCCTTGAATGGTCAGGCAGGATGACGCTAAGCCCGAGTGGGCTATAATTGCTTAGCCTTGGCACAACGCGCCTCCATCAGACACGCGTGTGGATTCTGGGGTAGATGAGCTTGTGCGACCAGCTGTTCGGGCTCTGGATCATCAGCGCATCTTCCCTCCACCGCTTCTTTCTGCGGCCTCTTTCTGCTGCTGTAGCATGATGCGTCCCTCGTCCATGTTCGGACACTGACAGCATCTAGACACCCGATCATATATCGCCCCGCACACCGTCCTTACGATGGGCAAACTCATCCGTCTGGAGCTTTACAGTGGGCGACGACAGTCTTGATTGCGCAAGAGTATTGGTTGACCAGTGTGCAGACTTCAAATCTTACAAAGGCCACCATGTCCTGCTGTTCGGAGATGCCTATTTCACCTCGATCATTGGGCCCAATGGCTCCGGAAAATCAAATGCGTAAGTTGAACGTTCGCACGCGTCACATCTCAGCCTGACGATGATAGAATGGATGCCATCTCGTTCGTTCTGGGTATTAAATCATCGCACCTCCGATCAACCCACCTTCGGGAATTAGTGTATCGTGGCCGTGTTTTGCGCCATTCAACTGTCAACGGTGACGGCGTACCTGCAGAGGAAGGGTCCAATGGTCATACCAATAGAAATACTGGGAATGGCGATGACGGATCAGGAGAAGCAGTTTCAGAGCGCAATGATCCGAAATCTGCGTGGGTAATGGCAGTCTACGAGGACGATGCGGGAGACGAGCAGCAATGGAAGCGTACAATCACGAGCCAGGGCGCCAGCGAATACCGAATCAACAATCGCGTTGTTACCGCGGTACAATTTAATGACGCGCTGGAGGCCGAGAACATCTTGATCAAAGCCAGGAATTTCCTTGTCTTCCAGGGTGATGTCGAAGCAATCGCTTCCCAGTCTCCAAAGGATTTGACAAGATTGATTGAACAAATCTCAGGCAGTCTTGAGTACAAATCCGACTACGAAAGGCTCAAGGCGGAGCTTGAAGATGCTGGCGATCAACAGACCTTCCAGCTCAACCGACGACGAGGCATGAATTCTGAAATCAAACAGTATCAAGATCAGAAACGTGAAGCCGAAAATTACACAAAGAAAGCAAACGAACGCGATCAGGCGATTGTCACGCATGTTCTGTGGAAGCTCTATCATTTCCAGCGCCAAATCGAAGAATCCAGTGCTGAGATTCAAAAACACCAAAATGAACTCCAGGAATTCCGCCGTGGTATTGCAAAGTATGAACGCAGTTTTGACGCCGCAAAAAGCGAACATATTAAGATCACGAAAAATGTCATTAAAGTTGAGCGAACGATCAAAAGCAAAGAGAAGGAAATTGAGGAGAAAGCAAACTCTCTGGTACCGGTGGACGAGAAGATTGAAATATCTACGAAGAAGCTTTCAAAGTATACAAGCCGAATCACTGACATTACTAAAGAAAGAGATAGCCAGACTGCGACTGTCAAGTCACTAGAAAAAGACCTGAAGACTGTCGTAAAGGCTCAGGCTCAATGGGAGAAAGAATGGAAAGCGGCATCAAGTAAGACAGGAGGCCATTTGAGTGACGCAGACCTGCAGCAGTATAGCAAGCTCAAGGAGGAGGTCAACAAGAGGTCTTCCACTGACCAGATTCGGGTTGAAAACCTCAAGCGTCAGCGAGCAGCAGAGGAAGGGACTGTTACCAACCTGAAGAGCACCGTCGACAATGTAGAATGGCAACTAAGATCGCTGGAGACAGAAACGAATAAGATCGAGGATCGCAAAACCGCAACTCAGGAAGTAGTTCACCAACTTGAGCAGGACATAGAGGACAAGAAGAAAGCCCTCAACGCCATGACCTCAGAGCGTCTTCGGATCACACAGATGAGGACCGAACTCGAGGAGAAACTGCAAGATGTGCTGAAGAAACTGATTGACGCAGACGACGGTCGAAAGCAGAACGAGAAGGAAGTAAGGATGAAAGAAACCATATCAACGCTGAAACGAATTTTCCCTGGAGTCAAAGGCCGCGTCAGCGAACTCTGCAAGCCAAAGCAGAAAAAATATTCTGAAGCTGTGAGCACGGTTCTCGGCCGACACTTTGATGCAGTTGTCGTCGATGTTGAAAAAACGGCAAAAGATTGCATTCAGCATTTGCGCGAGACTAGATCAGGCCAAGCCACATTCATTCCACTCGATACCATCCAGGTCAAGGCTCTCAATTCAAATCTGAAAGGCATGCACCGCAACATGAGGCCAGCGATTGAAACAGTGGACTATGACCAGTCTGTCTCGCGTGCCATATCATACGCTTGCGGTAACTCGATTGTCTGCGATGATCTCAACACTGCTAAGTACCTGTGCTACGAGCGTGGTGTTGACGCGAAGGCAGTCACCCTTGATGGAACTGTCATTCACAAGGGTGGTCTTATGACCGGTGGACGTGGACCTGGACACCAACAATCACGACGATGGGAAGATGCTGAGGTAGAAAACTTGACTAAACTGAAGGACAAGCTTATGAAAGATCTAGCAGCCTTACCAAGTCCACATCGTCGTGGTAACGATGAGGAGTTGCTGACAGCCGAGTTGTCGGCCCTAGAATCACGCCACAGATTTGCGACGGAAGAGTTCCAAGGTCTTGACCGCAATCTTCAGAGCAAGAAGAAAGAAGTCGATAATGCGAAGCGTCAGTTGAAGGAAGCACAGCCTAAGTATCGTGAAAAGCAAAGAGCCCTTAATGACCTTGACGAGAACATATCGGAGTATCAGGAAGCCGTTAGCAGGGTGGAAGATGAAGTTTTTGCAGACTTCTGTCGACAACTTGGCTTTGAAGATATCAGAGAGTATGAGGCTCAACAGGGTTCCTTGCAACAGGAAGCAGCACAGAAGAAACTCGAATTCACAACCCAGAAGAGCCGTATTGAGAATCAGCTGAGCTTTGAACGACAGAGACTCCAAGCTACCGAGGCACGCATACAAACATTGCAAAGCCAGGAGGAGCGAGATCGAGCTATGATCGCAGAACTGAACCAAGAGCGCCAGCAGACTCAGGACGCTTTGGATGTTCTCAACGCTGAATTGGATCAGCTGGGAGATCAACTCGACGAGCAGAAGGATCTTCAAACAGAAGCCGCAGAAAAGCTGGCAGATCAACGACAACAAGTCCAGAAGCGAAGCAAAACCATTGAAGCGACGATCAAAGTAATCAGTGTCCACGAAGCAGACATACAGCGGCATTCCTCGGACAGATATACCCTCCTTCGAAAATGCAAGCTCGAAAACGTCAACATCCCCATAGTCCCGGGATCGGTGACGCTGAGCGACCTGCCAATCGACGATCTTATTTCCGGACCCGACCCCAACGCAATGGACATCGACGAACACGAAGAAGACCCCAGCTCCGCCGCCCTCCAAGCACCTCGGATCCAAAGCCACGGCATCGAACCCGACTTTTCCACCCTGGAAGACGACCTACGAGAGCAATCCAGCCCAGCCATTGACTCGGAACTCCAAGACCGCATCCGCACTCTGGACAGCGAGCTCGACAAAATGGCGCCCAACATGCGCGCCGTCGAGCGCCTCGAGACCGTCGAAGCCAAACTTCGGTCCACTGAAAAAGACTTCGACGCCGCGCGCCAGCGCTACCGCTCCACCAAAACCGCCTTCGAAGATGTGATGCACCAGCGCTCCGACCTCTTCAACAAAGCCTTCTCGCACATCTCCGAACAAATTGGCCCGATTTACAAGGACCTCACCAAATCGACCAACTACCCCTTGGGAGGACAGGCCTACCTCGACATCGGCGACACCGACGAACCTTACCTCGACGGCATCAAATACCACGCCATGCCCCCGCTCAAACGCTTTCGCGACATGGAGCATCTATCTGGTGGGGAGAAGACCATGGCCGCCCTGGCCCTGCTATTCGCGGTGCACAGTTACCAGCCCTCGCCGTTTTTCGTGCTGGACGAGGTGGACGCCGCGCTCGACAATGCCAACGTAGGCAAGATCGCGAATTACATCCGCGAGCACGCGCAGCCGGGCATGCAGTTTATCGTCATCAGCCTGAAGACCGGTCTGTTCCAGCAGAGCGAGGCGTTGGTGGGCATCTATCGCGATCAGGGCGGGAACAGCAGCAGGTGTTTGACGCTCGATGTGAGCTCCCTATTCTCTTTCTTCCGTCTTCTTCTTCTTCTTCTTCCTTGTTGGCTTCTGATATAGCGCCTCTGCGATACCCAACTCATATGCTTGTTTGTTTCTTTGAGCGTCGTGGTTCAGGCCGCAGGATTGCTGACTCGGGATTTGCCTACAGCTACGGAAATACAATTGAGCTACATACCTGGTCACCAGTCGACTTCCGGTTTGATATGTCGTTTCATGGCGCATCGTCCGGCCCGAGGGAGGACGAGGAGGAAACGAGCTGGGAAAGAAAACCAATTCCTGGAGCGCCGACTTCGCCGAGCTTTGCAGGGAGCTTTCCCCGCGCAACAGCGACAGCGACGAGATATTCGGCGCTCTACAATCAGCGTCCGTCCATGCGACAGAGTCAGCAAACAACACCCCTTCAGAGGAGAAACACAAGACGAAGACGTGTTGTGGCACAGACTCAGCGAAAGGCGGGCTGAGTTTGCCGCACCGAGCGCCTCACTCCTGAGCGGCACAGAGGACAGACAGATGGCATATCCCCCACCGTTCTCGTCAGAGCCTTTCTATCTGGATAACATGATGCGCATCCGCAAGATGGAACAGCTGTTCAGTTGGGCGTCGCCGTGAACTATGGATATTCGTAGAAGCAAAAATGCAAGAAGAAAAAAGCGCAACGAGCCGCTTGTGCACCATCCCAATGCCGTCTCTGCCAGGCAGTGAAGCGAGTGAATGAATGTTCTATGTATTCCGATCTATCTGGGACGGACGGGTCATGTTTTACGCCCCCCGAAAAATCCCACGAATCCATCCCATCACGATCCAGGCTATGCATTTGTGTCGTAGACACTCAGGGCAGCCCAACAGCCCATCCAGCCAGCCCAGTCCAATCTATAGTGGGTCGGTTTTTCCAAGAGAAGGAGTCGAGAAATGTGTGTCCCTGATAATTCTGTCCCCACAACGCCATCTATAATGCGTCATCATAGCACACATTCGCATTCCACTTCCATGCACCAAGCCATTCCTTCAGGCTTTCTGCCTTGACTTCTCCTCCACCACCACCTCCTCCTCCTTTACCTCGGTGACCTTCTCCGTCCTATCCGCCTCCTCCACATCCCCCTCCGCCTCTCTCGCCTCTTTCTCTGACGCCGCTTCCGGTGCCTTCTCATTCGTAGCCGCATCTTCGGCTTTCATCGCCGGCTTATCATCAATATCATCCACATCCTTGGGCGCTTCCTTTCCACTCTCCATGTTCGTCTCCTGTTGTTCATTCTCCTCCTCGATCAACTCCTGCTGCTCCTTCAAGACCTCGAGTCTTTGTTTGTTGGTTGCTGCGCCCTCGGCGTTATGCACCTCCAGCTCGATTTCGTGGAAGAGTTCTTCGGGGATGGATGATAAGACAGCCTGGAGGGCATCGATCTGGGAGGAGATCTCGCTGTCCTTGCCGGAGGTGTACATGTAGGCATTGCTGAGGACGAGGAGGGTGGAGGGGATGTTGTATTTCAGACGGAGATCAAGCCACATCTGAAGATCTTCTCGGAGTTTGGACGGGCTCATGCCGTGTGTCCTCAGGCCACGGCTTGCGCAAGCCATTTGGAGTTCTGGGACGGAAAGAGAGTCGACGCCTTCATAGGAGATAGCTTTGTCGTCTCTTTTGATCTGGCGCATTCGGTGGCGGATTTGGTAGCGTAGCATTGCGTCTGTACCGAAAGTATTAAGGTTCATGTATTTGCACATCCCAACCAGTTGTGGTCTTGATAGATTGTCGAGAGTAAGGTCGTCCTTGAAAGTCTGGCACACTTTGATGACATCTTGTTGGGTGGGTGCTTCGCCTGTAGCACGAACCTTGCGGAAAAATTCGGTGAATTCATCCTTTCGGGCGACGGACGCAGAAACAGGGAGACCTGTCTCCCGGAGTGTGTTACGGAGGAAGGAAGACACTTGTTTTCGAGTACTGCGAAGGTGTGCGGCTTTGGCTTCACGAGATTTCTGCCCTTCATATGTTGATGGAAGCATATTGGGGAAGACCTTCAGCGCGACTGGCAGAAGGAATTCCGCGAAGGGGACGATGACGAAAACAGAAAATGGGACTAAGCGTCCAAGATCTTGCGTAGTACGTTTAAGCTATTGGGTTATCTGTTAGACGATTGTCGTCGAAACATTTAAACCGAGCGAAGTTGCTCACCTGTCGATTTTCTCTACGACTGAGCTCGTACCCAGCAGCCATCTTGAGAGCAAGTTTTGACGAGATCTTGACTTCAGTTGCCAGCAATTTGGTGCCATCCCAATAGTGTTGTAGCTCCTTTTTGATTTTTTGGCCAATCGTCAGCCGCTTTTCCTCCTCCTTCTTTACAGCGGCCTTTTCGTCCGGCTTTGCAGAGGCCTTAGTTTCAGCCAGCTCAGACAGAGTCATGGCCTCCAAAGCCTTCGTCTTGTCAACTGCGGTAGCTTCCGTCTTGTTGACTGTGTGCTGCTCATTGGGCGGTTCGTCGAGACCTTTGGAGGAAGATTGGATAGTTTTCTTCGATGGGGGAGGCGGTTTCTTCGCTTCATGTACATTGAAGCCAGGAGGGGGAAAGGCACCCCCATCGTTCCCGTGAGTAGTCGTCTCGGTAGCGTATGTCCTCCGCGGTACGAGAATCGCTAATGCGCGAATATGTGGAGGAAGATCTCGAGAAATGACCGGGTGGTGTGATCTGGAAAGAGAGGCGAAAGACGAAGTATGGTGGATTCGGGCTTTACAGAATCAGTACCGCATATCCTCTGACCGAGAAGGGTTACCCACCGCTCAAGATACTGCGCCGGGTTGCACCATGGCTGACGAGCCTGGCTGTAGATGTCATGACGCTGGCGTGAACTTGTTGAAGGAAAGACGAGTTAAATTCAGGAGGCAGCTCTTCGAAGGCGTACGTCAAAAAGGGAACACTGCTAGCGGCCTAAATGTCGAGAAACAGATGGATGTATGATGGTTTATGTGCTGTTGATTCGTACAGTGGACGAGTGAAGAGTCAACTGTCACAAATCATCCTACAATGGTGCCAGGATGTTTGGGGGGTGGGTCCACGTTTTGCGTCCTGCGTCCTGCGTCTTGCGTCTTGCCTCTTGCGTCTTGCCATCTTTTGCGCGCTGCCGGATGCAACCGGAGCTTGCAGAGTTAGACTGCACGATTCCCAATGTAGCCTAGCATACTTGGCCATGACTCAGCTTGTACCTGACCACACCACTGCTACTACGTAGTGCTATTACTACTAACTACTAGTACTGCTAGAGAAAGAAGAGCTTTCATAAGTAATGGCCATCCGGTGCCTAACCACTGAGGCTTAGGGAAGTCGATATTATGGAATATCAGTGAGCGCTAACGGCGTCACCCATAGTTAGACAGACTTGGTGGCCGTCTTGGCTCCTGAATATCTGTCACAAGCAATGGGACTATCTCGGCGCAAGAGTCGGCCTAGAAAAGCCCAATCATTATGACGCTTTAGATTATGCCCAGACGGCCACCAATTTTGTCTATGGGCCTCCGCCCTACTGACCCTACCAGTATCACGTTTGGCTGTACATCATTGGAGCCGCCTCTACATGGGATGGCCGAAATATGGAAGATAGGCTGCTGACAGATAGGTCATGTTTCATGGGCTACTCTACGGGAAAGGCCACTTCGATCAAAATGACCCAACTTCGGGACGAGTCAATTCTGCCTGCCACACAAAGGGTTGCTTGTTGGATCGCTCTCCTTCCCTCGGTATATGAGAGGCTCTCGAAAGCCGAAACTCTGTAATCGAGAAAAACGAATGACCTTGTCGCAGCTGCCAATCAGCCTGCTTTTCCGTTCATGGATGTTTTCCGAGAGGCCTTGATCTTCTCTCGTAGAAGTTTCTCTCGTAGCTCATTAGCAGTCAACTTGGACATGGATCGAGGTGGTACAGGCACCGTAGTATGTATTGACGATGATGTTGGTAGAAGGTCCTGAAATGAAGTGTGTTAGCTGGAGGGCAGCGTAAGGAAGGATCAGGAGACGGGGTTGGGGAGCAATGTACATGATCAGTCTCCACCCACCTCTTTATCATCTTCCTTGGCCACCATATCTTCATCCGCGTGATTTCGAGTTTGCGGCTGCTCAGAACGAACTTCATCAGGAGAAGCGTCAGCAATCTTTTGCCGCTTGTCATCGGGGGAGGTCACAGATGAAGTATTGCGCCTCTTTCTGGCCGGCGGCGCCCATCTTTCCAAGGACCTGCGCCGTCTTCGCTCCCTCTGATAACCTCGGCTCCTGCTCCCACTCCGACTCCTGCTGCGCGTACGTTGCCGTGGGTGGCCGTGGCGATCGCCACTGCGACTTAGCCGACGCTCGTCTCGTGTGGTTGGGCCCTTAACAACATCAGCCCGCGATCCTCTTCTATCATCCTGTGAATGAAATGAGTCTGATCTTCTAGATCTTCTATCCTTCGCACCTCTCCCCCTATGACGATCTCTAGAGGAGGACCTTGACGGTGAAAAGGAGGGACTTCTTCGCTTTCTAGGACGACGTCTAGGTGGTGGAGATGGTGAGATGCTTGGTGATGGCGACGTGGAGACCTTCCGGTGTCTTCTGGGCGAACGTGAGCGAGAAGATACAGAATATGAGTCAGAGCGTGATCGATCACCACGAGAAATTGACCTCCGTCTATGCCTCCCCAAGCCCCTTCTGGGTGGCGATAGAGAAAGGCTAGGTGACCGTCTGGACCTGAACGGTCTTCGTTGAGATCGAGACCTGGAACGGAGGCGGTGACGGTAACGGTGACGATGACTGTCAGGAGAAGATAGAGGAGGTGATCGAGAAGGTGAACGTGTCGGTGATCTTGTGAGGGACCTCTCTTTCCTGACAGGTCTTCGACCATCTCTACCACTCGGTATATATGTGTCAACCTCACGTCTTGGTGGAGGACCTCTCTCTAGCGAGCGTCGTCTGTGTGGTAGAGGTGAAGCTGAATCACGGGTTCGCCGCGGGTCAAAAGGACGTCCCCCACGGCCACCACCACCACGCCCCCGTCCACGTTCTGCCCTCTCCTGTTGTCTGACAATGTCAACCTCATGATCCCTGGCGGATTCCTGCTCTTTGCGTTGACGTGCTTCTTCAGCCGCCCTTTCCGCATCATTCTTCTCCTGTAGCAACTCCAACTTCTTTGCTTCGAGCAACTCTTTGGGCACACCCTGAGGATTGCCTTGTGCGCTAAGACAGAGGTTCCATAGCTCTTTGCAGAATTTTGGTGTGTCTTTGTCGAGGAATCCAGTCAGAGAGATTTGTAGTGCTTTGATATCGGGCTGTTGGCCACCAGTTAGATTGGTAGTCGCTGCTGCGCGGCAAGGTGACGTACAAATCGCGAGTCTTCCAGAAGATTGAAGCAAAGCTCCGTGACCACATCATCTTCATTACCCAGAACCTGAGAAATCCTGCTCGCTATCCACCTAGAAACGACCAATTAGTGCTCAAGCTATACATGCGGCGTGTGATATTGTGAGCCAACTTTTTCATAACCTCAATGTTCACTTTCTTCATGTCTACCTTCTGGTTGAACTCAGGCGGGAATTTGGTCTGCCGCAACAGCTTCGCGTCCACAGTGGACGCCATGCTGGTGGAGATAAGAAGATATGCACGATGTCGTTATCCTAATACTTATTGGTTGAGCAATAATATTTTAGTTGTGGAATAGATATGCGCAAAATCTTAGTCTTTGAAACACGCTGCAAAACGCCTAATTGGGTCACTGGCCCGCACTGAAGATGCCTGTACGGATACTCCTGCCAGTATATTCATCGTCATCCCATTGCACCTTCTCCCCTGCGAACATGACATTGGAATCATCTCTGATGCTTCTATTTGGTTTACTTCTTCCATCCGGTCTGGGGAACATTACATTTCGTACCCCTTCAGCATTCATTCCACCATGCATTATGTCCCCTTTACCCAGTGGTGCTGCGAAGTCTGAGGGACACAATCAGATCCCAGGCCGTCCTCATACCGCCGACAGTCAGGCAAAGCCAAAGCCCAAAATAAAACCTAACAGCCTTGCCACTCCTAAACCACACACTGTCACTTTAGATTCGCCACACATCCGGAGAGGTCGAGTAAGCCACCACCCTTGAGCTCCGGCAATAATCTCTCGGAATCGGGAGCAGCGCTGATGATGAGTCCTTGCCTTAAGGAAAGCCCGGTGTTGAACTCATAGCACGACGGCACTCAGTCCCTAGTCTGGCACTCTCGGTTGAGTTGCTGATCAGACACTTCGAATCAGTAAGCTGCGGATGCTTGATCAGCTCCGAGCATTACCAACCTCTCCCAGCTAGTCCAAGACGGCGAGGATCCACGACTCGGATTCCGGCAGAGAGCCGTGACTGCTCCGGCCCCGAATCTTAGAGGTCGATACCACTCAGCTCTCAATTCCAGACGTCGGTCTGGAACACGCCACCCACCGGCAACCGCGATTGTCGAGAAGGTCGCAGAAGAGAGTCTGAGCCACGCAAACCCAGAGACAAACACCAGCGGCTCGGCCTCGAAGGCTTCGTCTTTGAAAATGTGGCCATTTGCCAACGGTGAGGGTAACCACAGAATAGAACCGCTGGTACCTGCTGAGGACGGTTCGGCTTCGAACCAGCAAGACGCTCGAAGAAATTCTACACCAAAAGTCGATCAACAAGAACCATCGAGGTCTTTGAGGCCTAGCAGGAGTCTCTCCTCGCTGAAAGTCGCAGCACAACCTCGTGGTTTGCATATCCCACCTGGTGCGGCGGTGTCACAAAGTTCAGATGTCTGTGCGCAGGGCGAGGTAACCTCAACACCACTCAAAGCGGACAAATGTGAGCAGCCACCCTCCGAGCAGACGGCACAAGAACATGAGCATGTGCCAGCTTCTGCGAATGACATGAACCCTTCTCCCAGCGGCAAAGATAACGTAAGGAATGAGACCGGACATGACCCAGACCTCGCATCGACGGACGGTGCTTTAGAAGCGGCATCCATTACCAGTCCGGCATCAGCTGACTCAAAACAGAGCTCTTCTCCTACTGATGTGAGAGATTATGGTTCCCAGTCAGCGCATATCATTAAATCAACAGAGTCTGAAGAACCGGAGTTGCCTGTTGCAGTGGAGAAATTGCAGCCTTCGACACCCAAGCCTCTGCCGGAAGGTGATAACGAAACTCTCAGAGATGACCTCTCAAGCCATGAAACCGTACAGCAAACTTGGCCTGTCACCAGTACCAACGCGATCGAGAGCCATGCGGCCGATGATCCGCCTCAAAACTCCTCTATTTCGGCACCAATCCCTACTATACGCGTGCAGCAGACAACCGAATCAGATGAAACGGCGCCACGTTCGGAACTACTGGCAAGCGAGAATACAGAGAATCGTCCAAGTGAAGCTCCAGAGAAGGTGTTAGAAGCTCCAGGGAAGGTGTTAGAAGCTCCAGAGAAGGTGATAGAAGCTTCCACAGACAGTTCTCATGTGCCGGCTCCGGCCTCGGTGGACATCCACATGCAGCATGATGCTGCGAGTCCTCGTCCATCAACACCTACGACTGTGCCCGAAATACCAGGAGATGAGACTCGATCTGCAGCAGATCCATCAGTTGACAAAGTCACGGACAAATTGGACTCTGATCATCCAGGACTTGCCAAGCTTGCCATTCGAAAGGCAAGGAATTTGGCAGGAAGCAGATTTGTGCTCAGCATACTGCTCGGCAGGGAGCTTGCAGATCAGACAAAGCCACAGCTGGAAGAACTGGCAAGACCTCCAATTAAGAGAGTGGGAAGGACTGCTCCGGCACCTGGCCCAAGTCAGGTGGATGGGCTTGCAGAGCTCGACGGAGATTTGGAATCGGATGCAGTTGATCCGTTGTAAGGGATGCTTATCCCTAGGATTCTTACCCCTGCCCCCCGCACCTGAGAGTGAGAGCTATCACTGTTGATGATTCTTGTTTGGAGTAGCTGGCGATATTCTTACTGAATGTAATTCTAGCTTCGATGCTGGCTGCAACTGTTCATGATCACCTGGAGCTCTGCCTAGACAAAATCCTGTACACCCTGTTTATATCTTCCCTAGCCTGTTGAAGTTCCGGATCTAGGCCCTCTTCTTGATATTTGAGCTTGACGCGGTAATGTAGCTCTGCTAAGTCTTTTGCTCGTTGAAGATCAGGGTTGTTCTTGCTCTTCTCGTCGTATGCTGCTGAGCGTGCTGATGCCTCCAAGGTTCCTGGTGCGTCTTTGGCTAATATTGAGTTGCTCCTGTGGACGTTTACGAGGTTTAGAGCTTCTTCATGGCCCTGACCTCCATCAGCGGTGGTGAGTAAATCATGTGCAGGTAAATACGCACACAGACGCTTAGCGACTTCAAATCAGACAAGATCATTGCTATCTGCATAATGATCTGGTGGCAGTTCCACAGTCTTCCCGAATCGCTGTTGATCACGGTCGTATTTTTCCTCGTCGGGCGAGCACGGACAGGCGGGGTGTAGAAGATTGTTGGTTATGGGATAGGATTAGCCAGCAGCTGAGAGCTTGGTGGCCGAGGCCTATTGACAAGAGTGCCAAGAGCGACACCAATTCTGTCAATGGCCATCGGGCCGAGGGCTAGACCAGCAAACACCCAGCACCCGACCAACGAGATTGAAGGTGTTCGAGTATCTTGGACTTATTGCAATTCTGTAAGCGAACCCTTGATCTACGGCCTGATGCTTACTAGGAAACGTCTATCAGACCAGTTCTATGGAAAATCTCGCCAACTGGATCATACGTAGCACTCCCTCAACGAGCGGAGGGCAAGCCATGTTACCAAGATAGAATACCAACCCCAACCCAAACTTGAAAACACCAACCACAAAGCATCAAGACTTGTGCTGCTACGAATCCTTTTATATCTGGGGAGCTTACTCATTTCGTATATGGAGATGCATCTCTTGCAACTCCTAATATCGCTGCTCATTTGGCCTCCATATGCATGAAACCGGATCTGTCACAAATCTCGCCTCGATTGCATCAGACATCTCGAAACACAGGCGGAACTTTCTTGGTTCCTCCCTCTGTTGCCTGGCCCGCACTTATTCCGCAGCATAGCCAACAACCGTGACTGAGACCTTGACAGTCACCACGCTTTTCTGCGCCTGGTCTTTGTTCTCACGCCAAAGTTGGTGCATTGTTGCTTGTCGGGCGAGCCATCCAACTTTGCAACAGAGTCTTCCTCGTGCTCCTTGTGCTAGGTCGCAGCCTTGATTCGGAACAGCCATGGATCCCACGTCTGAATATTATACTATGAAGCACCCGGCATTCCTGTTCCTACCATGCTCTTTGTCTAATCCGCTCTTTTCCTTTCCCTTGTTTCTGCCGCTAGACAACGTGCTTGCTTGCGAGTGCAGTTTTCCCTTTTTCCATTTTGATAATAGGAATTTCTTGAATTGTATATGCTATAGGCCGGTCCTCTCTTTCCTTTCTTTGATCTTCTTCTTCGCAGCCAATCTGCGCTACAGGGCCAAATATGGCATGGCTTCGAAGGTTCTCGCCGTTGCTCCTTCTACTGTTGTCACTTACCCTTTCGCCGGCCTTTGCAAGACCCAATCATCCGGACAGCGGGAGCGGTGATAGGCAATACGACTACATGTTGGGTGGCGAGAAGGGCAAAGATAGGGATGGAGGCAGAGACCAACCCGCCTATGCTGCAAGCGAAACATACTCTGCCAGCCCAGATCATTCTGTGGATGGGTATGGTGCAGGCGGACAGTACGACCAAAGTTCTGATGGGGGAGACGGGTACGGTGGAAGCGGGTATGATGGTAGCGCGTCCACTAGTGTCGATGGATATGGCGGAGATGGGTACGGTGAGACTGGGTATGGTGATAGTGGAAATGGCGGAGATGCAACGACCTACACTTCAACGGCCCAAACTACAATCACTGAGACCTCAAAAGAGCAAGTCACAGAGACCGAGACCCAAAGGGATCAGGTCGAGGTTACATACACCGAAACCGCTAAAGCTCAAGTCACACGAACGGAGACGGACAAAGCTCAAACCACTCAAACCGAGACCAAAAAGGCCCAGGTCACGCTGACCGAGACCAAGAAGAATCAAGTCAACGTCACTGAGACTTCAAAGGCTCGGCTCACATTAACGGAGACCCGAAACGCTCAGATAACACTGACCGAGACCAAGACGGCTCAAGTCACGCGGAATGAAACTGAAACAAATCGAGTCACCGTGACTGAGACGAGGAAGGCTCAGATTACCGAGACGGAGACCAGACAGGTCCAAGTCACCGAGACTGAGACTGCGACGGCAGAGCTCACCATGACGGAGACTAGGAACGAGCAAGTCACCGAGACTCAGACTGAGACGCAAACGGTATGTTATGCTTCTACTCAAATGTCTTTGAAGACACAAGTGGTTTGTATTAAAATGCTAACAGCCATCCTTAGACTACCGAGGTGTCAACCATTACTGATGACGGCTGCGGTGCACCCAACGAAGGCGATGCCGGTGCCGGTGAGGGTGCGTATGGAGGATGCCGTACAAGCTCTGCATGGTCAGCACCTTCATCTGACAGGGGAGGAGCCGGTGCGTACGGGCAAGATGGCAGCAGCGCTTTGGGGCCGGCTACCTCATCCGGTGCGGGAGGTGCTGGTGAGTACGGGCAAGGTGAAGGTGGGGCTGGGGCTGGAGCAAAGATTTCATCATCTACAGGGATGGGAGTTCCAGCAGCAAGCTCTGTAGGCGTTGATGGTAAGGGTGCTGGTGGGGCTGGTGCAGGTGGCATGAGCTCGATGGGCGCCATGGACACTGGCTCTGCCCGCCCGCTTGATGCCAGCTCTGCCGCTCTTGGTGGCGCTGGAGCTAGCACTACAGTCCCAGCAGGTGCTGGTCAAAGCTCTGCCGCCCCCGGTGGTGGTAACGGTGGTGCGGAACTCGGCAACAACGCTGGCAACGGCGGAAACAATAATGCCGGTGGTGCTGGCGGCGATGGCGACAACGGCGGCGATGAAAACAACGCTGGAGGGGCTGGCGGCGACAACGGCAACAATAATAACGCTGGAGAGTCTGGCGGCGACAACGGCGGCAATAACAACGCTGGAGAAGCTGGCGGCATTGGTGGCAACAACAACGCTGAAGAGGCTGGCGGCAACAACGACGGCAATAACAATGCTGGAGGAGCTGGCGGCAATGGTGCTGGTAACGGCGCAGGCAATGGTGCCGGTGCTGTTGCAAACTCCACCATTGGCGCAGGAGGCAACAACAATCTCGCAGGCAATTTCTCCTCCGGCGCAGGCGGTAACAATTTCGCAAACAATTCCACAGCCTCAAACTCAACGCAAGGAGGCAGCGGCGGCCCCAAACCTTGCAACTGCCGCTGCATGTGTCCCAATCCCTTCGGCGCCGCGCGCACCGGTGGTGCAGGTTCCATAAACAACAACACCGCCCTTGCCACCGCCCTGTCTCCCTCCTCCACCTTCGCCACCCAAATCCTGCCAAGCAGCATCGCCCTTGGCACTGGGGTCGGTAGTCTCCTACTTGGCGGCACCGCCGCACCAGTCATTCCGGAAGTGACTGCGTCTGCTCTGGTGGCGGCAGCGGGCGATGCCGCAGATGATGTGGTTGGAGCTGCTGCGACGGCGTTGACGGGAGTAGCAAATGCGATCGACATGGCCGATATTAAGTTGGAGACGGCAGCGACCCTAAAGATTGAGGGGAGGGATGCCAGACCGACGGATGTATGAGTATGAGTACTAAGCAGTAGTACGACATGGGTCTCTGGCGCTGTATATTCCTTGGGGGTTGGCTTTCAGGGAAAACATGATATTCTGAGCACGATATTTCTTTAGAAAGGTTTGAGATATAATCCTCGGATTGATAATAGTTCGAGAATGATGGGTGGTTTCTTCAGTTCTTCTTACTTTGCTACGTCTCGTGAGGTATCTTGGCGTTGATGGGCTCGGATGATTTGGTCGTTGATGCTTCCTGTTTCGCCCTTCTTGCACGCTTCTTCATCTGGGTTTTTGACAGTGGCTTTTCCCCATCCTTCATGCCAGCTGATACGTCAAGCTCACCATCAACAGCTTTCCTCTTGAGTCCGTTCGTCACGGCGCTTTTCTCCTTTTGAGCCTGGTCCTGCTTTGGGCTGTCTCCCCCAAAAATCACATCCACGACTCCACGAAAGCTCTCCCTTTTCAACCTGGCCAGCTGAACAACCTTCCGCGCCTCTTCGCAGACCGCTTCTTTACCCCTTTCTTGACTCAGGCCCCACACAGCCGCCAAATTCACCACATCCCATGGTCCTCGAAGACCCAATGCACTTTTCGCTTCACTGCTTATGATTATGCCGCGTCCTCTGGTTGCCCTTATCAATGCCGTTGCTCCGCTGATCAAGTTCCTCCGTGCCTCTGTCCCAGCCCCTATCACACCGCCAGCATAGCATATCTCAAACCGGATTCCACGTTGCAGTGCTGCAGCCATGGTCTTGAATTTCAGGATGAAGGGCAGGCGGATGCTCAAGTCGAGGGAGATGAGGTCGCATTCGAGAGACTGGCAGCATAGGGATAGGGCTTTTTCGTTGGTTGGACGTAACGCGACGATATTGTAGGCAGATTGAAGGGAGGAGAGGCGGTGATTCTGGCTAGGGTCGGAGATAGTGAACGTGATACGCGTTAGGAGAGTCACTGGAGCTGGGACTTTGACATTGGCAATGGGTAGGGAGATTACATCAGCGGCTACATCGGTTGGGACTTTGCCGGAGAGAGTGCGACTGAGGGCGATGCAGTTGTAGCCAAGTTCGGCGGAGAAGGAGAGGTTGCGAGAGAGTTCTGAGGGGTTGGCTGTATTTGAATAGGGCAGGTTCAGGTCGTAAAACATTTCTATCCTCCTCGTGAGGTTCAGTACAGGTCCCAGCTCGAGTTATAGAGCTTTAGAGCGGCGAGTTAAGTGAATGACCCACCTGGATGAATGTGCGCGTGGAGGCAGCATGGGGTTTGAGCATTTACTTAAAGTTTACGTCTTCCGCGATCATCGTCATGTGCTGTTGTGTGTAGCTCCGCAGCCTTGCTAGCGCCATATCTGGCATCCCGCCTGTGTTTGTCACGGACTCGTTCTACCTGACGTGAAGAGATACGACTATTACTGCTTCTACACACTATATAAAGTAGCATCAGTGGTGTATCTTGTGCAGAATCCTCTTACGCGACATCGGACACCAGCGCCTGTTACGAAGACGTGGGAGGACAACTGGTTGTAGTACTCTCGTTCCCAGCCAGCTTCGACTGGCCTGACTGGGCGCAGCATGGCTCGTGTCTATGCAGATGTTAACCAGCAGATGCCTCGGGCGTACTGGGACTACGACTCTGTGAATATCTCATGGGGGATACTGGAGAATTATGAGGTTGTGCGGAAAATAGGTACTTGATATTCCACCATTTGGATCTGGAAGAAGGGTGTGTGAAGCTGATAGTGACAGGGCGAGGCAAATATTCAGAAGTATTCGAAGGCATCAACGTCGTCAACTACCAGAAGTGTGTCATCAAAGTCCTGAAGCCCGTCAAGAAGAAGAAGATAAAACGAGAGATCAAAATTCTACAGAACCTATCGGGCGGGCCAAACATTGTTGCGCTGCTCGATGTTGTTCGTGACAGCCAAAGCAAGACGCCGAGTCTAGTCTTCGAGAACGTCAACAATACCGATTTCCGCACATTATACCCTCGATTCGTGGATTATGATGTTCGATTTTATATCTTTGAGCTTCTGAAAGCCCTGGATTTCTGCCATAGCAAGGGGATAATGCACCGAGACGTAAAGCCGCATAATGTCATGATAGATCATGAAAAGCGGAAGGTATACCAGTTGGCCTGGAGTCTTTTATAAGCTAATGGATCATAGCTGAGATTAATCGATTGGGGGCTTGCGGAGTTCTATCATCAGGGCACAGAGTACAACGTCCGAGTGGCATCAAGATATTTCAAGGGGCCGGAATTATTGGTCGACTTTCAAGAGTACGACTACTCACTCGACATGTGGTCATTAGGAGCCATGTTTGCCTCAATGATCTTCCGAAAAGAGCCATTCTTCCATGGAAACAGCAATTCAGATCAACTGGTGAAAATAGCCAAAGTACTTGGCACTGACGACTTGTTCGAGTACCTTGATAGATACGATATTGAGCTCGATGCTCAGTATGATGACATCTTGGGACGATTCCCGCGGAAGAGCTGGCATAGTTTTGTGAATTCTGAGAACCAAAGATTTGTGTCAAACGACGCGATAGACTTTCTCGACAAGCTGCTAAGATACGACCACCAAGTAAGACCAATCTTGGCTACAAGAAGTGCGAGACCGACTAACAGAACGCATAGGAACGACTGACGGCACAAGAAGCAATGGCGCATCCATATTTTGGCCCAGTTCGAATGGCATCCGCACAACCAGCGCAGAACCATGCTTCGTGATGAAGAAAACAATGAGGGAATACATGAAAATTGGCCTAGCTCAGAAAGGCCGCAATGAGCCATTGACACCAAATGCGACGCGTCCGACCTTTGAACGATACTCGCTACGAGGAAGAGAAAGGGGCTAGAAGGTCAAGGTTGGGCACACGGTTCAATGAGGAGGCAAGCATAATACCTATTGTCGGCTTCGGTGTGGACATAGCTGGAGTCCGTGATGTTCATGAAACAAGCCATATGAAATATTACCTCAAAGAGTAGGAGCTGACCCGGTTGGCTCTAAAGGAAGGAGTTTCGCCACCTATTAAACAGGTTGCGCGCCAGCATTCATGCCCATCTTTCAATCGGTGTTTTTTTTTTGAGAATGAAAACCTGAAGCATTCTGACACAGTGGTTGGGTTGTTATTCGCTATGCCGTGTTCTGGGAAGCCAGGGCCGCGAACGTGCCGGTCATGACGACTCATAACTAAGACTTTCAAGGTTGACAGGGACCATGCAGCTGTTGATTGGTTTGCTCTCCCGCTCGTCTAGTACTCAGAAGGTCTTGAGAGGATCCACCCCGCGGTTGTGCAACCCCCATAAGGCAATGACCAATATCTGCACTCTGGCACATGCACATGCATATTTGACTGAACAAGCTCAAACACAATGTCGTGGCTGAGGTGAATTAAAAGCCGCATCATATCTGACTAGTGCTCCATTGTGGCTAGCTGGAACCGTAGTGCTTGGCCTGGGAACTTACTACCTAGAACATGGAACTTAGGCCTGGTTTTCATTAGACAGGTCGGCTAGGGACTGTGGGGAGAAGAGGTGGGAAGACCTTCTGGAACGACTTTGTTCAAGCCTAGTTACTTAGTTAAGGCACCCTAGATAAGTTGCTCCGTACCCCGAGGCAAGATCCAAAGTTTAGTGGCCCATCTTGCCTTTCGGAACCATATCCTCCCCCCTCGCTTTCTCCACAATCCCGCCCTGTCACAGGACCACGAGCTCATTATCGCGCTTCTGCTGCCTTCCAATCTATGTACCCCACAACGCGACTGTACAGACGCCGCACGGCGGACAATCGCATGGTCTGCTTCGGTGTCGAGATCACCTCTTGGTCGTTCTGACTCACACCTCCTTCAGCTCGATCGATGTACTATCGCTGTATCGCAGCTCTTGCGACGCAGCTACGATCAGAGAGTTTGAATTTTCAGGAAGAGAAGGAGTCGCGAGGCGATACGAGATTGGAAGTTCAGGCAACCGGGCCCCTGCAGGTCCTCCCTCGATAACACAGAGCGATTTGGTCTATGCAGACGTCGAAACAGTTGGGATGTTCGGACGTCACTCGAGCACTTGACCACCTCCACTAGGTCCTACAACGTCAATTGCCTCGTGCAATCAGGCATTGACGAGAATCCACGTTGCTCGAAGTGGCCAACCGCACCGAACAATGGATCCCGCATCATGCCGTGTGATCTACATCGATGATCGCTTTCCGGCAGAAAAGTGGTTGACTCGAGACGTGGTGTCCTCGCCTACCACGAACAATAGGGCAAAAGAGGCTTTAGCGCTTGAGTTGGCCGAATTACCGCCAGAACTCCAGGCAAATGTCAACGCGGTGCTGGGCGTCTTCAACCAAGGTAATAACTCGACTCTTGGGCGAGGTACGAGTTCTGACCTGCAATTTTAGTGTTTGTTTGCAATTCTGGACGGTCGTTTTCGGCCAAATTGGCGAAGTTACAGGACTCCGTCAAAGTTGATTGCACCCCAATACTTGCTCTTTTCGATGTCGATTCGGATTTGAAGCATGATCATCTTCTGAGGCTTGTAGGTCAAAAGTCACATAATCTTAGCCCAGATTCTCCCACCTCCGCCCGAGCTGCGCTTCAGAGGCAATTGACGTTCTCCTCAGAGGCCGACGAGTCATATGGCTTGCAATTATTGTCTAGGATAACGTCAGACCTCCAGGTGGACGAGGGTGTCAAGCTTGTCATTCCAGTCGCTTTGGTTCGAACGAGACGGAAGGATGCAAACGCTACAGCTGCCACTCCGACGAGACATTCATATTCTGGCAAAGACCCTCGGGTACTGTTACACATCGAGGATAAACCTTCACCGGTAGATACTCCAATGATGTTACACTGCCTAGACGCTGGTGCGCTTGATGTCGTTCCGAGTCCTTTGAACAACGAGAAGATAATGGGCTTGACTGTTCATGCTTACCGGATATATAAAACTGCAAAGAAAGAGCAGTCTGCTTTTCTTGCTTCTGCTTCGCAATTTATGGCTGCGGCTCGGAGAAGGAAGCAATCGTGGGTTGGTATCGAGGAAGAGAAACCATACGCATACCTGAGGGAAGCAATGTACGTGGACGCCCTATAATGGATTGTGACCAGAAACTGATAGCAAGGTTTTTAGGGTTAAGAAACTGCTGAAAGGAATCTGCGAACCAGAGACTATAATCGAGGATTATCAGCATCGGTAAGATCTCAAAATCCCTACTCAGAGACGGAGAGAATCCTGACGCTGCTCCAGCGATCTTCGAGTAGACCATGACCGCAAACAAGACATTATAACAGAGATTGGAAAATGGAGCTTCTGTGCGCACGACTTCTCAGAGGATGAGTTAGTCTATGCGGGTTATTATATGCTCGACCACGCACTCAAAATGCCCGAGTTAGAACATTGGCGCATGACTGAAGGTAAGCTGGAGCGCTGGATGGTACTCAAATTCCCGGCTAACCGACATCTTACAGACGAAATTCTGCGATTCATGCAAGCCAGCCGGGTTGCCTACAACTCATTTGTCCTCTACCACAACTTCAGGCATGCAGTTGACGTCCTGCAATCTTTATTCCATTTCCTCGTGCAGATAGGGACCATAACACCATATCCTGTCGGATCGACCCCTCCACCTCTTTCGCAAGACAAATCTCCTGTGTGTCAGCTGTTGGCACCATTCGAAGCGCTAACGCTGCTCATTTCCGCTATTGGCCACGATGTTGGACATCCCGGCGTCAATAATATGTTTCTAGTCAAGCTGAATGCACCTCTTGCGCAGTTGTACAATGATCAGTCTGTCTTGGAGGCTTTTCACTGCGCAGCATACTCACAGATTCTCCGCCGACATTGGCCTACAGCGTTCGCTGATAGGTCTCTTCGCAAGTTACTCATCAGCTCCATTCTTGCAACAGACATGGGCGTGCATCCAGACTATATGCAGCGGCTCGGTAACCTGCAAGAGAAAATCCACGAGAGCAAGACAACGGATGGGTGGGCTCCCAAAGATATTGAGACCTCGCGTATCCTAATCTGCGGGCTTCTGATCAAGTGCGCGGATATCAGCAACGTCGTACGTGGTGTTCTCGATCCTTTGTACCTTGCTATACTAATTGTTTCAGGCGAGACCATGGAAGGTCGCAGAAAGATGGACGCATCTTTTGCAGCAAGAGTTTGCATCGCAAGGCGAGATGGAAAATCAAGTTGGGATGGAGACTACTCTCTTTGGCGGTCCGCCTGAGATCGGCAACATGATGAAATTGGCGAATGGCCAAATCGGCTTCATGAGCATCTTTGCCCACCCGTTGTTTGCGAACGTGAGCGACGTCATACCTGCAATGGGTTTTGCTGCCGCCGAGATAAACAACAACAAAAGTGTTTGGATCACCCTGATAGAGCAAGAGAAGAGAAGGCAATATTTGACGAACGAAGGAGGCTCCAGTGATGGTGCTATATCGCCGCGATCTCAGAGTCCAGCCCCGAGAAAGATGGACAAACTCCAGAAACCAAACACGGGTTATTTTCCTGCTTCGCCACTTCGACATACTTCCAACCCACCATCCCCTCTCCAGCAGCAAGTCAAGGACTCCCAAGACTCATCGATCGCTACCATGCCGCACGTCATGACAACGGAGGATTCATCAAGAAATCATTCCGAGGCACCTTCCTGGAAATCGCCGTTCGTGGAGAACGGAACACTGGCTACCTCAAGCGCTACTTCTGTACCTCAAGAGGGCACTCGAGCATCATCAGGTGTGTTCCCCAATGCAAAACCCCACCTCCAGCTACGGAGACCAGAAATGCAGCCAAGGAGATCGAGTAACACTGTACCGCGCAGTCTGCAAATGAATGGGATCTCCGGACCTCACGATGGAAGTGCGACAACGACCACGGCATCGAGCGAGCACGGAGATGACGAGGGGAAAAAGGAAAGCGAGTTAAGGGAAAGTACTTTCACGGGTGCCAGCGTGCCTTTGGTACTCGAGGACTCGGCACCAAACCTACCAAATCGGCAGGCGTCACTGCAGAAAGAAAGCACAGAACCCCCTCAGTTTGCAACCCAGGACGAGATTGTGTCCGATTCCAGATGTTGCGCGGTCCACAACCGGTCTATTCCACAGGCTACCCATCAAGTACGCACCTCAGGCCATATGTCTGTTCCATCAACCACAGACAGCAATAGCATGGCCACTAGTGGAGGCCACACATATTCGACCAACCCATCTACAACGCTTTCACCTTCCACAGAAGCGACGAGTTTCCTCTGCATAGATAGTGGCGATGAACAAGTCGAGGAACGTGGCAGTAAATCTTGGAATCTACCGACGAGAAGAGACCAGGATCACGACCGGGCGCAGAGCAGTCCGAGTATCTTACCAGAGGTTATGCCACCAAACACGATGGGACGTGTGCCACCTGTCGTGAGTAGTGGTCGTGGTAGAACGAAGAGCCCGGCCAAGACTTCGACCGCTACGGTGAAAGAGCCGGCACAAGAGACAGTCAGTACGTGGGAAGAAGATGGCGACAGAAGCATGAGGAGGAGGATCAGTCGATTTCGGTTCTGGAGAAAAAAGACGGAAGAGGATGAGTGTCAATGACTTGTGACGGCGTATCGAAAAAGGTATCATATGGATGGCTTGCTTAACATGGGTGGTCACTGTTTCGAGCTCGGTCGCGATGAGCTAGGCGTGGAGTTTGGGAGCTGTGTACCAGGCCAGCAACCGCTGGCTGTATGGTTCATATTGTCAGATTGGACATAGCGAGGGAGGCGGCTTGTTCGAGCGAAGATGATGTTTGTCAAGAGGACACAGTGAGGGATTCATACTGCTTGTTCGAGCACGGACGACGTTTGATGGGACCATGAAAGAGCTTCCGTTGTAGGTAGTAACGTTGTAAAGGAACTCGCCACACCGTACGATAAGAAGAAGAGGCAAAGTGTACTTACACCATTTGCTATTCTCCCTTATCACTGTCCTGCTTGCAGTTCTGCTCATACAAGTGTCGATTCCATTGTGCATACATTGCCTGCAACTGTAGCCAACATCAGCCTCGTCCTTTCTGGATTCTATTCTGAAGATGGCAACTCACAGCAGCAAGTCCGAGCCCACACAACTTCATGGCACAACCCTTGTACCTCTACCAAGGGTCGCTATCAAGTTCTGTGTGCAATGCAAGTGGAATCTCAGAGCCGCATATGTAAGTAATAATTCGTTAATCACTATAGTCATACCCTCTATGTCTCCTCTCTCTAGCAATCAATTCTCTGTCAATCAGTGATTGCGATGGGTCTCTGTCACAGCTGGTTTTGACATTGCTACACTACACATTTCAACCGATCGCTATATCTTCCCTACCAACACTGGCTGCAGATCTGCTTAGCCTCCGTACTTGTCTTTTACTATCATCCTACATCAGTCGTTTGAAGAAATGCCATATATACCCCAGATCTCCCAGACCAAGTCTGACTATCTCTCTCTTCTATCTCCTTCCCTGGATCACGAAATGCTTCGTACAGATACCAATAGTCCCATCCCCCTTTTCCGTTGGCATCCTGACATTCGTTTCCCCTATACTTCATCGTCCTCCCTCTCACCCCTCCCCTCTGATTAATCTCATTTAGTATGCACAAGAACTCCTCTCCACATTCTCCCTCTCCCTCGGCGAAGTCGCCTTGATCCCCTCTACGTCGGGTACTTTCGTCGTCAACCTTTTCTTAGCACAACAACCACCACAGCTACCCGGGACGGAAGAACTGGGTTTAGAGAAGGGAGGGGCAGCCGTGGCGGTTCAAGAACACGTTCTCTGGGATCGGAAGATCGATGGAGGGTTTCCCGAGACTAAGGAGTTGAAGAGGAGGGTTAGGGATTTGGTGGAGCCGGGGAGGGGGTTGGGACATGTGGATCGGGATTATAGCAGGGTTGGAGCAGAGAAGGCGAAGGGTGAGGGGGAGGCGGTGGGGGAGGATAGGAAGGTGGGGAATCGCGAGAGTGTTGAGACGGAGAAGAAGGGTGAAAGGGGCGGAGAGGGTGGTGGGGATAGGAATGGAACAGGTACCAGTACTAAGCTAGGAGATGATGCCAAATACGAGAAGGGAGATAGTACTGGTAACGACAAAGGTGCCGGTGAGGGGGAGAAATGTGCAGATTGTTTGTAAGGCGGACCATTGGTGCTCTCCATCACCAATCCGATTTGAAAGACCTGAACGCCTTCATGAATAATAACTGGATGCAAGTTCTGCACCGCTGGACTCGCAACTATCTTCTTCTGCGCGGCTTAGTACAACAGCCCACCGCGAGTAGAAGATCGATTCGCCTTCCTTGTCTGGTGCAAGTAGAAAGGTCCCCAAGCTTCTCCTTCAAAGCGCGTAAGAACCGTCCAAATAAAGAACACACACAAAAAAGCTCCCCCCCCCTTGACCCCCGTCTAAGTACGGCTCTCCTGGGCCTCCAAGATTGGGAAGAAAAGATCTAGCTATCAAATTCGTGCCGCTCTTGCCGTGCCGAGCCACCAGCAAGTCATATAGTCTCGGGAGGAAAGTGTCATTGATAAGGATTCGTCGTAGGTGGTTTGATGGTAGGGGTCCAGGTCGATTAAGTGCAGTTAAAGCCACATCTTGGAACGCCGAGCTGAATGCAGAATCAAACATGATGCGCCCTTTTCACATGACTGTGCAGCATCCTTTTGATTGCTGCGGAGCATATGGGTCTTCTCTTTTGTCGACCTGGTGATAGTTGTGTTAGCGAGGTATTGTGGCTGTGTGAGGTAGGGGCATGAGCATACTGTTCCCCATACAGATGGCACCATATAGTCTCGAGTGGAATTGCAATAATGTATCAGGCTATTGGTCAATGTTAGATATGTGCTCAGGATGATAGGCAGCCTGCGTTCTGCATTCGCGACCAGCATGATGCAGGTTGGGGCACTGACTCCTTTGAAGCCTGCGCTACTGTCACGCGCGGCCGATCAAGATCTTCTCTGAGACGTAGATTGAGCTCATTCAACCGTCTGAGCTTCAAGTCGGCCATGCTTTGCTTTTTGTTCTTCCCATCACCGCCTGCACGGATCTCGTACGATGTGGGCATCGTGCGAACAATTTGAAATTGCGATTCGCGGACTCGATGGCCGGGAGAGGGGAGAACCTCGACGTCTCAATAAGCAACGCGTTCGTAGGGTATACGTAAGTCGTTAATACCAAGCGATGGTTCGGGTGCTCGACAGACGTGCCAGGATGAATGAGATACAACTATCGACGACTCGCTTGGTGCTGTGGCAGAGCGCTCTCATTTCCATTTCCAACTGCGACGGTGAGGCAGAGTTTACGCTAAGGGCTTAGCGCTGTCTCCTTGCTACGTATCCACACTCAAATTTCACCGTCACAAATCTGGCGTAATTGCTTATGTACCAACAACTTCCGATTCTATCCATCACGGAGAAAACTCTCTATCTCTAGGAAAGACTGTCAGTCTTGAGGGATAGTATCACCGCCTCGAGGCCTTAAATCTCATCTTCGAGTACCATTCTCTGCAGTTGCCCAGCATGCCTCCTCCACCACATATCAAGCCTGAGAATGTGCTCAAGGTCAGCTTTCCCCCAGAATCAACACTTTATGAGCATCAAATTACTGACAGTCATACAGCGAGCGCAAGAGCTCATTGCAGTCGGTCAGACTCAGGCTGCTCTGACTGTTCTCCACGAACATGTCACCTCCAAGCGAACCCGAAACAGCCCCATCGCGTCGCTTGAGCCTGTGATGCTCTTGTTTGTCGAGCTATGCGTCGACTTGCGAAAAGGCAAATCAGCAAAGGATGGCTTGTATCAATACAAGAACATTGCTCAAAACTCAAACGTTGGGACAATCGAGGTGAGCATGTACCTTTCATCCAGTGCATTGAATACTGCTGACTTTCTGTCCCTAGATGGTGCTGAAGAAGTTCATCGACCTTGCAGAGCAGAAAGTCACCGAAGCACAAGCGAAGGCGGATGAAGTTCAGTCGTCCCTTGAAACCTCGACAACCACAGCCAATGTCGAGGACCTGGACGCCATAGAAACCCCAGAGACGATTCTTCTTGCTACAGTCTCTGGTGAACAGTCAAAAGATCGAACAGACAGAGCTATCGTAACGCCATGGCTTAAGTTTTTGTGGGAGACATACCGGACGGTCCTGGAGATTCTCAAGAACAATGCCCGTCTGGAGATTATGTACCAGAGCACAGCCCTTCAGGCTTTCCAATTCTGTCTGAAATATGCTCGAAAGACAGAATTCCGACGGCTTTGCGAGCTATTACGGAACCATGTCACCAACGCGGCGAAGTACTCCCAGCAGATGCATGCTATCAATCTCAACGACCCAGACACCCTACAAAGGCATCTTGACACGAGATTCCAACAGCTCAATGTTGCTGTCGAGTTGGAGCTCTGGCAAGAAGCATTCCGGAGTGTGGATGATATCCATTTATTGCTTAACGCAAGCAAGCGGCCAGCGAAGAACGTTACCATGGCTAATTACTACGAGAAGTTAACCAGGATTTTCCTTGTCAGTGACAATTTCCTCTTCCACGCTGCAGCATGGAGCCGATACTACAACCTCCTCAGACAGTCTGCTGCTGCTGTTGCAGCTGGACAGAGCTCCAAGAAGGACAATCCAGCTACAAGCGAGAGCGAGATGACCAAAGCTGCATCCTTTGTTCTTTTGTCGGCCCTGTCTATCCCAGTCATCAGCACATCCCGATCGAGAGGTGCGCTTATGGACGTAGATGAGGCTCGGAAGAACAAGAACACCAAATTGACCAATCTTCTCTCGATGCCTTCACCACCTACTAGAGCTGTCTTACTAAAGGACGCTCTGAGCAAAGGGCTTCTTTCGCGCGCTAGACCAGAAATTCGAGATCTGTACAACATCTTGGAAGTGGACTTCCATCCGCTCTCCATCTGCAAGAAGATCTCGCCCATCTTGTCCCAGATTGGTTCAGACCCAGACATGGAGAAATACGTTCTCCCGCTTCAGCAGGTCATCTTGACTCGTCTTTTTCAACAGCTCTCTCAAGTGTACGAGTCTGTTGAGTTGGGCTTTGTGTACAATCTAGCACAGTTCCCTGAACCATTCCAGGTCTCTCCTGCCATGATCGAGAAATTCATCATGAACGGCTGCAAGAAGGGCGATTTAGCCATTCGACTGGATCACGTTTCTGGCATCCTCACCTTCGACGCTGATGTCTTTTCTTCTGCTAAAGCGCTTCATGCTGGTAGTGCGGCCGGTTCGGCTGAGGGCGAAGTTGGCTCGGTCCAGCGTCTTCAAAACACCCCAGCCGAGATTGCAAGGTCGCAGCTTACTCGCTTGGCAAAGACATTGCACATTACTTGCATGTATGTGGATCCCGAATACAATGCTTCCAGACTTGCTGCACAACAGGCTGTCCTGGCACGCGCCGCAGCTGGAGCTGAGAAGGAGCACGAAGAAACATTGTCTCGTCGCGCCATTATCGAGAAGAAGAAGGAACTAGCTTCAGACGCGTTGATCAAGCGACAGCGAGAGGAAGAGACTCGGAAGCGAAGGCGTGTACAACAAGCAGCCGAGGCAGAGAGACAAAGACTCATCGATGAGCACCGCGAGCGCGAACGCAAACGACTCAAGGACCAGCAGGATCAGATCAAGCGAAAGGAAATTGAGAAACAGTTAGATGAACTGAAAGCGAGTGGCAAAGGCTTTAGTCTGGACGATATGAACATCGACGAGCTTGACAGCAGCACAATCAGAGCGATGAAGCTTGCTCAGCTTGAAAAGGACAACAGAGAGAGAGATGAGCGAGTACGTATCACAGCCAAACGAGTTGACCATCTCGAGCGAGCTTTCCGTCGCGAGGAAATCAAACATCTCCCTGAGGACTATGAACGTCAACGGCAGCATGATCTTGAGGTGTACGAGCGGACCAAAGCAGAAACTTTAAAGGAAGCACAGATCAAGCACAAAGAAGGCTTGGCTTTGAAGCACCGACTCGAAAGGCTTGTTGGTCCCTATGATCGTTTCAAGAGCGAGCTCAACGAAAGACGCCATGAGGAGTTTGAACGTCGTCGTAAAGTGGCTGAACGAGAATTCGAGAATAAGAAACGGCAGCGCATCCAGGAGGTCCGCGAAAAGAAGCATCGTGAGCGAATGGAACGGCAAGAAACCGAGCGTCGTAAACGCGAGGAAGAGGAGCGAGTAGCAAGAGAAGCGGAGGAAAAGGCAGCTAAGGAAGAGGAGCGAAAACGTGTTATGGCCGAGCAAAAAGCTGCCAAGGAAGCAGAGCGTGCGAAAAATGATGAAATCGCACGAAAACAACAGCAAAGAGAGGCTGAAGCTGAAGCTCGACGACTTGCTCGCAAGGCTGAAGCTGCCGCTGCACCAGCCCCGCCACCATTTACGCGTGGTTCCATACCGACTCGTGGTGCAGCAGCAATGTCAGAACGCACAGATTCGAACGAGCGTCCCGCTCGTTTACAGCTGGCTGGCCAAGGAGGGGGGACATGGCGCGAAAGGTTGGCGGCAAAAGAAGCTGGACATGGCACTTCACCAAGCCCAGCTGCAGAAGAAGCTCCACCAAGGCGACCTGGCGGCTACGTCCCTCCGGCGCTCCGAGACGGCGGAAGAAGCTCATCAAGAGGTGCTCAGGATGGCCATGATGTTCACCCTCCACCTCGTGACACAACTCCCAAGCCGGCAACACCGCCTACCAATAACGTTGGTAACAATACTGCCAGCAGCAGTGATGGCCCCAAAGGTGGCAGGTGGGTACCACCACATCTCCGGAAGAAGGATTAGATGGACTGTTTCCTGTAAGAACAGGTGGTATCGCTGGCGCTGACCTTGCCTTCAATCATGTGTATTTTACCTTTCCTTCACGCGAATGGCGAGGAAAATTGTGCAGATCGAGCCGAATCCGAGTTTAATGCCGATGCTCAATACACGTCCTCCGGACTGACTCTAAACTCCTCCCCATTCTCCCTGACATGCTTTCTCTCCTTATCTCGATCTAAAGGCTTCCTCATGTCAAATGCATCTTCCCCGCCCCCTTCATCTTCCGAGGTCCCATTGGGATTATCACTGTAATACATGACCACTCTGCGGAACACGCTATATCCCATCTTTCTGTACATGTCGATGGCCAGCTTGTTGCTGGCTCGGACGTAGAGGTCAACGAACCAGGCGGAGGATTGGTTGCATGTTCGTTCGAGCGACGAGGTGAGGAGTTTGGCGTACCCGAGGCGCCGGTAATGGGGAGAGACGGTTAGGATGGTGATGTGGCCATGCCAGGGGAGAGGGTACGGGTGGTGCGGCGGTGAGGTCTCGAGTTTGCCCATTACTGGGTTGATTTCATCAGCACTAGAATAACTTTTCTATGCTGGCAGATTGCTTGAGTGAGGGTAGACTACGCACTATATGCAACGATCTTGCCTCCGTCCTCTTCTACGCATTGGAACAGTGAAGGCCATTTCATTAGGTATGTCAGGTAGAAGTTTAGGTCGTAGTTCTCGGTGTAGGAATCTAGGTTGCAGAGATTGAGAGAGAGGAGGTCGGTGGGACGGACGCGGCGGACTATGGGCATGATTGGAAGGGATTCGTTTGGTTTTGATTTGGATTTCGACGTCAAGTCCGGGAAAAGTAAGGGAATGTTATTGAACCTTGTGCTTATTCATCTTCTGGAGCCAGATTCTCTGTTAACACACTGGATACAGCAATGGGAGAGCAGTTGAAACATCCCACAATCTCCTTCCATAGAGTGTTCCGAAGTTTTGCCGTTGCACTCTTACTTACGGCTCCAAGATCGTCATGGCTTGGCGAGATTCCAAACCCTTGTCAATCCGAAGTGGTCGCGACCTTTGTTTCCTGCATACATAATGTAATCAAATCTTGTGGCGCCTGTACATGTTTTGGAGCACTCAGTAATGTTGTAGTTGGTCCTTGTGTATTTCTCAGTTTCCAGTGCCGCCCTCGTACAACCCTCCTCCATCCGTTTAACGGCGATCAGCCAGAATGCCTTCGATACCTTCCTCGCCCAATGTCGAACCCCCATCTTCCGCATCCTCGAATCAGTATTATGCTAGCAATGGCACTAGCTCGTCAAGAAGATCTTCCCGCACATCACAGACCTCAATTCCATACTTCCCAACGACACCGCGTCACTCCCTTGGCAAGAGAGATTCTGCTTCATTGAGCATCGCGAGTGACGGGCTCTATGGTGAACTAGGAGAAGGCGAGGATATGGACAATTTGGCCGACGAATTGGCAGACGCTTGGGATGAGAATGGGGAAGAGGAGCCAGGGTCAAGTTTTCTGGACGGTCTAAGAGAAGGAAGTGCTGAACCTTTGTCATTGCATGATGAGATTTGCAGTGGCAACAACGTCGGCTCCCCTGAATTTCACTCCGTTCGAAGCCCCACGACACCATTGCGCAAACCGGTTGTGGATGACCCGTTGGGCTCACCTACACGGTCAGCGGGCAACATCAGAAGGAGCACGTCTCTGCAACACAGAGAGGATGAATCGCGCTGTATGGGCTCGAACTACGCAGATGATTCTGATCTGGAAGAAGCAAAAGTTATTTCACCTGCGCTGGCCCGACAGATGACCAACATCGAAGCACTGGCGAGACAATGTCTGAACGATGATTCGGTCAGCGAAGCTGGGGGCGTTGTTTTGAGGACTACGCTCGCATTGCAGGATCTGGGGCCACAATCGAGTATCGAAAATGGGGTAACTAGGATGACCACCGCATACACGTCTATTGCCATGCATCGGACGCAAAAGACCAGAGAGATCTATTCAGTGGCGCATTCATTACTGTTGGACAGATACCCAAATCTAGCGGAAGAAGACATCGGTGGGTTGATAGCTGAGCTGGACATACTCCTCGAGTACCTACAGTTACCGTCTGGACCCAGTCCGCTGCAGTCACTTCACAGCCTCATCGCCGGTACTGCAGATCTTGCACACTCGCTGCGCTCTCTGACCGACATGATACAAGAGTCAAAGCAAGCAGCGTCGGCAGCCTCACGACGACTGAAGAATGCCAAAGACGTTGTGATGGAACTACAACAAGAGGAGGAAGCACGGGAAGAAGGTATCCGCTATCTAGAGGAGGGGGATTGGGATCGGCGAATACGTGACAGAGAGGCTGAGTGTTTGTGTGGAGATGTGGTTGCTGGATTCGAGACGACCTTCGACGCGTGGAGGTATCGTCTGTTTGGGACTTTGAGTACTGAAGGGACTCCTGCATGATACCCCCATACTTACACAGATTCTTGAGTAGATGATACCCGGTTAGCGAGGTAATGTTCATATTATCGGGGTCTAATTCAGCTTCAAGAACGAAGACCGTTGTTGGTCATGACACAATCTGGATCTTGCCAACGCAGCTCTGAAACTGGTTGAGATGTGCAGTTGCACAGCGTACTATGTATCTTGTTACAGATGACAGCTGATACGGCTTCATGGCACAAGGGGGGCAGAGGTAGGGTATGGGTGTTGCTCTCCAGCGTACGGAGTACTCGTGGCTCGAAGACTAACCAATCAATGGATACTAAGAATAGGGCAGACGACTTACTACTCAACTACTAGTAGTAGTAGTACGGAGTAGATTGCGACACCAGGCAAGTAAGCTGCCACTCAAACAGGCTAATTTGCTGCACTTCTGAAAAATGTCCGTGACTGGGATCTTCCAAACCTTGAGACGGTGGTCAGAGAAGTAGTGCCATGTCAAGACTTTGCTACCATGGATCTAGCTAGTGAGAGTACTACGTGGTTGGCAGAAATTGAAGGGTCTGTTTCGAAGCGTTAGTCAGTCAAACCTTGAACCTCAGGCATGCCTTGGTCTTTGCGTGTGCCTCTAGCTTGTGCCTTTAGCGTCGTCTAATCCTGGATCCTTTCCGGGCAGCAAAACTGTCTCGTCTTCCAATCTTTTCGACTCCTTAAGCGCCAACATTCATCTCCTCTCTTCACACAATTGGTCAGACCCATTTTCCAACCTCCTGACCACCGTCTGAGCCGCGTCTTCTATTCAATTGATGCAGTTAGTGTTCCCTTTAGCTCCCGCCAGGATCAACTCAAATTCCAAGTCGAAAGTGGCCTTGGGTACCGTTGCTATTCTGGCTCTCGTCCCCTCCTCCCAGCAGTCCAACCCTACTTTTCCCCTTCTGCCCTGACTTCCAGAAGCAGAAAAACAAAAGGGCGGATCACCAAGCTGCAGCCGTTTGAGGATCGTGAGCTAGGGCAAGAGTTACACGAGGTCAGTGCCGTCCAGATGAGGCAGCTAGCGAAGCCATTATTTTTATACATTACTATACATGCACTTCTTGCCCAGCCACGCGCAAAAAGAGTACTGCTTCTTGCCACACAATATGCAGGTTATGTCTCCACTCATCCCGGTAAGCAATTTCTGGTGGGGCTTGCTACTGCAATGCAGATTCAAATGGGAGGGTCTTTTTCCATTCGAGGTGAAATAAGAAGATCATGCCCTTCCGTTGTGGCCTCCTTGGTTGATTGTTATTACTCCATCTCATCCAATTCTCAAAATACTACTTCATACGCGCGCGCTCTATTTCTCTATTTCTGTCCTTGAAGCTCTGCAACATTCACTCGGCAGCGCTTGTCTCTTCTCCTCTCTCTCGCCCCATCTCTGCTCCTTCCCGCTCCTGCATACTCTAGACACATTGCATACACAATGCATCTCTCTTCGACCATATCCTTCCTCACTACCTCTCTTCTCCTCCTCTCTACCACCACCGCTCTTCCCGCCAATGACCAAAACAGACGTCCTTGCGACAAAAACAAGACGCGAAAAGATCCGCTTACAAGCTGTCCGCTTGAGCCAGCCCCATCTCTGCCTGAATCAGCCCTGCCACCTACCAGCCTGACCCTACGACATGTCCTCCTCGGCAAAGGCACTCAAAACTACACCTGTGCCAACACCAATTCCCCCCCGGTGGCTGCCGGTGCCCTCGCCACCCTCTACGACATTTCCTGCCAAGTCACTGATCCAAATTCCCGTGCCAAGTTCGACCAGAAGCTGATCCCGGACTTCCTCAAGAATTTTTCCAAGTCGGTCCAAGATCTCCTTCCATCAACAGCTTCCGCTGCCAGTGTTGGTGACCACTACTTCCGTGATGGGACCACGCCGATGTTCGTGCTGAATGATGGCCATTTCGTCGCGGCCGGTAAAGTCGGCGGTTGTGCAGCGCCGAGTTCCGCAACTGGGAATGAAAACGGCGCTGCGGTTGATTGGTTGAAGTTGGCGCGGAAGCAAGGGGAGGCGAATGGCGGGATTGAGGAGGTTTATCGCGTGCACACTGCGGGTGGGAGGGCGCCAGCAGCTTGTTCGAAGGCAGGGCTACTGACGGTGGATTATGTGGCCGAGTATTGGATGTATGGATGAAGATGGTGATGATGATGGCCCGACCATGGGCTGTTTTATGGTTGAAACGACCTTCTTTTAATTTCTTCGTCTGGAGGATGGTGTAACAAACTGGGCCTGCTCAAGGCCCTTTGGGTTCTACTACCTCTATGCCCGCATCGGGTCCCCATTCAATAACGCCAGGTCTTTCTAGCTTCCGGAGGTTCTTGTGAACGGACCAGAAGGGGAACATGAAGCTTGCACGGGACATGACACGACATGACGCGACAGTCTACATTAATGAAGGAGACAGCCGGACAGGGGGAAAGGAGAGAAGGGCAAAGGAGGTATAATGGTGAAAGACGGTCGACTTCGATTCTCTGTATAAATATACACCTTTTTTTGGCACGGACATGGTAGATTATTGTTTATATATTCTACAAGTACAGAGACCGAGAGAGAGAGAGAGAGAGAGTTTTACGCATACTACGAAGCATTTGAAGATTCTTGTTCCCACTCCCAGCTGTATCCGTATGGATAGTGATAGTTGTCCTCACCAAACCCCCAGTTCCCCGAATAATATCACGCATCATACGTCAGCTCCAAACATCCACCCCGAATCCCTAACTAGTCCCATCGCCGATCTCACCCTCCTTCCCCAATGACTCAGCATGATGTCCGCTCTCTCTCGAACTGAGTCCAGTCCCCTGAAACCACCCCTGTCCGCGCATGAGGAATCATAACAGAAGAATGCATTACCCTAGTCCGCCGTCCTACTCGTCGTGCTACTAATCAGACTTTTTTTCACGCAGTTGCTTCTGGGACTTATATAATGAATGAATGAGTGATAGATAGAATCTGGCCTGGAGACGAGACGAGACGAGACTTGACCTTTTTTCTTGGAAATCGGAAATGGGAAGGGGATAGGGAAGGGGAAGAATCTGCATTTCTGTTCTTTCTTCATTTCGATTGTGCTTGTGAGGAGGTGTTCGAGTTTTGGGGGGTGGGGGGTTGTATGGTGAGTTACGATGGAAGTCTAGTATTCTTTTTTAGGGAGAGGGTGGGGGAGGGGGCAGGCTTACGGCTAGAAGCCAGGTCAGCGATGAATGGGTGGTTTGGTTGATGTTTGCTGCTTGATTGTAAGACAAGTAGGGAAATAGGTCGTTTACTTGACGAGGTGGGTTGATTTTCTATCATTTTTTTTAAAACCTTGCGGGAGGGGGAAAAGAGGGACAGGCGGAAAGAACTAGGTATTATGTAATGGGGAGAAGAACGCTTTTCTTGGAAATCTTCACTTGGTGGATTGACTGTTCATCTTACATATGTACAGAGTATACTGAATCTATCAGAAAAAAAGCCCCTGCACGGACATGGAAACAGACAATAGCTCCCCCCGTCCCACGGCTTTTCGCGGAGAAAAGCTTCCCCCCAACACCCCACCCTAGATTTGGTAAGCTATATATATCGGAATCTGCTAGGCTTCATTTGCACCGGTTGTTTCCGACACTTGGGCTCTGCTGTCTACTCCGAGTCGTATTACACTTCTACTTTTTTTTCCTATTCATTCAACCACAACATTCCGCCAACCTTAACATCAAATAATTTATCATTGTTATCAAAGCCATCCTATAACCTACTTTACATAATCAGCATGGCCACTTATACGCCGAGCCTCGCACTTTAAACAGCAATCGACCGGATAAAGAATCCACCTATCGTCTTCAACAAAAAAAAACGAGGCTGTTACTACAAAATTTGAACACCATGTGAGCACTTGGGCTTGCACAAAGCTCCATGAGGTATTCCCTCAGTCCGGAGACTGGTTGATTACACCTGAACAAAGGAATCGCTACAGCAACAAAAAACCAGATTTCATTGTGGAAAGAGCAATCAATCGCACAAACATAACAACATATTTGTGTATGGAGATAAAGAAGGAAGCAGGAGATCGATTTGAAGATGCCTTGGACCAGCTTGCAAACTCTATCGAAGAATCTATCGACAGCCAACAGATATTTGAGGTGTATGCAGTGGTGCAGGCAGGTCTAAAAATTGGGTTTTTCGAATTCCATTCAGACCAAGACAACCTGGATGAAGAAGGAATTCCACATTTCCGTGGTTTTGCTGTCCTTACACAACACTATTGGGTTGGAGGTGAAGAAAAAATCATAATGGAAGATCTACCGAATGACATGGAAAAGCTTTTTTTTTTAAATTCCACGAGACTGAGAAAGGATACAGAAATACGACGGCAAGCAGAGAATTATACAATTCCTTGTGTTTTCGATATTGAAAACCATCCGGAAGTGAGATTTCGACAACTATGAGATGAGGTTGCCTCGTTGATGACGAGGGACGGTGCTAACTCATTGTTCCCCCTCTTTTCCTTTCCCTATCCGCACTGTAGTCACCCACCATGCGTAATTAGACGGGTGGAGGCGACTTGGAGGGAAAGAGAAAGAGAAAGAAAGATAGAGGGAACACATAGATGATATCCTTAACCAGAAAAAATGTCATGCCAAGCCCATCCCGCCTTTTGGTCACAGGGTGATGCCAGTGTAGCACGTCCAAGTTTGCAACATATCTAGGTTTCGTGACTCTACGTAGTATGTTGGGAAACAGCTTGGGGAGTCGCTAGACTGAGGTATAGCTGGTCGAGGTCAGATAGCAGTACGGAAACAAGTTTGGGAGAGCCCAGTCAAGTAAGAGGATGCTAAGACGTGGTCTAGATGCCCGATCTACCTATCTACCCAACTAGGAATTGAGATGGCATTTGCATTGGGGAGATGTAGTATATTCGAAGGGATGGTGAGCGGATTCCAGATCAAAGAAAGCGGGATTGGGTGGAAAGGGGGAGGGTAGGGGGCCATGGGGGTTGGTTCATCTGTGGTGCAAGATACGATGATGCCGCTCCCGCCTTGCTATATATCATGGTTGTTGGGAACGTTGTACTGGAGACACAATGCAACGCGAGGATGCACATGAGAAGTCGGATTTCTTTTTTTCACTTTTCATTCCCTGTGTCTCCCCTCCCCTCTTTTTCTCTGCAGATGTTGTTAGGTTGAAGTGCAGAGTCGAGTAAAGTACATTTCATTGCAGTGATGCTGTTTGGCGCGAAGGATTCTCCTCTACTTGTAAAGCCTGTCATTCGCAAATGCTCTTCGCAGATGTCGATGGGAAGCTCGGAGGGTAAAATTATGCTGTCCTGTACCAGAATCCATGGTCATCCAAAAAACAGATTCAGATTTCCATCGACTAATCGCCACCCCTCGTATTGATAAACGAGGCACTCCCTTCTACCAAGCATTCACTTCGAAGCTTTCCTACAAATCATCGTCAGCAATGCAAAATCAGTATACCCCGGATGTTCTCAGGCTCACCTCTGAAAAATAAGTAGTAACCACCGTCCGATCCGCAAACTTCCTCCCAGCTAACGACCTCAGGGCTTTACCAGCCGATTCTGGGGTATCGAACTTGACGTAGATCTTGCCCACGCCGGCAGACTGTCTGCTCCCACCTGAAGGACGGGGGATCTTGATCTCAAGAACCTCACCGTATTTTTGGCATTCTTCTTTGACGTCTTCGCAAATTTCTAAGCCGACTCTGTCAGTTTTGCATAAATCATCGTTGGCCTCGAGCCAAGATAGACATTACCTTCATAATCATCGTTGTCAATCAATTCCTCCGCCGTCACCATATTGAGTAATTGCAGCACTCTACCCTCCTCGAGATCTGTTGATGTCGTTCCGGCAAACATGGACATCGCGTTGACGCCCATTTCCAGTCCAGACGCTTGTGTGTATCCAATGCTGGCCAGGCTGACTTTGAGAATCTTATCCCCCAGCTCCATGCCATTGAGACCTTCGACGGCGATAGCGGTATTGGCAGGGTCAACGTATTCGCAGAAGGCGAAGCCGCGCGACTCCTCCGTACCGCGGTCTTTCACTAAGACAAATGCCTTCAACGGCCCGAAAGAGGTGAGTAATTCCGTGACTTGCTCTTCGCTCAGGTAGAGAGGAATGCTTGAGATACAGACTTTGTTGGCTGTATCTGGGACTTCGGTGGAAATGATTCCCTCCTGGATCTCAGTCTCTTCTGGTGAGGGGACGATGTAGTCCTTCGGTCGACGTATCACAAGGCCGTTCGATGTGCCATTACTGCTTCCATTTTGCATGGTGTCCGGAGCTTCCATATGTATGCCATCCAAAGCAAGTACCACCGTCGCATCCGTTGGCGACTTGAACTCCAACAGGGCGAATTCACGGTTCTTGGCAATCTGAGCCGATATGCATGGATCAACGCCTTGGGTGACGTTGAGACCGTTCAGCTGTAGATTGAAGAACTCAATGATGGTTTCTTCCGTCACCGAAGGAGGGAGATTGTAGACGAACAGACGTTTGGATTGACGGGCATTCGATGGTTTGAGGGCGGCATTGCTGGCAGTTCCTGCAGGTTGATCCATAAATGCTTTAAGCCGACTCGGGTCCATGGGTTGTTGTCTGGGAGCGCCAGGAAGTGGGAACATTCCTAGACAAGTCAGTACAGCGAGTTAAGCAAGCTAGAGGCCTGTAGCTGACCTGAAAGCTTTGCTTGCTCCGCGGTCACGTTTTCATAGCCTGGGGGTTTCAGATCCCATTGAGTCAGCCGTCTCTGACGATCTAGAACGCTGACCACATCTGTCAAGTCTGGAGTAGGTTCCTTTTTCTTTGGTGGCGGTGGAGTAGCGCTCTTTTTCCGTTCACGACCACCTCCTTGGATCGCATCACGGTCTCTCCCTCCTCTCCCACCATGTCTTCTATCGTCAAAAAGGTCGCGCTCTCTCCGAGGTGGTCTATCGTCCTCCTCTCGCCGACTGTCTCGCTTTGGCCCTCGGTCTCCCCTGTCCCTATCCCACCCTCGCTCGTCTCGCTGATGCCCAGAATATCTGTCTTCTCTTTCTCTTGCTCGATAGTCGCGACTGGAGGAATAGGTATCTACTTCGTAGTCACGGCGAGAAGATCGATGATGGGGCGACCGTGATCGCCTTCGATCAACTCGGTCTCGGTCTCGTCCTGCGCCTCGGTCACGATCATGGCGGCGATCATCTCGCTCACCTCTCGAGCCCTGTACAGCAAAGTTTAGGATCGCTGCTACCTTGTGGATAAATTTTCTTACATAGAAATCCCTTGATCGGCCAGAATCTGCAAAGGTAAGGTCAGCATTGTATCAGCGTGCTGGCCCTGAAGGACAGCTTCACCTCGCGATGAGTAGGTATCGCCGTTCATTATCACTAAGGAGCAAAGGCGGCAATCTACGTGCAAGATGTTGCGGCCTTATTGTACGACGAAGAAGATTAACGGAGAGGCTGAGATACTGGCAGGACTGCTTTGTGAATTGATGCTCTGGACCTGAATCCTCACTTGGCTGCACTTTTAGCTGGAAGTTCTGGGTCACCAGTTTAAAAGTTTACTACTACGGTAGGAGGCATAAGTATTGTTAGCGTAAGCTAGTGATGGCTAGTTTTTGATACAAGGGTCTGGCGTCCTCCGGAGCTGCTGTAAAGTCCTGACCCCTTCCTAGTCACAATGATTGGCTCTTTCTGAGAAATATATAGACTAACGTCGTTCCAGTAAAGTACAATTCGTTAAGGCTGTGTAAAATACAAAATTCCTAGCTTGAAGCTAACAGCACTTATGCCTCCTACCGTAGTAGGACTTTTTGGGCAGAAGGGTTGGGTTTCGCGCCTTGACGCGCCTAGATGCTCAAGGTTTCAAATTGTGCTTACATATTGTCGACAGTTATTCACTCGGGTCTTTTCTTTTTACCTGACCTTGTTTAGCATGACTGTTGCGAGCATGAATCAGTGGAAGAAGCTACCTGTGGCATTGACAGAACTATGTCTTGCAACAACACTGCGGTGTGGACAATCATTTCGGTACATGTTACCCTCTCCTGGGCCGGGCGTTTATGACTTCTAATTCATAAATAGATGGCGTAAATCTGATGATGATATATGGTCTATGGCCTTGCATGGACGAATACTGTCGCTTCGTCAAGACTCAACTCACCTTCACTACCGAGCTCTATGCCCCCTGCCAATTGAAGTGCCTTTGACACCTCCATCCTCGATTCCTCCCTCTACCATCGACGAGCCAAACCAGGACGATGATACAGAGACTCTTGTCAAGCACTATCTGAACCTTGAACCAGACCTTGGCGGTCTGTATTCGCAGTGGTCTGGAGCGGATCCAAATTTTAGAAAGAAAGCCCCTAAGTTCACAGGAGTACGCATACTCCGCCAAGACGCATGGGAAGCTTTGATCGGCTTCATCTGCAGCAGTAACAACAATATTGCAAGGATCTCACAAATGGTAGACAAGTTATGCTTGCACTACGGACCTCTAATTGGCACTGTGAACGGGACAGCTTACCATGACTTCCCTATCCCATCCGCATTGACTGGGAAGAATGTGGAAGCTCATCTTCGTGAGCTAGGATTCGGATATCGCGCAAAGTATATACATCAAACAGCTGTTATGGTCGCCAACGAGCGATTACCTGGCTGGCTTGACTCGTTAAGGAATCCGGAAAGCCCTATTCTCGGTACCAAGACAAGCCCTGGGGGTGAATGGATGCTAGAAGGTCGTGATGGCTACCGTAGCGCCCACGAAGCGCTCCTCGACTTGCAAGGAGTAGGGCCCAAGGTCGCAGACTGTGTATGTCTTATGGGGCTTGGCTGGGGAGAAGCTGTCCCCGTGGACACGCACGTCTGGCAGATTGCACAAAGAGATTACAAATTTGGAAAGGGCAAGCACAGTAGTTTGACCAAGGCCACTTACGACGCTGTTGCCAACCATTTTCGCAAGCTATGGGGAAAGGAGGCTGGCTGGGCACACAGTGTGCTGTTCACGGCAGATCTAAGAGCGTTCTCAGAAAGGTTGACGGCTAAAGTCGAGATCAAAAACGAAGAAGCGGAGCACGATTTGGAGCCGCATCCTGTGGTGCAGAAGGCTGCTGTTCGCAAGATCCGCGTAAAGAGAGAGCTCGAGGACGGTAAGCCGATTCTGGAGCTGGATGAGTCAGTGATGACAAGCAGCGAAAGAGTCAAAAGAAGGCGCAGGACTTGAAATACGTCCATTAGCTATCAGCAAATCAATTCAAAGCTCTGGACAACCAGATATCCACCGAGTAGCGACCGAAACTCTCAGCAGCATTACTCCGAGCGCGTGGACCTCCTATGAGCGCCAGATTATCACGGCCAGCGTGCTCACGTTCTCACCGGAAATGCGCATTCGCGTTTACAACGGGTGCAGTCTACAATGGGTACAGTCGCCAAATCCTGATGACCTGCTCCTCGCTGTGCCTCACCTAAAATCAATGGCTGCTGGATCCCCAGAATCAAGCAGGCAAGAAGAATGTGGTCATGAAAGCAAGCACGGCAACCCTGCTGTTGAGCTACACCTGCTGCTGGTTCTATGTTGCCCGTTGAAGGTCTTTTTGCTCGTCAAAATTTGTCACGCCAAAACTGCTCTTCACTCAGACCTCGGGTACCTGCGTTCAAAGGTGTACATAGTCTTGGCCTACATCGAACCACCAGGTCACGAGGTGTGGTCTGTCCCAAGGTGCCAGAAATGCTTCAGCAGCTCAGCTTGTCCTCGAGAACATCCATATTGGAAGGCCTGGAGGTTATTAACCCGACTGTCACTTAGCATCACCAGTGTGGAAAAGCAAAGAAATACCAGCCTCGGACCACTACGATCCGATCCGGTCCTTCCTAGAGACCAGGAGGTGAGGCAATTTCGAGAGGGTATGCTGTCACCCTGACATTACATCCAAATGTGGAAGGCGACATCTATGAGCCTGCGCGTGTCACAGACTGCTGTGGTCAGCCTTGTACAGGGCACGATGTATATTACAAGATATAGTGCAAGATACTGCTTAGGTCCAAGTGGTCTGCCACCAATAATGGAGGTAGATTGTTACGAGTAGTGACCGTAGTAGTGCCTTCCCACCACTAGGACGGAGTAGAGGAGGTGGTGTAACTTAGGTCTTCATCTTAGCAATACCTCCACCGTGTAGCACAAAGTCCTAGGTCGGATCCGCATGTCCGGCCTTGTCTCATGGGGTTTTCGGAATACCTACCAAGCACATATGTAGCATATTGAGCCTTCTCCACAGCTTCCTCGTCGGTGAGAGTTATATTCCGTACTTATGTGACTACTTGATATGCTCGCTTCGTTGGGGGATGGAGGATAGAGGATAAAGCAGTTGACGACGTTCCTCAACCTGGTTGAAGGATCTTTCGCGGTGGCGTAGTAGTGCGGTGCGGATCACTCAGGTCCAATGTGGTCATTGGTCAATCATTGCTCGTTCTGGCCATGACAAGCAATGAACTATTGGACTGACAGCTTTTGACACTTAAGATTGATTAGGAAAGGTACATGGGTAGCTCTGGGCTCTCATTGGCTGCAGGGATCCCTCAGTACAAATAGTCTTTTCCTTCTAGAACCGCAGGGGAAATAGTGGCATGAGTTGTGGTTGCTAGGGAGCACACCATTGTCGTGCAGCCTGTGCTTGCTTGTACTGCAATTTTAAGGTTCCGATTGTCTCTTGATTGAAGTCATCTTAACCCAACCTAGTGGCCAAGCTCCCTCCCAAATTTCTCCTGCCCCTGTCAATTTTGGGCATTTTGGGGGGGTTTATGCTGCTGCGGGATCGAAACATCTCACAGAACTAGGGCCCTGGGTGTTTCTCTTGTCAGGGCAGCACCAGCAGGCATATCCTGGTTACCTCACTCTCTTCACCACTGCTATCTCCTCCTCCTCACCCTCAGTGGTCATTACTCATCTCATTGGACCTTTGCATCATCGCCATCTACCGCAGAGACTGCCGCTCGCTTGTGCACATTGCGGTCAACATAGAACGCCTTCTCTAATTGACTCCACTGAAAATCACGGTGCGAGACGTTTGCATAATCTAAACTGACAGGGATCACCTAATTTCGTCACGCGTTTAGAGCTCCCATTCTCCTCTCCCAAGTCAGTCGCTTCTAATACATCGTCAATCTGGATTACCGGTAACAACAACGACCGCGGCCAGGTCGCAGTCAAGAATGATGAGGTTCCATTCATTGTTAGGCTCGGCCGCTGCCGAAATCGCTGTCATAATCCTCCTTTTCACTTCCACATTACCTTCCACGCAAGGAGTTCTGACACCGGTTCCACCGCCGCCAATTGACCTTTCATCCCTCGGCAGTGTGGCATTAGCTGGTAATTTTGACACGATTTCGATCTACTCCTACGAAGGGCAGAGTCAGGGAAGCAGCACGAATGGTTCACAATCAGTTCTGTCGCCACTGCCAAGTGGTGCATTTGGTGGCATATCTGCGGCCGATGCAAACATCAACACAATGTGTCCGTTTGTGATGGAGGGTGGAACGTTGGCTGGAGTAATTGTTGGCGGTAATTTCACAAGCCTGGGAGGGGTGGATGCACAGGGGATTGCACTTCTCGATCCAAACACACAGCAAGTCACTCCATTGCCTGGCGTTTTTGGAAGCGTCAACGCCATGTTATGCGATCGGGAGACCAACTCGGTTTACGTGGGAGGCGCCTTTAAAGCCGCAAATTCGACGAATGCTATCGCGTGGGTAGGCATGACAGGATGGAGCAATTTACCCTTCGCGGGGTTTAATGCGCCTGTGACATCCATCACAAAGGCGCCAGACGGTCATATCATATTCGGCGGCTCCTTCAGTGGCCTGGGAAATTCAACAACGCCAACCGATAGAGATGAGCAAGTCATCAATCTCCAGACTGCGCAGATTACTGCAAGCGCCTCTGAAGGGTCATATGAGCCGCAGAATATCATCTGCCCAACCAACGGTAACGAGGATCGAGCTTGGCTCCTCCCAGACAATACGCCTGGGTACTGGCGTGCAAGCATGGGATTTGGATATCAACCATCGATGTTGCGTATCTATAACACCAATGAGAATGGCAAAGGCACGAAGACTTTCCGCTTCACAGCGCGTCCTATTAATGGAATCATGAACTTCACCTACGTCGATCCGGCAACAGGAGAAGAAGCTGCTTGCGATGCAAGGTGTCCGTTAGTCCAGAATTCTTCAGTGCCATACCAAGACTTTCGATTCGTGAATGAGGTGGGCATGAATAGTTTTCAGATCGACATCTCCGAATGGTACGGGTCTGGTGCAGGTTTGGCAGGTATCGAACTGTTTCAGGATGACATGTTTGCATATGCTGTCAACGACTATAATGAACCCTCATGTGCACGCAGTGAATATTCATCCAGGTCATCCACAACTGGCACTTGGTTTTCGAGCCCTCCTGGTCGCACTGGCGCTGAATACCTGGTTGCCAACGTTTCAGGTGAAGTTCGACCTTCAATCACCTTTGAGCCCAACATCAGGCAATCAGGTAACTATTCGATCCTTGTCTACACTCCAGGCTGCATACAAGACAATGCCTGTGCAACTCGTGGTATTGTGAACGTCACAGCATCGTTGACTGGCAGTGGCAGTCCTGCGCACACCACACAGATCTTTCAAACCAACAATTTTGACAAATTTGACCAGATCTATCTTGGACCGGTAGACGGAAGTAGAGACTCCTTTCGACCGCGGGTTACTTTGACACCTATCTCCGATCAGGGCACAGTTGTCGCCTCTCGAGTTAGGTTCGATCTCATTGCTTCTACCGGTGGACTGAACGGGTTGTTCGAATATAATCCCAACGTTGCTGTTGTCGATACCAATTTCTCGAACTCTGCTATCAACAATGCCGGAACCAGGTTGGATCCTGGCGCCAGCGTTACTGCATTGGCCACGCATGATCAGACCATCTACGTCGGTGGAAACTTTAGCGACACTGTATTCGAGAACATCATGGCGTTCTCAGACAACAATGCCACATCTCTTCCTGGTGGAGGGCTGAATGCCGCTGTGTCAGCTTTGTACAGCTTAGACGACTTTCTCTATGTTGGAGGAAACTTTTCCAACACCAGTCAGGGTAACGTTCCTGGGTTAAGCAATGTGGCCGCATTCTCCTACTCCAGAAACGAATGGGTTGCACTTGTCGCGGGCCTTTGCGAGACTGAGAATCAGCCAGAAACCTGTATCTCGTTCAATGGAGCTTTCACTGAAATTCTGGCAGTCGGCAATGGCCGACCTTCGAGAGCGCAACACCTTGCAATCTGGGTACCGTCTCGCAATGACTGGTTGCAGAACTTGGATATCCCTCGCACCGCTCTCCGTGGTCAACTGACTTCCTTTGCCGATGTTCCCAATGGAGCTAACTTGGTTGCTGGTACACTAACAAGCACTGGAATAGAAAGTACTGGCGCAGTTGGCTTGCAGCCTGCGGATGATGGCGTCCGATTAGCACAGCTGCCAATTAATTTTGAGCAAACCTCAACCCAAGGTTCCCTATCCAAGCGAGCTCTGACTGGCGATCAAAATGTCAGCGGCGTTGTAACTGGACTCTTCTACAATAGCGGAGGGCGTAACGTCACTGTGTATGGTGGACACTTTGCCGCCGCATCTAGCACTGGCAACACATTGAACAACTTAGTATTTCTGAATGGATCGAACAATGATGAAGTGACCGGTCTGCCCGATGGAATTGACCAGAATTCGACATTCCTTGCATTAGCCTTGCAGAACGATCTACTGTTTGCAGGAGGTAGCGTCAGTGGCCGTCTTGCCGACACGCCGATCAACGGTCTTGTCGTGTATGATTTCACGCGGGCAGACTACATCACTTCTCAGCCACCGGCTCTGCAAGGTGAGAATGTGGTGGTCAATTCAATCAAAACGCGTCCCGGTTCTTCTGACGTCTACGTGGGAGGCTCCTTTGATACTGCTGGTTTCCTTGGCTGCGAGAGTCTTTGCATATTTCAAGCCAGCAGTGGGCAGTGGAATAGCCCTGGATCGGCCTTGAGCGGGACTGTATCTAGCCTTACGTGGGCTTCCAACAACAGACTTGTATTAGCGGGTAATCTCACCGTTGGCGGTAACGATACCTCTCTAGCGACCTATGAGCCAGACAGTCAGACGTGGACGGCATTGTCCATTCCACAAGTCCCCGGCCCGGTGACTGCATTCGCTCCGGCCACGATCGATGTCTCCCAATGGTGGGCAGCTGGGAGGAGGAGTGATGGATCCATTTTTCTGGGCCAGTACGACGGTACCAACTATCACCCTATCAATGACGCTTTCACCCCCACCACATCGATTCGTGGCTTGCAAGTTATTGGGTTAACCGAACAACACCAGCCCAGTGATGTGCTCGAAAGGGACCAGTCTTTGCTGATTACCGGTCAGCTCGACCTTCGTGATTTCGGCAACGTATCCGCAGTGCTCTACAATGGGACCACTTTTACACCGTTCATTCTCTCCTCTACCGCTGATGGTCAACCTGGGAGCGTCAGTCAAATGTTCTCGTCGCGGGTGAATCCTCTCCGAAGTGGTGGTGAGTGACATTAGTTCCTGCAACTCGGTGTCTTTGCTAATTTCTGACACAGGTGGTCGTCATTCCAATGGCATCACGGTACTGGTGGCCCTTTGTGCTGCTCTTGGAACCATCTTCCTCGTTGTCCTCCTCGGCGTCATCATTGACCGAATACAAAGGCGTCGCTCAGGATACACCAGAATCCCCGCCAACCACACAGACAAGTCAAGCAACATCAATCGTGTGCCACCTGAGACACTTTTTGGCAGTTTGTCACATCGAAATTCTCCACCGCACGTTTGATAATTGGTTGGCTGGCCCGATCGAGACGAGATCTGACGCGACCACGGCAACAGGCTAGAAGCTTTTCCTCGTGCGAAGCATTTCATGCATGGCGTTTAGGTGTTTTGTGCGCCGAGCAGCAAAGATAGCGTGTTGTGTTCCTGCATTGTCTTCGAGCTGCGCTGTCTATGCATCACCAAGACGCGCTGGATACCCTTTTTATGTTTTCCCCCAGAGAATGGAGCGCATCGATGGGCGTGCACGATAACACTAATCATACCTCTCGCCCAAGTTGAGAGGGCACTTTAAGTAATGTACTAATATCATTCAGAAAGAGCGACGGAGTCGGACGGGTGGGATGCAGTAGAGAATTTCAGGGGTTGAGGGGCAATGTGAGTGAGAGAGATTACTGGGTGCAGGTGCAGCTGCAATATTGTACGGCGAAAGCAGAGTCCAAGACAAACGCATCAGTCTGGGCTGGCGAGATAAGTAGATCTCGCTCTTCTTGTCCACATGTGGACGGATGTGTGCAGAGAACGCGTTGATGGCTGAATCTGGCTGTTAGGCAACTAGCAAAAGAAGGAAACAACTTCCACGGCGATCGATGGTTATTACAAGCCATAATCTTCAGTGTCAGTGTCAATAGAGCATCCTGTGTATGCCACCATGGCTACAGGGACTCCAAGTTTCTGAGAAGTCTTCCAGTACAATGTTTTCCATTGACGTCGGTGATCAGGCCGGTGACATGCATCGATGTGCATTTTCTGGCAAATCTAGTCCAATATGAAGCTGTGATTGGTTCGTAGGTGGTTCATGCCCAAGCGGTCTTGCCTAGCAGCGGCCCTCATGCCTCTCTGCGATGGCGCGGACACTGGGGCGTTGCACAGTTGCACAGTTGCACAGTGCACAGCTTGAAAGTTGTCTCAGCTCTCGCCATCGGCAGCCGGATGTCGCATGTCTCACCATCATGGTGCGTGCCAGCAATTCGAGGGGATATGGAACCATTTGCCCATTGCCCATTTGGCTTAGCGGATGACCTGGAGGAATCTCGAGTCAGGACTCGAGTAAAACGAGTACGTAGTAAATAAAGCGAGTCATGCTCTGCAGCTCCAACCCATCTTCCCTGCTACCCACGTCTTGCCTCTTTCGGCAGGCTATCCACGCATTTGATGGATGTCAAACGTCTGTCTTTCCACACAGACATCGAATCTTTGTTACACTACACCAAAAATGATTACTCGATCAAATGCTCCACCGTCGCATGCGCATGGGCATTTTCATATCAACGCTCGATCTCCTTGCTGTCCATCAGAGTCCCATAAGTACAGCCGTGTTTTTTCAGCGTTCTGCAGTCCTTCCATTCTCTTCCACATCACTTTCACAGTCCAGTCTTTTCCTTCTTTGCACCCACCTGGTCTGGAACCAGACTTGCACTATTCTTGCTTTCACGCTCCCCAAGCAGACATTCCATTTTCGTCTTTTGAAGATTAATCTCGACTCGTCATGCATTACATTAGCTCCGTCGTTCTGGCTTTAGCACTTTGCTGCATCCATCGATGCTCGCGCCGGTCAGCAATAACATGAATCGCAGACATATGGATCCTGCTCCAATGGCGCCCGCCGACTCTGCCGCGGTTGGCGCTTGGTCCTGCAGCGACCCGAGAGAGGAGGAGTCACATAAGCAGCAAGTCAAAGAGATAAGAAGAGGTGAGGTGAGGTGAGGTGAGGTGAAAAGCTACCCGCCAGGGCCAAGGCCAGTGTCCACATACTCATCCCTCTGGTTGTTGCTCCGGTCTGTATGCAACCCCGCTTCCCGGCCACCAAGCCAAAGTCCAAGCCGCAGCGCGCTTGATCAAGCTGCCTCCTCCTAGAGCCAGCGCGTGTAGACGGACAAAGTTGTAGCTATTATTATCGATCAAGGCGCTGAGCGCGTAGATACACGTACAAGACATATGCTGTACGGGTGGGTACCAGCCAAAAAATCGGCATTAGAAATCAAGACCAATCAAACGCAGGCAAACAGCAGGGGGAATTCAACGTAGAAAGAAAAAAAAAACTGGCCCAATAATTAGTAGGCCACTCCCATAGCTCGACATCACTGCAGACCAAGAACAGTCAACAAACCCACACACTCTCTCTCTTTCCAAACAAATAAACCGCTCGATTTAACCCCCCGGGGCTTCACTGCTGCCGCATGAATCAACCAAGCAACCATCCGGGCCTGACCCTTAAGTAAGACGATCCAACATCCAACAACGGGACGCAGTGGCAATCTCTCTCGAGCTGAGAAACCTCGACCTCAATCACTGACACTCAGACCGGGACTGAGACCGGAGGTTACAGAATCGGAGGCAGAAGCAGATCTACACCTAGATCGTGCTAAGACATTCTGGGAGGTTACTCCATGCCCTGGGCCTGGCCTTTCACACGGCTGAACGAGGCTCGAAAGTCCCGAGTTCCCCCGCGCCCTCGCTTGCGTTTCAAGAGCGAGATTGAACCTGACGTCTTTTCTGCTGGAGAGTTTGCAAGGCATGTGGAGGATCACGGAAGAATTTGTGTCTGCTGACATCGCCTTCCGGCTCCGAGCTTTCGTTACCTCAGCTTTGATCGAGTTGGGTAAATGTCTAGACCTGACGTCATCGATTTGAAATCTGAGCCCGCAGGGGAGGCTCGAGCCTTGATGCCGGAGTCGCGTTGTCCTTCTCGGGACTCAGATTTATCCCTTTGGCTGGGAGATTGCGGGGCTGCTTCAAGTATTGAACTGTTTCTATCTGGTATACCTTGGAAAGGGCTGAAGGGTTATTGTTGATCCTGTTGAGCTTGCCGTTGGGCCGGTGTGCCGCGGAGGGGGTTGTGTTGCCGATACTGATCTAGCTCCCGTGCTAGTAATCCGCGGACAGGTTGCTGACGTTGTTGTTGAGCTTGTCGTTGGACCGGTATGCCGCGGTGTGGTTGGTCTCGTCTGTATTGGTCTATTTCCCTGGAAAGCATTCCACGAACAGGTTGCTGTGGTCGTTGTTGGGCTTGCTGACTGGCTGGTATGCCGCGAACAGCTTGGCCAGATTGCTGTGGCGGCTGCGATTGAGCTTCCTGCTGCTCTAGAGCCCTCTGAGCTTGACCTATTCCAAGTGTTTTAATTGAGTCTTCTGCCTCAGAGAACGCCAGTTGCGATGCTGGACTTCGCTGAACTTGCTGTAAAGCGAGTTGAATAGCTTGCTGAACTTCGTGACGACAGATTTCCCCATCTTTTGGCATTGCTACTAATCCTTCCACTTCTGAGGCCGTCGAATTTGGTAATTGCCCCTGGCGGGCCAATACTTTATCTGGACGTTGGTCCTGCCGCTGTGCTAATCGAAATGACCCTAGTCGTGAAGGTGGGCCGCCGCAGGCACTCGTCGCGCCAGGGTGTTCGCCATGCGGCTGTGCCAATCGAAACGATGCTAGTTGTGAACATGGACCCCCGCGGCCTATTGCTTCGCCAGCGTGTTTGTCATTCGGCTGCGCCAATCGAACCGCTGTTAACTGTGAGGACAGACATTGTTGGCCTTGCGGATCGCGAGCGCTTTGGTCATTTTGCTGCTTATCTTGCAGTTGTGGTTGCATTAAAGACCGTTCAGTTTGCTGTCGAGCGCGATACCGGTCTGTCACCTCAGCTAAATATGCTAAGTTCCCTGAACTCACTTCGGAGGTTGGACGCTTTTCGGCTTTTGCTGATGGAGGCGCTCGGTCTGATGGTGGTTGACCCCGGTTCTTCTCTTGAGGAATTTGACGAGCTGCTGAAGCTGTTGCTGGGGACGCCGCATTGGTAGTTGTTCCACGCTGAACACGTACGCCTTCTGTCAATACGGCTCGACCACCAGAACGCTGCCGAGCTGCAAGCTCCCTGAACATGGCTTCCATTTTCGAGTCTTGATCGAAAAGTTTTTCCAGACAATCTTTGGCAGAGTATCGTCTTTGCGGATTGATCTCAAACATGGGAAGTAATTGTGGGACCCCGTTTGTCACAGTGTCTCTGATAGCCTGGAACCACTTCTGATGGCCACGTACTAGCTCCTGCCAGCTCAAATTTCGCCTATAGGGAATCAGCTCAAGACAAAGCAATACTACAACGCCAATTCCCCATACATCCATCTTGGTAGTCTGCAGCCCTGGTTGGAAGATATCCGGGGAGACAAAATGAAGACTCCCAACGGCTGTCGTGCTCATATCTAGCCTTTTCGAAAGTCCGAAATCTGCTAGGTAGAAATTGCCCTTCCCGTCATGCAGGATATTATCTGGTTTGATGTCCCGATGAACAATATCCCGGCTGTGAAGGTGGACCAGGGCTGAAAGCATCTGCTTCATTAGATTTGGAAAGAACGGAGGGTATTTGGAACTTCCTGCACATGTTTAGTGACAGCTTTACGGAAGAGAGATGCAGCAACCTCTCTTTCCCTTCCAATCGACCCAAAGCTCTACTAGAGAACCCTGATATGCTTCCATAAAAATTTCGGCTCTGGCTAAGGGTTCCCAGCCTTGCGCGTGCTTGAACACAACAATGTTCGGCTGATAGACAGATTAGCATCCAAAGATGAATAGCAGTCTAGGGGCGTCCAAACACACATGAGAGAGTTCTTTTATCAAGTCCACTTCTTGCCTAACAACGTCCTTGCCTTCCCGCTCCACTTCGGGCGCGAATTCGAAAACCTTGACGGCCAGGTGATCGCCGGTTTTCAAGTTCACTGTTAAGAAAACCTTCCCATACGAGCCAGTACCCAGCCGACGTATGCGCCTGTGTACGATCCGGCCATTCTCGAAGGGATCTGCTGCATGAGATCCAAGGGCAGCACTTGGCGAGAACTTAGACGTCGCCCGAGCTGCTTCGAATGCCACATTTCGGGTCCCGGCCCAGCCGATCATGAAGAGCGCCTTTTGCATCTTGATGTGCGCATTTTTGACGGCTTCAAGCACGACTCTCTGCCTGGGCTGGCCATCAGGCAAGCTGAACCTCGTTTCAGCAGGCGTATTGGATGCAATAAGAATAGTAGAGTAATCTGCAGTGTCGTCTCGCAATAAAACTTCGAAGGTCCGTGGGTGGATGTAGAAATGGCATTGCTTCTGAGGATAGCCTTCGGGCAGGAGTATATCACAACATGAATGGTCACACCCAAACGAGACTAGTCGACCGGAGCTCTTGGGTATATGATCGATCCCTATTCGAAGCCACACACTTCCATCACTAGGTTCCGAATGCTTAAATGATGCATTGCTAGGCAGGGATACTATGCTAACCGCTGCTTGATTTTGAGGAAGAAGGTAGAAGAACACCGGCGGCCCGACTCTAATCATAGTGGTGGCACTGACGAAGAGACACGGGTTGTGGAGAAAGAGAACGAGAGGGAGCAAATATAGTCAGAATTGGGAGACCACTAAAACACTGAAGATGAAATCAAGATCAGATATTTAAAGGAACCCCCAAAAAAATGTGGCCGGAACTGTCTAGCAGCCGGTGGATAGGTTCGAAACAGCGAAAGGAGGTTTCGTTTCGTGTATACCTTCCTAGGGAATAGCTTCAGCAGCCAGCAACCATGTGGGAAACAGCCAGAATCAATGTCATCGTAGTGCTGGCCATATCAAACCTTAGATGCTGTACCAAACACTTCAGTCTCAAACAGTGCCAACCTTCGCTGACAGGACATAACAAGGTACCTGCTTCACGTGCCATTGTGGTTGTGCAAAGCTTGGACGGTGAAGCAAGGCAGGTCATTTCGGCCCTCATACTTGCCAAAGAAAATCGATTGTCGCATTCCCTGAAGAGCATACAGTATGATGGACGAGGTACATCATAGCATTTTTTGTCAAAGTGTCCCCAGATGCTTCACTGTTGTGAAACAGAGTATTCAGGCTGGCAGACTCTTTCGATGTGCAAAAGAGACGCCAGCGGCTATTAGGTTTGATACATACAATCGCTAGTTACATACTTATTATTACGTAGTACGGAGTAACTTAGTTAAGTTAGTAAAGAAGCGGATTCTTTTCTAGCGCCCCGATCCGAGGCTAGGCGGTATTCTATGCTGATCAGTGATGAGACACAGGGGCCAGCAAAACCTGTCGGCCTGTCTCATGGGGGTTTCCATCAGGGTTAAACCTCCCAAACTGGTGTAGCATTTCAGGTTTTGAAGGTGTGGCAGTTGCTGTGAACATCAACAACCAGTTCCATTCAGACAAGAGCACAGGCTTTTTCTTGTTCTCTCCAAGCTGTGAACTGCTTCCGTCAAAGCTATGGCGCCGAAAGTGACAGTGCAACAGTCAACAAAGTCCACGATAAAACCGTCAAGCTCAACTTCAAATTTAATACCTAGCTCTATATCTCCCTCCAAGGGCCCAGGACACCCTCAAAGTCATTCTTTTGGCAGCAAGTCTCCTCATCATGGCGCTCACTATCTACTGTCTCAATCGAGCGGAGAAGAGGCGGACTCGGACTTGGAATTCAAACCCCCAACAAGCAACCCGGCCTGCAACCGAACCGTGCAAGGACAAAAGAAGGAAAAAGACGCATCAGCTCAAGCTGTGGGCTATGCTCAGAACTACTCCTTTGGCAAACGAGAAAACATAATTTCCGGACGAGAGCCTAAGCTCCCCAAGTCATTACTAGAGGGAAGACGCAGTGACCGAATGTTGCAGGTGAAAGGACGGATGTACAACGAGGAGGATTGGTTCGATGACTCTAAATTTGAGAAGCAGGCCAAATCGAGGCAAGCTTGACTCTGGTCTGCAGTTGATCATAGTGCACGTGGTAAAGCAAATGGCTAGTAGAACGTTTGGTAGCACTCGCTATGTCGGTCAATTAATTTGTCAAGAACATGAGTTGAGAGAGGTAGAGAGAGAAAGAGTAGGCTGAAGCAGCCAGTGTGATGATCTGCGGAGGTCTTTCATTGTTTGAACATAGATGCCTCATCGTTCGCAGCAGACTCTGGGAGTCAAGCTCTCAGTCTATTCTGGTTGTTGGCGCTCCAATGTATTCTGAAAGAGCCCAATACAGAACTCTTATGGCTGTCCTCTCTGCTCTTGCATGATTATGAAACCCAGAAGTAGAACAAAACTTATCCAAGAACAATTTCTCTCCATTGGGCGCCTGGTGAAAACGACTTTTCGACTGCAGTTCGCAGTATCTGTCCTAGGCCTCGTCTCTCTGCTACTCCCTCGTTCCAGGTCAGGAGCAAGACCCAGTACAATCTCCAATCATGGTTAATGGCCTGATAGCTGACGAAAGGGTTCAGACGGGAAGGATCTTGCAGGTCCATCCTATTGAAGAGACTGTTTTGAGAATCGGAAAGAAGAACCAACTCATATTCACCATCTTCTCCAAGGAAACCAGCAATGTCGAATAGCAGCAGGCCAGAGAAGCACCCTTCAGAGTCATATATAGCTGCGGAGGGCTTCACGTCACTCATATGCAGCATGTTGCTGTCATACTCATTGTGTATTGGCCAAGGGATCCGATCAGGTATGTCAAGGGATACTGTCAGAATTACCACGACAGTATAGAAACGCAGTAGGTCTTGCGTCGAATATGCTGGGGCTATAGCAAACGAGGCAGCTGGAACCGTTGTTAAGGTGTCGAGCATTCCAAAACGATCTGCAAGACTGGGCTGAGATGTTCTGCTATAGAATACCCCTATCTCACCCCTAGACCGCTTGTTGCCAGGCTGTTTCTCAAGTATGGCCTTGGGTAGGTCCGAACCTATAGACTTGTACCACACTATCCATGTCCGGTGATCGAGCCACTTGTTGAAGGATGTTGGGTCAATTGGAGAGACGTCTGGATGGGTGTTCCATGAATACAAGGCTTCCCATCCCGCCCATGACCAGGAAGGGAAATTTCGTCGTCGTCTTGCCCTGCGGCCTGCGTTGGGTGTTTTGTCTCTTGAAATTTTCTTATCTCCATAGATCTGGAAGAGAACCATGTAATCTAAAGCAACCACTGGTATGCCTTGCAAAAAATCTGAACCCATGTTGGTTGAGATGACGTTTAGTACACCAGAGATAGCATTGATGGCATCACATTCATATGTAAGTTCTCGCATGCCATAGTATTCCAGCATATTGGTCAAGAGAGGGAGAGGTTCCTCGTCGTCTTCTAGATCGCCGTTGCTTGAAGAGCCGACCGCGAGACACGATATCGCATTGACTCGCCACTCGTACATCAACCGATCGTCTGGGAACTTGTCCGTGCATGTATCTTCTGACCAAATGCGCTGGCGGCAGCAAAAATACACCTGCTTGTTGACGAAGACTACTGTACGCCTTGATAAAAGTTGTTCCTGGAAGCTGTATTATGTTAGCATGAGGGCTCGTCGAGTCTTTGACTTAAGTGTGCCCATACGTCCAGGACCTTGAGGACCATTTCGACCTCTTCAGATGCACGTCCAAAGCTCCTAGCGCCATCAACCGTAAGCCTGGTTTCATTGTCTGCACGCAATTGGTCGAAGGATGGGTAGAATTCGAATGAAGCCTTCGAAGCCCAGCGTGCGGATCTGAGCCATCAGCTGCAACGATTGTTGCAAGAGCATTCTCGTAAACATAGTTCATCAGTTGAATACCGTCTTTCATGGAACTTTGGTCGTCTTGTACGAGGCAAAGGACGTCAGCCCAGAGGTACTTCTCGCCAATCAGATAGACGAAAGTTATTGCATTCTGAATCGTCTTTGGGATATTGTCTCGAAGCTTCTGAAGTGACCGGGGGACCTTTAGAGTATCTATTGAATGCTTCTCCAGGCGGAGCTGTTCAATTCCACCCCACACATAGCTCAGAGCTAGGTATCTACTCTGCCATGGTCGACTGACAACGCATTCTTTCCGAACATCGATTAGCCGAAATGTATGACTTTGTGAAGCTGGCATCCATCCACGTGGTTTGGTGGGATTCCGCTGACACGGAGCTTCGTGGGACTGTTCGCAGAGCGATAGCCAGTGTCCGACTTGCTCCAGGTCGAAGCGTTTGAAATTTATGGGACGGCCACAGTGTATGGTGGCCTGCGCCTTGTCCGGTCCCTCACAAAAGACAATTCTCACACCTAGTGCTAGCACTCTTCCTTCAGGCCTGCCCAATTTACCCAGCGTGACCAGGTCGAACTTGCCCTCTTCTGTTATGTATTGAACGTGTATATCGTCATGCTCTGCCACGTGGCTGCCTATTGCAAGTGCAGAGTGTACAATACAACAGAATCGACAATTGGTGCGGCGGGCGATATCTTCCACGGTACCAAGATGAAAACACGGATCGTACCCCACAGCGGTCTGGAGGTGAAGTTTGGATTTCAGGTGACTATATAGGGCGTTTACTAGACTAGCACGATGTTTTGGTACTTCAAAGGTGGCCAAGAGCTGGCAAAAAACACTTTCGCAAAGAATCTGCACGTTCGAGTTGAGGATCCTTTCACTTCGCCCCGAGAGAGACGTACCGAGTGTTCCCAGTCCACTAGGTCAATTGTTTCATGCTTCAGCTTCTTGAAAATGGTAGAATTCTGCAGACGAATCGCAAACAGCAAATCGTAATCACTCATGCTGAATGCTGGGCTTCGTCAATTTTTGAACAGCAGGCACCCGGGATATATGAATGTTGTATTTGTGAACGACTTTGGGTGACATGGGGAACATAAAGCTTCGCTATGGAGTCAGAAAGCAAGGATTACTGTCTTCGTGCTCTGTGAGAGACTGCTTCCAGCCTTCCACACTGAGAGATCACCAAATAGCCTTGCATCTGTCTCCGTCTTGGAATCGATATGCCCGCGATGCCACGGTTCGCATTTGAGCGTTATTTGCCTTGAGCACTCTGTATTTATGAATTGTGTTTCGAGGTCCATGCAAAGCATTGTTCAGGTTGTTCAAGATGCTCGTCCAAATGAAGCCATGTGCCAAGACGGCATATTTGACAACTAAGTAGTACTAGGTAGTCACCCTAAAAGTTTTAGAAGGTAGATGTTATGCCATCGAGCAGATGGTAGTATGTATTTGAGCCCGTACAAGTTGCATTCATCAAGCTACTCTTCTCTACTTCTTCATAGTCGGTCTATGTGGGGCATTAACTGTGCTTTGAATTGCTCTGGTTTAGGATCATGCCAGAGCAGTGAAAAGCAGAACAGACTGCAACAACTCTCACAGTGGGACAGCCGCCAGGAAGCCTCTTGGGGTATCATTTGAAGCATGATTGGCCTTTCCTTGAGGGCAACATCCAAGGCTTCGTAAGGACATGGTTGGCCGAGAACGAGATATATAGTTGCATGGTGTAACTTAGCGCCAACAGGTAGAAAACGAGCGCTTCAAGGCAGTCTTCGTGGATGGCCAATGAAGCTCGACGTAAATTTCATGACAATGATTGGCATGTAACTAGTCCTAAGGCAGTCATGGAATGACATACATGATAACATTCAGCTAAAGGCAGATCACCCGCAACCTAATTTAGCCAGGGGGAGTGGAACCATTACTTGGAAATTCAAAGTTCTTTGTCGGTTGAGTCGACAGGTACCGACTTGTCAGTCAGTTAGGATCCAATGTGGCAAAGTTCCATATCCTTGGTTATTAGGAATACGACTAGAACCCCAGATCTTCAATCTTGATCATGGTTTTCAGAGAATCCCTCATCTTGAGATTGGCCTCTGGTTAGCAGTGTTCGAGACCTTCAACACTACCCCAGGCAAACCTCTTTGTTTCTATGGGAAATACTGTCTTCACTCTTTGATCCGTTTTGGTACTTCAAAGACCGTCCACTCATTCTTCGTATCGCGCAAACCACACACACACTCACAGTCACGTTGAACCGCTTCAATCTTATTCTTCAATTCATTGGAAATCGTCCAACGTCCAACGCAGAACGCTCACTTGTACCTGTCGACCTCTGGCAATTCTTCAGTCAGAGCTTGTCAATTTTTCGAACACTATACCCACCAAATCGCGGCACACCACGCACAACATGAGGCACGCGATTACCACCAGTACGGTCATTGCTGCCACCATATCAAGTGCTGTTGCGCAAGCTTGTGCTGCCGGCGCAGCCAAAGAAATTGGGGGAAACTGGTATTGCGACGCGGTAAAAGCCATCACATACTCTGACTTTGGTTCGACGGGCTCCTACAACAAGATTACCAACATGGATGGTGGCAACTGTCAGTCAGAATCATTTGATTATTCCGGTGCTTTGGCTCCTATGGATGGAGAGGTGAGAAACATCAACCACTGTACTCAAAAAGGTCCTCCCTAACCGTCCAAATAGGTTTCCTGGCACTTTCGTGGCCCACTGAATCTCAAGCAGTTTGCATTTTATGCACCTGGGTCTGGACTTAGTAAACAAGATATCCAGCCCGAGTCCCACGAGCGACGACAACATGGCCATGCTCACTTCCATAAGCGGAACAAGGAGGTTGGTTCGATCCAGGAGGGCTATATTACCGAAGAGAAGCGTGAAGTAGGTGCCCTAGTAATCGCCACCATAGATGGCAAAGTTGCATCTTGGATCAATCAGTACGATGGTGAGGCGCAACCGACGCCAGCACCAGATAGCTCAGCTGCGCAACCCGCAACCGAGGTCGATGCAAAAGCAGCTACTCCTACCATGAATGCTGGTGACGGGCAGTGGGGCCGTCAAGCTTATTACAATGCAGAGCAGCAGATGGCGGATGGGCTCACCTTTCTCAACAACATGGGCGGGCAGGGCTCCGGTATATTCGACGAGGTCCTCGGCATGTCGCTTTCCTATGCAGCAGCGGACGCAAAATCTGGTGCCGCCTCTCCTCAAATCCTTGCAAATCAGATGCTAGGTGACGGTGATGAGATTGTCGTCATGACAGACACACCCTGCAAGGATGGCGACTGTGGTGTCACACGCCCTGGTGGCGTGGCATACCATGGTTTCAATGGTGCAAAGAAGGTCTTTCTCCTGGAATTCGACATGCCAATATCAGGGGCAACTGGCTGGAACAAGGACATGCCAGCAGCCTGGATTCTCAATGCTCAAATCCCAAACACTGTGCAGTATGGCAAACCGGAGTGCTCATGCTGGGAGTCGGGCTGTGGTGAGTGGGATATCTTCGAGGTCCTCGATTCCGGCAATAACCGCTGCAAGTCCACCATCCATGGCAACATCTCTGGGGGTGATTCCAATTACTTCGACCGACCTGTAGATTCAACGGTCAAAGTAGCCGTAATATTTGATGGCGACAACAGTGCCGGGCATATCGTCATTCTTCCGGATGAGGCCAGTTTTGATCAGACTCTGACTGATGCTCAGGTCGCTGAATATGTCAACCAGGACAGCTCTGGAGTCGCCAGATCGCTTTTCAGGCTTGGGTCATGATGCAACAACATATGGAGCCTTGGTGGAGATCTGTAGGTTGAAGCAATGCTGCCTGCTCAACCCAGTAGGTTCTGAGGATAGGAGGAAAGGGTTATATTGTATCATATCACACCTGTCCGTTTTCTCATGCTTGGGAAGCACCAAGCCAATCGAGAGATCTTGACCAGCACCTTGGTCAAAAGTAAAGCCCCTAACCCTATCCATGATATTATTTGATTGCCCACCTGCTAGAAATTCGACCAAATATTCCGTGCCTGATAGGATGGTGGTTGCACATCTGCTAAGTGATGAACAGGTCGTGATACTAGCAGGAGCCGACGTGGCTTGTTCACTCAACCTGCTGATATAATTAGATGAACATTCCTTCTTGGCTGACTTTCAACGGTCTTCGTGGAGATATTGTGAGAACAATGACGCATGTGTCCACAGATCGTGACCGCCAAGGCCAATTCAATTTTGCAGGCTGGGAAATTCTACTAGTTACATTGGTAAGCCACCGTACGACTCGCGCATGGCGCCTAATGTATCTGTACTAAAATCACCGGATCTCTTAGCATTTAGGTTGATGCTGGAGGACCGCGTTACGTCGTACAGTAGAAGCACTTTGAAATTTTCCTGCTGTCAACCAAGATTTCTTCACATCCAGCCCTGGTACTGCAGCATAACATACTAAAGGCGTTTGAGGTATAGTCAATCTTGGCATAGCTTAGTGTATCGCAGCGGCAAACTCCTAGTCCAACTAACCACCATCAGCTGCATAATCTTTTCACCATGCAGGCGATAGACTCGTCGACGACAGATAGCGTAGGAGATCATCCCGGATGAAAACGCTTACATTGTTGTGATCTGCAGTAGTGCATCGTCGGGGACGGGATCCTTATCAAGATATCTCACAGGACATGGCCTCGTGTGATCATTCGGGAGTCGTACCGATCACGACGCGACCTTCTCAGCGTCATTTGCATGATTCCAAAGCACACTCGCATCATGCCCTTTTCCTTGGAGTATGCTCATCCTCCCCTCTATGCACAGGCAATTCCAGCTTAAAGGATCTTTGTACAGCAAAGATCTCGTTTCGCGGCGCATTGGGTTCTAGCTCTAAGCGGAGATTAATATACAGTACCCACGAGCAAGGTTAGGATCGGTACCGTGGTCCTTTGGCGCTACTCTCCGTGGCCGTGGACCACTGATCGTACTGTTCCACAAAATCTGTATATCAGAATCATGGAATCATCATTGCCTGAAGCTGCAGGTTCCTGAATATATTGGCTGATTTGAGACTAGAGTCGAGATTCTGACTGCGATAGCTCCGATGCTTCATGCAAGAGACTGACTCCCGGTGGGTATTGCCGTGCACTGTCCTTAGTGACCGATACAGAGGGTTAAATTCTAGGTCTACAGCCCACCAGTCATGATGTCTACGAATCTGGCAGCCAGATAGGACGGGCGCCTAGTGTGCCCACTCAAAATGTGGATGGGCCTAGGGCTCAAGAAGCACAGTGTGCCGGCGGTTGTACCTGATATGATCGAGTTAACCAACGTTGCGAACTCTACCCCTTCAATGCACCCTGTTCGTGTAAGCAAGAAGTATGATTGCAGAGGCGACGAAAGTCAATGAACAAACTGCTGTTAATGAAATCACGCCGCTTCTGACCAGGTCTGAAGAGGGATCTATTGCACATGTGGATGCCCCACTATCCTCTGTTCACGCGATACCAGACAGCGACAATGACAAGGCGCTACCAAAGACCCAAATATTCTTCCTCTGCTATGCGCGATTGTTCGAGTCGATTGCTTTCTATCTCATCTTTCCATTCATCAATCAAATGATCTTGGAGGTTGGCGATGTTGAAGAGGCGAACGTTGGGTTTTACAGTGGGCTGATTGTGTGTCTCCCACCGAGGCGGGACTCTGTCTTTCTGACTTTTATAGGAATCGTTATTCTCCTTGACCCAAATGGTTCTAATGATTCCTTGGGGGCGAGCTGCGGACCGCTTCGGAAGGAAACCAGTCCTTGTTTTCTCTTTGGTTGGCAGCGCCATTGCTACAGCTCTTTTCGGCATCAGTAAGAGCGTCTGGCAGATGATACTTTTCCGTAGTCTGGCTGGAGTTTTCAGCGGAAGTATTATGTATGATTCTCCCTGCATTTCCTGGCTGTTGGCTGATGGGAATTTGGAAGAACAATCCGCACTATGATATACGAAAATAGCACACCCAAAACCCAAGCCCAGGCGTTCAGCTTTTTCGTGTTCGCTGGAAGTCTAGGAGGGTTTTTGGGCCCTCTCATCGGTTCGACTCCTTTTCAATGCACGAGTAGCAGCTTCCTAATACAAAGTAGGAGGCACCTTATCGAACCCTGCAGTCCAGTATCCAAAAGTGCTTGGCGGACTCCAAGTGTTCAAATCATATCCGTACAGTCTTGCAACTTTTGTCTGTGGTATGATTGCTGCAAGTGCAGCGCTCATGACCACGCTATCCATCAAGGAGGTACGACAAGCATGCAATAGTGGGAAGATCTTATTGACACCGCGGCACAGACGCTGGTTCGACACAAGGACACAGAGTCATCAGCACCTCATGCGCCTGTATCTGTTGTGAAGCTCATCAAGTATCCTGGCGTTCTAAACGTCCTCATCATCTATGGGCTGGTCGTGCTTCTCGCGCTAGCCTATACCGCCAGCAAGTCTTTTCGGTGAATGACCTGCCGTTCATACCGCTAACACCCTCCTTCAGTCACGCCCGTTTTTTGGTTCACCCGACCCGAGTTAGGTGGCTACGGCTTTTCCCCTTTGTGGATCTCCATCTTCCTCGGGGCAACCGGCTTCTTACAAGCCGTCTGGGTCCTGTTCATTTTCCCTCCGCTACAATACCGAATCGGTACCGGTGGAGTAATGCGTCTCTGCTCCTATGGATTCCCACTCCTCTATGCCTTCAGCCCCGTGACAAACCTTCTTCTGCGAATGGATCTTCGGCTCGCATTCTGGCTTTCCACGCCAGCACTTCAGCTCTTGTCAAGTGCCGTCGGCATGTCATTCAGTAAGTCAAACACACCACATCATACCAGAGGCCTCGCACTTATCATCATCACAGTCGTCATACAACTCGCTCTTAACGATATCGCGCCGTCTTCCATTGCACTGGGAACTCTCAATGCCATCGCCCTCACGATCACGAGCGGCATACGGACTGTTGCCCCGGCAATATTCACCAGTATTTTTGCAGTGGGCGTGCAGAATCAGATCCTGTGGGGCTACCTCGTGTGGGTGGTTATGGTGTTACTGGCGTTGACCACCGCGGCTGCGGTTCGATGGCTGCCCAAGGAAGCGGAGGGGAAATCCAAGGAGTCTGGTTGAACATGCTCGGTTATCGCTCTCGAGCTGCAGGATAGAGCATTGTATGCATTGAAGGAATATCCAGAAGACCTGATTGCATCAGTCCTCATGCATGAGAGGCAATCTGTCTTGGTATCATACCTATTCAGAGACACTTGAAACCGAACACCACAATGCCGGTCCACACTGGCCCTGAAATTCCAACAATAATTCCTCGGCTTCTCTCTTGCAATACGACACCGGATTCCGATTTCTCTTGTGGCTCAGTTCATGCTAGCCAGCAACTTTGATAACTGCCCAGCTTTAAATGAAAGCAATGTGAGAGAACTTTACAAGCCAGTCGTATTTAGATAATTTAGAACAGGGCCATCTTAAGACGTAGAAGAGGGGATTTGTCCAGTACCAGCTTTGTTACTTCTGAATGACTGTTTTGAGCAAGCCATTATAACACCGCCCCATTGTGTAGGTCAATCTGGATATCATCTTGTGCTAGTAGTAACTTCACTACTTCTGAATGACCATTTTGTGCAACCCATGATAGTGGAGTCTGATCGCATATTCCATCTTCCGTATTGATCTGGATATCATCATGTGCTAGTAGTAACTTCACTACTTCTGAACGACCATTTCGTGCAGCCCATGATAGTAGAGTCATATCATCCTCGTCTCTAGTATTCACATTGATATTTCTGCTTGCAAGCAGGAGCTTTATCATTTCTGAATGACCGTTTCGGGCAGCCCATGATAATGGTGTCAAATCATACTTGTCCCTAGCATTCACATCGATATTTCTGCTTGCAAGTAGGAGCTTTACCACTTCTGAATGACCTTTTGGGCAGCCCATGATAATGGTGTCAAATCTTCCTTGTCCTTAGCATTCACATCGATATTTCTGCTTGCAAGCAGAAGCTTCACTACTTCTGAATGACCGTTTTGGGCAGCATATGATAATGGTGTCAAATCATCCTTGTCCTTAGCATTCACATCGATATTTCTGCTTGCAAGCAAGAACTTCACTATGCTGATTTCTCCTCGTCGAACCGCCCACGACAGCAAGGTTGTATTGCTTGTCACTTTGATGTCGTGTTTGTGTTTAAGAAGTGATGAAACCACTTCGCGAAGATCGTGATCTAAAGGAGATGATCCATCATGATTAGCGTGAAGCTCACTTTCTTCACGTTCATTCAAGGTCAGAAGAGCTCGGAGAGCTTCTTCGTTCCCTGCTGCCCAGGCAGCTACCAGCGGCGAACCATATCTTTCGCCTCTAATGTCGATGGTTTCAACATGCCTGCGTACAATCCGAATGAGGCTCGGTAGGTCTTCCTCGGCCAGAATGTACAGCAAGCTAACATTGGACGAATGACGGCGAATGTCATATCTTTGAAGGAGGTTGTTCATGAAATTCCATCTTGAGAGAGGAAATTCTCTAATGAACATATTCTGGGGACATCCAAGGCCGTCTGCAGCATCGCTGTGGTAAAGCACATTATGTACTGCGTATTCGAGAAAAGGAAAACTCTCACAGGCTCTTCGGCGAAGATTCGCTGAATCTTCTGATGAGGCTTTTGGCAGCGATCCATTCAAAGCTAGATTCGATGTGACATCAACTCCTAGGAGATATTTCTGGCAACATTGCTTCAAATTTTCATGGCTTCGTGCCGGAAACGTAGCTGCTGGTCCGAAATATGGTTTGTCTAGTCCCTTTCCATGAAGAAAGAAATCTCGTACAGATTCATGAATGAATTGAACGGTTCTTGATTTGGCTTTTGTCTCTTCCACCAACCCCTTGGAATGGTTCAAGATAAATCTCTCCATGTCGTCCTTAGTAATCACTTCTGAGTTCCAAGCAGACACAGACTCGGGCTCGATTCCAGCCAGGATAGCAAAGTATAGCTCCTCGGTTCTTAATGGTCGTCTGGTATACAGAACCCATTGCAAACAGAGAATCATCCCATCTCCATTTAGATTGTCCCTACTTAAAATGCTGTCAAAGAGTTTTTCCAAGCTGTCCGGGATCTCATTAAGTCGCCTTCTCAGCGCATGTATGCGACCGCGAGCATACTCTTCGTTGAGCATCCGTACGACAAGGACAACCCATAAAAAGATGCCAGATGCCCTACTGAGTATCTCATCTCTGATCTGGTCAACCAACTTACTGCGTCCAGCTTTTAGCTCGCTATGGAGATAATTCGTCATGTCCTTTTGATGGCCATCTTGCTCTTGGAGAACAAGCTCTTTACAATTATCGATAGTAATGTGGGGATAGTGCCGGCTTGAGAAACAAGTACGAAACTTCAATCCAGATAAGACCGCAGTCTGGCCCAGTTGCTCCAAAAAGACCACCATGTCTCGTACCTGATCATCCTCACACTCATCTAGCGCATCGACAAAGCAGATTAAGGGGCGATCTCCAATTTGTGTAACAGCATTTTCGAAAATAGTCTTCAAGATCTCAACATCCCATTCGGGAGATCCCATGTCGTCTAGTTGTGGAGGCCGCAACGCAAGTACTTTCTGAAGATCAGGAAGTTTCTCTAGGAGCTGAAACAATAGGGACCGATACATTCCTAACGCTGACTTCTCTAAATCTTCGCCTCTAGCATTGAAGAAGAAGGATATAACGGTCCAATCGGGCAGTCTCTTTTTGGTGCTTGCAAGGGCAAATTTCATCAAGGTACTCTTGCCCACCCCTGGCTTGCCCTTGAGCCACAGGAAGCCATGGTGTTCCGGGAGGCGGTCATCGTCGAGCCAGTCTTGATAGCCGGGGTTGCTATGGATCCATCTGCATGTCTTCGCGTGTGCTGATCGAATGGTTGCATGACGAGCATCAATCTGATCAAAATTCAACGATCTCAAAAAGCGCTGTCGTTGATCTTCTGTCAGAGACGATCCCACGTACAGTGAATCCTGACCAGAGCCTTCCAACGCCTCGTTCGCCTTTGATATCTTTCTGGATCTGGAATCTTGTTCTGTATGACCGGCTTGCAATGTATAACTTAAACGTTCGGTAGCTTCATGGCTCCGACTCCTCGAACGTCCAGAAGTAGGGACGCAAGACAGAATTTCTTTCGCACACGCTGCGGCTGATGCAGCAGCAAAAGGCTGCCATTTGTCATTCTTGTGTGAATCTGCATAGTCGCATATGCCCCGGATGACGAGGCAGGGGAAGTTATTCATGAGGCCGGCGGCCTCCATTTCGAAGCAAAGAACACCACCCAATTTAGCGCTTAAGTTGTCTCTCTCTACTCCATTTTTCATGACTTGGTTGCCAGATGCTATCAAGCCATAGTGTATGACAATATCTTCATTTTCCCGTCGAGGTCGTTGGACAATCTTATGCTCGGGACACTGATGGCATGTTGATCCTTGAACGTGTTTATACGAGGGCTCGAAGAGGATGTCGGGACCCGCACGGCACCGATCGAACATATTGTGGTGGGAGAGGGAGGACAAGCAGGACTGGATTCTGCTTTTGCCTAAGTCTGAGACTGACCGCATCTTGCTCACAGCGGTTCCTAGTATAGGAGGCGGTGCGTTGAGGAAACCCGTACGAATATGTTGCCCATCAGGCGCAGTTTTGCCCAGGTCGTATTGAATAACACCTCCATGGCAATGTTGTGGCTGACTGACTACAACATCTCCAAGCCGTATATCAGTGACAGAACTTGGGACGCCACCGCCAATCCCCACCATCAACCAGTACAACACAGCAGGAAACGAGGATCGCGTTTGAGCAGCAGTCGCGGCAGCAGAGCTTGTGCCAATCTGCCCTGCAGGGAGACTGGCAATAACCACATTATGTATTCCGATGCGACCTAATACGAATTGAGCTGCCTCGTTGATATCTTCGTATTCCTCGTCCAGGACAGCACGTGCAGCGCTGAGTTCGAGAGGTAGAGCGCAAATCCATGCGATGGTAAAATCTTTGGCTTGGGGGTGGGGTCGTTTTCTTGCCATATTTTTCTCTGCTAGCCGAAATGAGAGCCAGAGGATGATCGAGTGATGGTTTTTGGTCTTTATCCTGTTTCGAAGGCATCGAAATATGCCCAGCCTTACTACAGGGGGGCCTGAGGTAATGATCAAGGTCTAACGTGTGACGCTCTATAAAGACGCCGTACAAATCTGGCTAAGTCTGAGAGAAAAGGTAGCGCGTGCGGACCGAATCGGATTTCATTTGGTAAATAAATTAACGTGGAATCAGGTAGTATAAGCTGTCAAAATAGAGCAGCGATAAAGCTCAAGACCAATGATTTATCAAGAATATTTGAAACTTTACTTCGTACTACAAATTGAGATCAGCCTCAGCCCCAAAACAACGAAGGGTGTGATACTGTAGGACCATACAATCGGAGTAAGGCTTCATCTGCAAGTGTTCTGCTACAGCTGTTCACACTTCTACCCGTTTGGACGAGCATGTCGGGTGCCTTTGCCTCAGTCAAGTCTTCTACTTCTATCATGACTCGAATCCTACTTCTACAGAAGTGTTTGATAACTTGGTGTCCGGCCTGTTCTTAGAGTCTGGCAACGCAAATGCATGTGTAGAGGTGCTTTCTCCTGGACCCACTCAATAAATTCCAAGGGTGCCAGCGATGCTGTGCACTCTGCAAGATGCCAACCACGAGATCCCCATTCTCAAGATGAGAGTAAACCCGGTGGGCTGGAAGAATCCAGCAGCAGACTCGCCGTTTCAGGTTTACCAGAGCACGCCACACCAGATCTCATGCATGTCTGGGAGACTAAGACTAAAGAACTGCGCCACTACGTGGTGGCTGCTACCAATTGCGTACAGTTCTTCTTCATCCATCAACGGAACTTGTATTCGCCGCTCGCCATAAATATGAGCTTTTGGAGACCCTACTATATAAGAAGCGTGTCCCGCCTAGTTTCAAAGATTATGTCTTGTACATGGTGCAAGAGTGTGCGTGGTCAAAATAGCACTTCCAAGTCTCAGGAGTCTCCCAGCTGAGTTACTAAGATCCAAAGGAGATGTTCATGCGCTGGAATGCATGTATGGTCTTCGTTTCGTCGATTTGAATGGAAGAGGCAATATTCATCAGCCAACGTCGCGGCGGTCACTTCGAAAGACTGCTATCTATTGCAGCGATCGACCATCCAAGGATGGAGGAATCTGAATCTTCGTAACGCCTTCGCGCCTCGCAAAGCACTGCTTGACGGAGCTTGCACACAATCAAGACAGTAATTCGTCTTCTGGTCCTCTGACGATACATCTTCTACTTCTGGAGACCGCGATTGCTAATTGGAGGCCTTACCTAGTAGACCTCGTTACTCAGACAGACCAACGTGCTGAGTTGTTGCTAGGAGCATCCCGCAACGAGGAAGGGCGCATTGGCATGCCAGAGCGTGGTGAGCGCCAAGAGCTCATGCTGTTGGGTGAGGAATTGGTTAATGCTGCGCTCATTATCAAGGCGACTATGAGAAATGTACAGCAGCTACACAGGATTTACAGTTCCATACGAGAATCGAAAGCGTATCAACAAGCAATTCAGTACGATCCGATTGCTATTGTTCTTTCCAATCAGTTACAGGAACTTGATCTCAATTCCATGCGGGTGAGGCACTACGTGCGCGTGTCCAAGGCATTGCAAACTCGGTATCAAGCTTTCTTGATCTTGACAGTGCATTCTCCCTACATAATCTAGCCAAGGAGTCGAGAAGGGAGCACGAAGAAGTGCGCCAACTTAGCAAATGGATGGAAGACTTGACAAAGAAGAGCACGTAGGATGCTGTAGCGGTTAAGGTTCTGACTATATTAACATTGACTTAACTGCCTGCGATTGTGTTCTCCAATTTCTTTTCTGCGTCATTTGTCGATTTCAGAAACCTCTCTGGAGGAGGAAGTCATATAGTGGTTTTAAATGAATGGTGGATCTTGGTGGCCAGTGCCATCCCACTCATATCACTGACTCTGTACATCTGGTACGCTTGGATGCGTATACAGTCTTACGGAAAATATCTTGGTGGTGGCAACGCAGAAGGAATGCTGCACGACGTGACCTGGCCCATTGTCCCGAGGAGAAGGTCTGAGACTGGGAATCAGTATGAGAAGAGATCAAGTTGTTGGGTGATGGACAAGCAATATCTCGACCAAAACTACAAGATTATATTAAGTGCAAAGAAATATGTCAGAGGACGAATAGGGATTCGTAATACAATTTCGAGACATGATTCCATGCCACCTGAGTAAATCGAGCATGTTCTTTATTTGAGAATGAATTAATACGGTTTAGCCGAATTCAAAACCCCATAAAACTTGACTATATGCAGCTTTTCTCAAGGGGTAAGGATATCTGCGTTGTACTATAATATCACCCGTGTAAATCTGGAAAAAAAAAATTATATGTCTAATGCGTTAGCCCTCCCATCTCAGCCGTGCACCCGAACTACCCAGACGCGGGTCAGAAAGGTAGGTAAAGGAACGATTCATGAGCCCCCCCACAACGGTTGCGTACAACATTCTTCTCACAATCATACTCAGCCTCCTCTTCCTGGTCATTTGATGAGCCAGGAAACACTTCCTCATGATCTACAGTCACTGTGCAAAAGTATCCGACCAAACCCACAAACACACCAAAAGGTGCACTTTTTAACAATGAATAAAAACTTTAGCTAGGCGACAACTACATATTTAAAAAGTTGTGAATTATTGAAAATTAGTAGATTAATCCTTTATTAATAGAAATTTTTGTCTCAAAACTCGTAGATTTTGAAAAGAAGAATTAAGAAGTAGAGTAATCCAAAATTCTAACAAAATTTGTATGGGACTCCATACAATTTTTTCTTCTTTTTGGAAAGTTTGACTTGAAACTTGTTCTATTGAATATCTAGATATTTTATAAGAAAATTTTGTATTTATGAATAAATATTTGATTAATTCTAAATTTATATTAAATTTAAAATCTAGTAGTTGACGCCTAGCTAAAGTTGCTATAACTATTTCAAAAAGTCGTCTTTTTGGTGTGGTTCCACACAAATTTTGAAGTTGGCCGGATACTTTTGCACTAGTACTGTACGTGATCATGGCACCAAAGGCTGCTCCGGCTTTGACCCTTCACGCCCAGGACAGCCCTCGTTCGGTTTCCCCCCTAGTAGATCCTGCGGCGAACAATGTAATCGCCCTTTAAAACCCCCGATCTAGGTCTTTTCCAAGCAGACGTTTCACGCCACACGCCGCTGCCTCTTCGGATTCATCACCTTCCCTCCCACAAGCAATGGGGTTGGATTTAGGGTTCGGGCCAATCCGTCGAGTGTTGATTGTCAGGTCCTTGATCGATGGAAACTTGATTGAGCGCGATGGTATGGTTATCTGTTGGAGGCGGGAGCATTGGAGGAAGACGGGTTTTGAGGCCGTGATACAGATGAGGTGGGATGTAATACAGAGTCGAAGCCATGATATTTAGCCTTCAGCACATCTGCTGAACCTGCCACGTACAGAGACCGGCAAACTTCATCAAGCTTCTCAGCGCTCTGATGATGAAGAAAAAAAATCCTCTATCATCCCTTTGGTGCCTGACAGTAGCTATCACTTTTCTCGGTTCTTCACCTTGGTCCAGCCACTTGTTCCTTTTACCCGTCCAGAAACAGCAACAGTAGCATCAGCATCAGCATCTACAAGCTCTTTCCCACGATCAGTCTCAACTCTGCGATCTTCACTCCTTCTCTCCGTTCTAGCTGTCATAATACTCCTCGCATCATCAAAACTTGACCGACCTTCCATCTCCGCTGAGTTTCTGTTCCTGATGAAGACTGCTTCGTCGGCTCGAAATTGCTCACCCCCGTCATCCCATTCGTCCTGCTCCAACATCTCCCATTCTGCGTTGCTCATTTCGCCGATCAGGGCGCGCTTTAACGGGTCGACGATCATGGTATATTTGGTCAATTTCCAGCCTCGGAGGAAGTCGGCGCCGTTGACTGGGAATGAATGGGCTGAATCGTGCGAGAAGTGACCTAGTCTCAAGGATCTGTAGGGGGCTGCAAGATGTGCGGATGGGGTGATGGTCCTTTGCTGTCGTACGTCTCTTCCTGAGAGCACTCTCAGCAAGGCTGGCGACTGTGGCGGCGCAATCAAAAGATTCCACAGGTTTCGACCCATGTTGCAGACATCTTCCCATGATTCAGTGCCAGCGTACATTCCTTGGCTTCGACAGAGCCAGGCGATGTCCCATGCTAGTAGGGAGATTCCTTCGAGGAAGAACGCAAAGGCTGTTGAGTCTCTTTTGGCGATATGGGGTGTTTTATCTTTAAGATTTTCAGGTTCAATGAACAAGGGGCGGGGGCGCGGTAGCGGTCTTAGGTCTGTATGGCGAGAGCCAGCAGGACTGTTGGTTGACGACGATGTGGGGGTGGTGCCTAGGAAGGGTACTTCTCGGCCTTGATATGAATTCGTGGGTGTGAAGATGGTGGGAAGAGGGTAATTACGATGTGGAAGAGTGATCTCTGCAGGAAGACGGAGGGAAAGATAGAACGAGATAAGAACAACGAGGTGAGCTGTATTATTTAGAGAGGTGGTGAGTTCGTTCGCTTTGGCGCTATTAATGTCTTTGAGGTCGAGAAGGGGAATACCGCCAATCGTGTACTGATCCCTTACGACGCCGCCTCTCATTTTCTTCCTCTGACGTAAACCATGTAGATGTGCTGCTTCCCTGCACAAGAAGCTTCGAGTCTCGATTGCCTTATTTTGGATAGTATCCCATGACTGCGTGATCTTCTTGATTTCCTCCTGCGCTTTCTCTGAGCTAGCCTTCTGCCGCTCTGATACCGCACTCTTGATAGTACTCCACTCGGACCTTTTTTTCTGTAGCATGGCCTTACGCTTGGCAATCTCCTCCCGAAATGCCTTGATTTCAGCTCTTAATGTCTGAATGTGCTCATGTATGACTTTCGTCCTGTCCTTGGCTTGGGCTTTCTGGATGTTTCTGCTCTCGACAGACCATCTTGTAATTGCCTGACCATCCTGCCTGACTTCTAGAGTGTTGGGTGTTTTATCGGTCCCTTTAGCTGAAGAATGGATACTTTCGATTCGTGAAGCGAGGTGTTCCTTTTCCAGGAGAAGCTTTGCATTGCGCAATCGAGGTTCGTACAGGACGCTTCTGGCGCATGAAGGACAGCAAAAGGGTAACCTGGAGCTGTACGATCGCATGCAAATATCGCACTCCATGCTCGAACTTGCTCAGCAAACATATAGAGAACATGAGAGTAACCGTGTCATCTTTTTTCTTTATGGTTGGATGACTCCTCTGACCGAGTTGCCTCGGGCAAGTCGGCGGTACAACAAGACGGCAGGGCGTTCGAACTACGCTCCATCATGACTCATCTGCGTTCATTTGCTGTGCTCAGTAGCGTCCGCATGCTCTGCTGTCCATGTGATGCATATGGCTGGCTTGCCGTTGCCTGAGTTACGTTCAAGATGCAGCCAGCGCCTAGGAATAATGGTAAGATGACCGTATTATATAATCGGTCACGTTTTCTCGTGACAGGTACGCGTCGCAGCGCGTTTGGTGCTCTTCAGCCTTATGTAGTAGTGAAGAATTTTATCTTGGTGCGATCCTTTGCGCGCTGTGCAAATTTACAATCACCAGGATCGGGTCAGGAAAGGGTTCTGAGAATGAACACACATTCCTCTCCTGGCTCAGTGGCCGACTCGGATGACTGCTCGCCTCGTTCCTCCCCTACCCGATCGAACACGGCTCCCCCAAGCGTGCGTTCGTTCTTTCCGGGACAAACAAGGCACGAAAGCCCGACTCGAAGTACCAGATTTCAGTCGGACATCTTGCCTTCCTCAACCAATTTCGAAGTCAATGGCTTCTTAGGAGTAGGACCACAAAACCAACATTCGAATTTCGCGACACAGGCATCTACACTGGTACAACAGGAAAATGAGGTGGGCCTGCTGGGTCATGGTGAACTAGCAGAGGATGCACTAATGGCGTCGTGTGATCCAATGGAGGACCTTCCTTCCAAGGACTGGGAAGAGCTGGAAACAAGGTTTGATGGGGACATGGAGGCTGCAGTACAGCATGAGCAATCTATCATAGATGAGATTGAATGGGTCATGAAAGTAAGTGGTTGCTGTGTATGACCCACTGGCCATGCTAATTGGAATTTTGGAACAGATGATGAAGGAGTCTACGACCGCTTCCAGCAAGACAGAGTCTGAGAGAGCTAGAAAGAGGTACTCGAGTTTTGTACCAAGATCGTTGTCGACACTAATAAACGTTACAGACTTCGAACCCGGATTGCGTATGTACAGCAGTCAGAAGAGACGTTGGCTGAGAAGAGAAAGCATTGTGCGAGTTTCTCAGCTCCCTCAGTTATGGTCGCAGCTAATGATCCAGTAGACAAAGGAGTCGTCGATGCATTTCAAAATGCTATGGCTCTACTTGGAGGCATATGAACCATTATTTTTGTCCCTTGTGAAGGTGGTCAAAATGTTGGTCTCGTTCTTGGCAACAAGAAGGAGATGAAAAATCTGCTCCGAACTCACTTGACGCTCACCCATTCGATGCCGCCTTTATCACTATTCTACTATCGATTACCTACACAGAGTGATTTGTAGATAAGTGTTGTGGATGTCTGTCCTAAGTGCTATTATAACTGCTCTCTTGGCTGTTATGTTACTCGGGTTTGAAACGAAGAACCATCAGAATGTGCCTCATCCTCCTTCACAGACATCAGAACCACTCCCTTATCACCTAAAGAAATGCACCCTGCCTCAAGTCGCAGACTATGGGCTCTATCTGCTTGTTCACAGACATGAGCTTACTAAAGGACGACTCTGCTTAGCCTATTAGAGGTAATAACCTGGCAACCCTCGATTGGGCCTATCCCCTCCGTACTACCTGATGCCTCAACTAGGGTCGTTGGCAGATTTAAGCTCGGATAAGGTTGTTCTCTGAAGCTCTTTCAACGAACACTCAATATCTATTTAAGGAAGAAGCAAGTGGTCCTACAAAGGCTCAGAAGCTCTGATGTCAGAGGATCTCTTCTCCGAAGTTGCATTCTAATGAATTGCTTACACAGAAGTTGTAAGAACACCAAATAAAGAACGTCGATGACTAATTGAGACATTCTAGACCCCTGTTCAGGTACGGAAGGGATAAGCGTTCACGGTTGCGGCCAGATCATGAATACAAGAAAGATTCCGAGCGTCCTCGGTATTTTCCCAGGGTTGAGAGACAACAACTACGTTCACAGCATTCGTCTACTTAGCAACGACCAACAACCCATAGTTCGGCACTTCTTGATAACTCTTCAACTCCTCTATGCTGGCTCCCCCAGGCCCGTCCCCTCTCAGGTACCTCTCAGGCACACTTGTGACATCCCACTTCAACTCCCCTCTCATTCCGGCCTCTCTCGCAGCAGCCTCATAGACGTCCTTTCTCAAGTGGTAGCAATTGAAGTCCACGTCCCCGACCTCCGTGTTGCCGTGCAGATGGAAATATATACCATCCTCCACATCTTGAAGAACGTGATAGACCAAACCTCCCGATCCCTCTGGTGGGGGACGAGCATTGAACTCGGCGTTGACAGAAGCTGTCGGATCCTGAGTTGGCGGAACGGTGACACTAACAAAGTGCCCGCCGTCCTTGAGGTTGAGGGAGATGTTGCGGAACATGTCGACAAGACCGGCGCGATCAGGCGCGTAATTGAGCAGCCAGGCACCAAAGACAAGGTCGAAGGGCGCACCAGCGTAGCAGGTTGGTTTCGCGCAGTCGGCTAATATAAAGTCGATGGTTCCACTGGTGCTCGAAGGAGAGCTAGCAACAGCGCTACCCCGTCGGCGGGCCTCCTCGATCATTACCGGCGAGATGTCCACTCCGACCACGGCACTCGCGCCCCATTTTAGAAAGTCGTAGGTATAGAAGCCTGATCCACAGGCAAGGTCCAGGACGCGTGAGTTGTTGATCAATGGCGCAACGGTAGTCTGCACGTTTTCGTGCTCAATAAGGGCAATGGACTTTTTGCGAATGTAGTCATAAGGAGCTTGAATGGTGTCATATTGGGTTGACATCACTGCTGAACATTTCGTACGTAGAAAGGCTGCCTGCGATGATGAGGGTATGGGGCCGAAGGGCCCTGGCGCCGGCGGAGCTATTTCCTCCGAACCTTGTGTCTTAGGTATCTAGTCATTACAACACGACGATAGATACGTCTGAGCTGATACTGCTCCACTAGGGAGAGTGTACGGAGTAAAAGTAGAGAAAAGGTATCGTTAGAACTTCTTGGTGTGATGCTAACGATAATGCCAATCCGTATGTTTTCTATCCACTCCGCGGATGACAGGGATACTACCCATTGTATAATAAAAGTGTTGCAATTCCTTGGCGTATGCTGTGGAGCTGCTGTTGCTGAAGCTGTTTATACTGAATTTGTAGATATCAAGTAGAATGCTAAGAATTCTATTCAGTAGCTATAGATCTGTTGACTTATAATTAAGTTTAGTTTTCTGTTTTTGAAGTCTGAATTTTAAGAGATTAAGTAGTCAAAGTTTATATGTAGAAAGTGTGCTTAGTCCAAAAAAGTTTTCTTGATATAAATTTGATATCCAAAGAATCAGAAGAAGCTCAGCTACATATTGATATAAGTACTATAGTATCTAAGTCTTTGAATGGCTTTCTGTAGCTGTTTGAGCAAAACAGAGGAGCTCCGCACATGCGCCAAGGAATTGCAACACTTTTGCAATGGGCAATAGTGCCCAATATCAGTGCACCACATCATACCATTCCGCTACTCATCCACCTCTTCCTCATCCTTCACTTCTTTTCCTCTGCCTACCTTCCAAATCTCTTCAATTCCACATATCTCAATGGCGGGTACGTAATGCACGCAAATGCTATTGACGTCCAGGCCCCAATATCGCCTCCATACCCTCCGATCTTTAGAGCAATAGGCCCTTGATACCAAATCTGATGCATCCCCATAAGGGCACCCGCCCAGCCAACGAGCGAAGCAAATAACGCCGCCGCACCAATGGGCAACTTCTTCTTATCATCCCATGCCGTCCAGTCGAACGGCACGCCTCTAAGTACATGAAAAAGGAGATGTTCTTCCAGGGCAATACTTAGCCAAGGACAAACCGAATAGCTCATAATTGGGAGAAAATTTTCAAAGATTCTGAACAGATAATTACGCCCTGCGACGGAGCAGATAAGTTCAATCAGCGTGATAACGACACACCAAAACCAGCGAGGAATCGCCTTTGCATAACGGCCAAGGACTTGGATTGTCAGTGCTCCAGCGTAAGTACCAGGGGCGTTATTGGTGATAGAGCCGAGGGCGAGGATAACGACACAGAAGCCGCCGAAGCCACCCAAGCCGTCATAGCAAGCTAAGAAGAGCGCACCTGATGAAATGCTGTAGGCGTCATTCCAGGCCGGGGTTGTAGCCACGCCCGTCGCGATACCCACGCCAATAATATTACAGAAGATCGTAGGTAGCCAGATACCAGACCAGGTCGTCAAGAAAGTGATCCATTTGGGGGTCGCGGTCGGGTAATAGACGTAGAAATCGGCACCTAAACCGGCCAAGCCAATTACGGTTGCGAACAACAAGGCGAAGAAAGAGCAACGATGTGCGGTAACAGTACCAGCAGGACCGACAGCAACAGTGGAAGTATCGAAGCTTTTGCCAGCAGAGCCGACAAGGACAAGAATGGCGAAAATTTGTGGGATGAACGCGTATCTAGCTTGCCCGTAAGCCAATCATTTCCCCTCCGTAGCGGTATAGAGTGCGCACCTCCCGTATGTGTAGATAATGGCGATACCAAATGTGGCAATCAAGCCAATGCAAACGGCGCTGATAACACAGCCAACAGAAACACTTAAGCCTGCGCCATTGACAGCCGAGAACATCTGGCCGGCGATAATGCATCCGATGATTCCCCAGCCTAGTTGCATGACTAAGTTGAGGATACAGAAAAGCTTTGAAGGCCAGTAGCCCATGAAATATCGACCAATAATCTATCGAGCAAGCCATACAGATTAGCAAACGATATCAGCCACCCATTATATGACGATGGTAGGACCTCCAACAAACAAACCATGGTTCGATTTCCGCTTTCCGGCCCAAATGTGGATGTATAAGAGGCTCCGCAAGCAGAAAGAGCATTGGCAAAGATGACAATGCAGACGCAATCCACCCAGCCAAGCTGAAACACTAGTGGCCCAAGCAGACCAGTAATAATATTTATTGCCGTCAAACTAATGCTGAACCACAGTGCAAACATTTGCAGGTAACCGTGTATATCACCATGATGTTTCTCCTCCTGCAATACACGTGTTATGCCACGAGCTTCAAGCCCTGCAAGGCTCTCCACCTTGGCATTCAACTTGGCGAGCTTGCCTTTGAGGAGGAGGGGATCAGGAGGGATGTCACTGTGATTCAAAGTGTCGCTGCCGGCGTCGGTGGTGACATTGAGTTCGGTGGCCTCCAACTCACCCTGTTTCTCGACGTCGTTTTCGGGGAGCTGGTGGGCACCATGGTTCGGTGGATCCATGATTGATGGAACAAACACACAAAAGGAAGAAAGTCAGGATGAGGAAGACAGGATCAATTTCAGGTATTCAAAGGCCCAGAGCTCTCAGCCAATTTTTGAGCATAACCAATCACTCAAATCAACGACCCCTCCTCGATAGAACAGACGTTAAGGATTCAACTTAAGAGATAAGCTTAGCAAAAGATTGGGGGGTGAGCCCTGACCAATTGAAGGTCAAGTACTTTCCGTTCCATCGAGAAGGGTTGTGCAATTGAGCGATTGGATATGCTACGTCGTACAGACAGTAATCGCTGCTTTGGAGAGCCTCGTTACAGCTCAGTTTCCATTGAGTGGCTCTTGGGAGCTATCACACAGCAAGGGGTTGTGCAGCTTGGTCTACTACGTACAGATCACTAACGATAAAGATTACCGTTGTCTGACGCTAATTCTGTGATTTTCGCTAACTTAGGAAGGAAGTTAGTAGCATACGTAGTACAACTAGTAGAAGACAGACCATTCCTATTTGGAAAAGTCTTGACAAGACTGGCCATGGAATTTCCAACTATACGGACAATTATAGGTCAAAATATAGAGAAATCTCTCAAAAATTCCTATAGTTACCTTAGCTATCAGTTATGTATTGGCTATATAAGTGACTGACAAATTACATGTCTACGGGTTGCCTAGCACTGCTGACTAGTTAGTTGCGGGGTTGAGCCGTGATTGTACGTAGTAACACCTGCGCCTCACCCTGGTTCTGGTGAGACCAGATTGAGCAAGAGCGGCATCACCTTAGGCCCGGACCGGTTGTGAGGCCCGCTTAACTACCGCCGCCGTCTTTCTGCCGCTTTTCCCCGCCTGCACCTCCGGCTTGACTTTGGGTTAACATTAACGTACTCATGCATTTCAGTAAGCGATTCGGCGAATATTTGGGGCCCCTGCATTGACGATTAGCATTCTTTTGCTGCGGTAGCGATGTCTGAGGGACCTTCTGATCGTGACCGCGATCTGTTGTCCAGGCTGAATGCTCTTAAGCAGTCAACGATTGACCTGGATGCGAAGCAGTGTGATTACCCTCCCCCCATTTGCACTCCTTAGGCAGCCGGCATATCTAATGGTAGAAAGATTGACTTACCCAAAATCGACCCCCTCGGCACATGACATCAACCCTCTTGTGGGTCACGCCCTTCATGCAGACATTTCTGCCCGCTTTCGAGCCCTTCAAGGCAGTAATGGTCCTGTCAAGTCTGTATCCATAAAAACAAAATCTGGCACCTCTTTAGACATACCCGAGTTGCGGAAGGGAGACGAGGACAAGACTGTAGAAGAGTTACTGGCTGAACTCGGACCAGAAGAGGAGTGGGCAGTCGACAAAGGCGAGGACGACCAAGTAAGAGACCTACTGAAAGAGGCGCAGGACGCACTCAAGGGTCCACCACACACAGAAAAGAATGATGATCTCCGAGACGTAGAGCCAGGGGCTGCGGGCAACGAGCAGCAAAAGCAGACTGCGCGAACGCTGAGTATCGACCTCTCCGTATTCCAACCAGAACCCGATTCCGAAGTGGAGGACACTGCGGAAGCGCAGCGGCAAACGAAATCGGAGCTTAACCACTCGCTAGACCTAGAAGCACACGAATACCTCGAGCGTGTCTTGGACGAAATCAGTCATGAGAACACAGCAACCCAGCATATCGAGCAAGAAGACGATCCGCCCCCAGAATATCGCGAAGCCGAAAGCCATACACCCCTATCACCTACCTCGCATCACTTGCCATTATCCTCAACATCCGACCTTCCCTCCACCCCCTCAAAAGACCCTGTCACACCATCACCATCATCTTTCTCATCACAAACCCCTTCCACAACCGCCGACCTGATGACACGCTTCACATCCCTCTCCCTCGCCCTCCCCAGCGTCCCCACCACCCTCCCTAAACCCGCATCCTCGCCTTCCCCCAAATCCTCAAACACTGGAAACACATACACCGACGCCGAGATCTCAACTTGGTGCATCATCTGCCTCGACGACGCGACCCTGCAATGCATCGGCTGTGACGGGGATCTGTACTGTAGGGATTGCTGGATGGAGGGCCATCGTGGGGGGAGTGCCGGGGTGGAGGAGAGGAGACATCGGGCGCTGGAGTACAATAAGGATAGCAAAGGGAAAAGGAAAGAGGAGGAGCAGAGGGAGAGGAGGAAGAAGAAGAGGGTCGGGTTGGGTGCTGTGTGACGAACAATAGAAGAGCGGAGAGGGGATTATAGTACTTGAGGATTGTGTTTGCAGCTGGCTGGCTAGGGTAGGGAAGGGCAGGACGACGATTGTGTACACCGAAACAAACAGCCGGAAGCAACCATATTAGGCTAAGGGCATATTTTGTACACAGAAGCTCACTTGGCTCCAAAACAAAAGACCCGTTGTGTCAAAGTGAGTACGCGATTAGTTACACTGCTAGCTGCGCGGATGTCTTCGGTGCTTCCTATGGTTTTGTACAATTTGTGTCAAACCTGCTCACCAAGGAAAAGAAAACCAGCCCACCTGTACAATTTCCAATTCTTTTCGACTAACGTCACACTTCATCTCTTTGAGCAGATACCTTCGTTCGACCCTGTTGCATTCAACCAGCTAATCATCTGCACCATCCCTGGCACCTCTTTCACCTGCACCAGCACCGCTTTTACTTACCCTGCCTACCCTCCCCGTAATATCCTGCCACGTAGCACCAAACCTCCTTCCAGTACTCGCCAAGAGACCCTCCTCCTCTGCTTCCAACGCATCCTCATCGGCATCCTCATCCGCTAACTTGGGCGTCCGGAACAGCATCAAGAGGAACACCACCAAAAACACGCCGAGAAATACGAACTGAGCCCAGAAGTCGACTGCGCCGAAAAACGGATAATTGACCGTCACGCGGTTGAGGAACTGAGAGACCATGCTCGGAGTGCAAACGTTCTTCGCTGCTGGGCTGTTTGTCGTCTCGGAGCAGGGGACGATGTGCTGGGTGTGGTTTGTGCAGTCTGGTTGTTCGCCTGGGTGGCGGAGTGGGTGGTCACAGAATGTTTGAGGGCCGAAGGTAGCGTATTGAGGGGCCACCACCATGGCGATGCTGTAGTTTAGCGCAAAGGTGATGAGTGTGAGCATCACCGTTGCAACAAGTAAAGCTTGGGGACTTGTGTGGCCCTTGCGGATGCGGAAGAGGGTCAGCCAGAGAAAACGGATCCCTGCGGTAGCGAGGCCAACGATGCTGGAGGAGAAGAAGAAGAGGACGAGTAGGGTGAAGAGGATGTAGTCAATTGGGAAGATTTTGGCGGATTTGACAAGGATGAAGTTTATGGGTTGGAAGATTTTGATTTTGGCGAGTACGTAGCCGCAATGGCGGCCGCAGATTGAGTTGCGGGCTTTGTCGATGCCGGTTATAAGCATGCTGGCGAAGATGATCAGGGCAACGATCACGAGGAAGATACCGCCAAGGAGTTTCAGGGGACGGAAGATGGCTTCGAGCTTGATCCATGCTCGGACGACCCAGGAACGGCCTTCGCCAGTAGACTCGGCAGCCATTCGCTCGCGACGAACGAGCGTTCGTTCCTCGCGCACCAGAGCTTCGAGTTCGCGGCGATCTTTGCTGGAAAGACCATCAGGATTGCCTTGGGCTCGACCTTCGAGTTGACGTTGGCGTTCACGATTGGCCTCGAGTTCAGTAGCGGTGGTTTGGGCAAGCTGGGGTGCGGAGATGGCTGGGGCAGACTTGATGAGGGCTAGTGGGAGGAGCGCCATGCCAGCTGCAGTATAGAAGCAGTATATTATGATTCCAACAGTAATCAGAAGACCAACGGCGAAGACAAGAGCCCGTTCTCCATGATTCTCAGTCAGAAGATGTCTGAAATAGTCGAGGTCGAAATGTGCGCCCTCCCGATGACGAGCGATGGGAACGAAGAAGCCGACGAGGAACAAGGCCAGGCAGAGGAAGATAAAGACAAAGGTGTATTTGAATGCTCCCCAGAAGCGAGTGCCAACTGTTTGCGAGCCATCCTCTTGGGCAGCTTCGTCGTATTCTTCATACCAGAAGTAAGTGAAGGGAACAACCAGCAGGCAGAGGACCGCATCGACCGAGTATAGAGTATAGTAGACTATTTGCAAGGTCTTGGTTATATTGTCGACCTTGTCTTGAGTAGCCCATTCCTTTCGACGACCAAGCTTGGAGCTGGTCGTGCTTGAGACCAACGCAACATCCACAGGTAAAAGTAAGACAGTCGCAAGGAGACAGGTCAGGGTGAAGATGCAGACGATGGTAACCGAAGCAGAGCGCTCTCGCGGAGTTTGGTATATGTAGACAAACACAGAGGCTATGGCGAACACCAGGGCAATGACCACGGCATAGACGACCCAGATCAGTGTGAGTTGGATAAAGCCTTGACCTTGACCCTGGGTGCGAGCTGCGGAGGTGAGTTCAGGCTTCCAGAGAAGTTCGAGGGAATTGGACATGATGACAGCCTCGTAGGGTAGGTAGCACTCTGAAGTGCGAAGGAGAGGGAATATTACACGGTGCACATTCCAAGTCTGGCGGAGAGTGATCTCAAGTAAAGCGGAGAGTGATCTCAAAAAAAGCGGAGAGGGAGCTGTGGGGGGAGGATGATGTCGAGCTTCCAAGTTCGTTGGTGGCTGATCTGGGGAAATCGTCATGCCCAGCCAGCAAAGATGGTCAGAGCTTCCAAACAACCAACCACTTGTGTAAAATTACTGCATACTGCGTACATATTATACATAACAATGCCAGCCACCTCAAAAGACGTTTGATAGGAAATAGTGCACTTCATGAGCACATGGCAGAAGTATCTCCGTATTTCTGCTGATGAGCCAACGCTGACACAAGTGCACGTACCTCCTAGTAGTGCACTGGTGGATCTCTAATCATCCAGAACGATCATAATCTATAAGCTCTCGTGACACTGATGTTGCAGCTCTTCATGAAACTTTGGTAACTGACGAGGGGTCAGCATTTTGATGTTTCTTCACGACGTCTGATATTCGCCTTCCCCCGCAGAGAAATGACATGACTGGAAGCGAATACTGTTGATAATGTCTGTGGGCTAGAAGAATCTTAAACGCGCCTGATGAGATAAATATCAACTACTACCATGCAGTGCTATACTGAGCTGGTTCCGCCGTCTGGAGTCACTAATGCTCTGGCACTGCCTTTCATCTCTCCGGAGGCAAGCAACCTAGTTGTTGCTAGAACTTCCTTGCTTCAGATCTTTTCTCATAAGCCGACGAGTAATGGCCAGGATACCAAATTGGTGCTGGTAGCAGAGTACAGCCTTCCTGGAACCATCACTTCGCTGGGAAGAGTCAAGATCCTGGCTTCGAAAAGTGGAGGAGAAGCTATTCTTATTGCCTTTCGAGACGCAAAGTTGAGCTTGATAGAATGGGATGTGGAAAAGCATAGCATTGCCACAATTTCAATTCATTACTATGAGAGTGAAGCGCTGCAACGAAGTCCTTTCACTCCTGATCTGCGCGATTGTGTCAATCATCTCACAATTGATCCAAGTAGCAGATGTGCCATTTTCAATTTTGCGGTAACCAATGTCGCCATCATCCCTTTTCACCAAGCTGGCGATGATCTGGTCATGGATGATTACGATGCAGAGTTTGATCGAGAAGACGCAGAGAGATCGCCCACCAAGAAGACTAATGGCGATGTCGAAACATATCAGACGCCATACGCCTCTTCCTTTGTGTTGCCGTTGACTGCACTTGACCCAGGCATTCTTCACCCAGTCCACATAGCCTTCCTGCACGAATATCGAGAACCCACTTTCGGTATCCTCTATTCGAGCATTGCCAGATCCTCGGCGCTGAACCATGAACGGAAAGATGTGACACAGTATGCGGTACTCACTCTCGATTTGGAACAACGAGCCTCTACGACTTTATTGTCCATTTCGAGATTACCCAATGATCTTTCTGCCGTCATTCCCTTACCACTCCCTGTTGGAGGTGCACTGTTAGTTGGAGCTAATGAGCTCATCCATGTCGACCAAGGAGGTAAGACGAGCGCGGTTGGCGTCAACGAGTTTGCTCGAAAATGCTCCTCATTCTCCATGGCGGACCAGTCCGAGTGCCGAATGCGCTTAGAAGGATGCCAGATCGAGCAACTGAACGCATCAAATGGCGACATGTTGATAGTACTTGCGACTGGCAATCTGGCTGTGCTCAGCTTTCGCCTGGACGGACGGTCTGTCTCTGGCATGTCTGTCCGTACGCTCTCGCAAGAGCTAGGACACACTTTGTTTCGCTCCAGGGCATCGTGTATCGCATCCCTCGGTTCCCATCGACTTTTTGTTGGCAGCGATGTTGCCGATTCTGTACTGCTAAGTACTGCACGAAAGGTCTCTCAATTGAAGAAGCATAGCTCGAGAAGTGGACAACGAACCGTAGGCGATGGCAACAGTGACGTTGCAGAAGACATGGGAGAAGCGGAGGGCCAGGAGGAGGAGGAAGAAGAAGAGGAAGAGGAGGACGACGATGATCTCTACGGCGATGCCCTTGATAAAACCATGACAGGGCAATCAGAGGGTGTGACTACGTCGGGCACAAATATTCGCGTACTAGATCGACTACATTGTGTCGCTCCTTTAAGAGATGTTACGATTGGCCGCGTAGGCAAACGGAAGCGAGACGGAGATGAAATCAAAGGAAAAGATCAGCCAAGAGAGCTAGATCTGGTCGTCTGCTGTGGCGAGAGATTGGCTGGTGGGGTGACTATCTTTAACCGTGAACTACGACATGACATTGTCAGCCAGTCGAAGCTTTCACAAGCAGACGGAGTTTGGTCGTTCTCGGTGAAGCCACCAGCAGCGGCAGCTGATGGGCTAGGTATGGATAGAAGCTATGACGAATTCATGATCATCTCCAAACCCAATGAACCGGTTCAAGCGGAGTCAACCTTGTATCAGATCTCTGACGGCTCCCCTCAAGAGAAGACGAACACAGATTTTGATCCCTCAGCAGGTGGAACTATAGAATGTGGTTCAATCACGAATGGGGCGCATATCGTGCAAGTCCTCGAAGCAGAGATCAGGGTCTACGATAGAGGTAAGCTATTTTACGGGGTCTTGCGATGTTTATGCTAAATTAATTCTAGATTTTGGACTGGCCCAAATATGGCCGATCGTGGACGAGGAGACCAATGCTGACGCAAAAGCCATCAGCGCCAGCTTTGCAGATCCTTATGTACTTATTCTGAAGGACGATTACTCCATTGTACTTTTGAAGACAGATAAGAAAGGGGAGCTGGACGAAGTCGACCTTGGAACCGAGCTCCGTGATGGCAAGTATATTTCTGCATGTTTGTACAGCGACCAACAAGGCACTTTCACCAAACAGAACGCACTAATGGCAACCACGACGAGCTGTATCGTTGCATTGCTGTCCTCTGCTGGGGCACTCAGCATATACTCTTTGTCCAATTTGCAGATCAAACTCTTCTTTTACGAGGGATTGCAGTTCCTGCCTTCCATACTATCTCACAGCACACCTCTACCGAGGCATTGGAAAGGTGCAGAAGCAGTGTCAGAGCTTCTCATTGCAGATCTCGGCGACAGGAACGACACCTGTCCATACTTAGTCTTCAAGACAAGCGGTGGTGATTTTGCTATCTACGAGAGCTATAAACCCTCGGTAACTGCTTTCGGGTTCAGAAAGATCACGCTGAGGCCTGTTTCAAATGCACCCTCGGGTGAGTTTCTGGAGCCAGATCAGAACAATCCCAGCAGGAAATCCCGTCCAATGAAAATGGCTTACGTTAATGGCCTTTTCGTCGTTCTGGCACCAGGGCAATCCCCCGCCATGATTGCCAAAGTTGCTACGAGCAGCCCCCGAATTTACAACCTTGCAGCGCGGCCGATCCTGGCATTTAGCGGCCACCATACTGCATCATGTTCCCAAGGGTTTGTGTACATTGACGCGGATCAGAACTTGTGCATGGCCAGACTACCCACAGAAATCTCAATCGGGCACTCTAGCTGGGTCGAGCGGAAGGTCGAACTCGGCTCCGATGTCAGTGGTATTGCATATTTCGACCGCACTCAGTCATATATTCTTGCGGCCAGTCATCTAGCAGATTTTCAGCTACCGCAAGATGACGAATGGCATGCTGATTGGAAAAACGAGGAAGCAAGCTGTCTACCACAAGTTGAGCAAGGTTCGGTGAAACTGTTGAGCTCGGCGACCTTCAACATCATCGACAACTTCCCACTCGAATACGCAGAGCGTCCCATGTGCATCAAATCTATGAACCTCGAGGTGTCGGAGGAGACCCATGAACGAAAGGAGCTCATCGTAGTCGGTACAGCCATTACCAAGGGTGAGGATGTTGTGGCAAGAGGCTGTATCTATATCTTTGACGTTGTTGATGTTGTGCCCCAGCCGGGCGTTCCGGAAACTGGCCTGAAGCTCAAACTGATTGCGAGAGAGGAAGTGAAAGGGGCGGTGACTTCACTTTCCAAAATAGGATCCCAGGGATTCATGCTTGCAGCTCAAGGCCAGAAATGCATGGTGAGAGGCCTTAAAGAAGACCTATCTATCTTACCAGTAGCATTCATGGACATGAAATACTACGTCAACGTGGCAAAGGAGCTACCTGGAACAGGATTGTGTATACTGGGTGACGCAATGAATGGACTGTGGTTCGTTGGATATTCTGTAAGTGCGGATGACAGACGTTTGTTGAGCGTTATTAAGTGTTATGCAGGAAGAGCCATACAAGCTGCAACTATTTGGACGCGATCAAGCGGGTCTGGAAGTCATGGCTGCAGAATTTCTCCCGGACGGGAAGAATCTATACATCATCGCTGCAGACGCAGATGGAGATTTACATGTCATGCAGTTTGATCCAGAGTCACCCGAATCCGAGAGAGGGACGAAGCTGCTACAAAGAAGCACCTTCCATTCTGGTTCTTTCGTCACAAGCATGACTTTACTACCAAAACACGAGGGGTCATCAGAAGATAGTGAGCCGAGTCCTGCGGCGAATGACTACTCTAGCGATTCTATTAGTAGCGGCAACCGGCAGATTCTATTGACGAGCAGAGAAGGGTCTCTCGGCTTGATCACACCACTCCCCGAGCAAACTTATAGGAGATTATATGCTTTGCAAAATATCCTCACAGCCAACCTTGAGCATCCATTTGGCCTCAATCCCAGAGCCTACAGAGCTGTGGAAACCGATGGGATCGGAGGGGCAGCCATGGTTGATGGTAATTTGGTGCAGAGATGGTTGGATCAGGACAGTTTCCACAAAAACTCCACAGCTGACAAAGTCGGCAGCTCTCTTTGGGAGCTTAACGAGGACCTGAACGAAATCAGTGGTTGTAGTCTGCTTTACCTTTAGATACAGTAGAACCAGCTTAGAAGCTCGACTAACGTTTATTCTTGCCAGACTACACTGTTGCTCTCGCACGGTTTGTGGTTGGAGCCTTGGTGGTGAGTAATCATTCACGTGACCACACCCTGTTGGTGGTACTTTGTTTGGTGGGCCCAGGTGACAATGACCTTGTGAGGGGCATAAGCTTAACAGAGCCGCAAGTGTCCCTGGCGTAGATCCATGCGGGCAATAGCCATGAGATGGTTCAATTGCAATTTCTTGTAGGTGAGCGCTTTCAGCGACCAAGGGGCAGATGAATTTCGAAGAACATGGAGGTGCCTCAGCTCACCTCCGCGATGTTTCTGGGGCATTTTTGATACCCTGAAACCACAGATTGGAAAGGTGTGACTGTTGCAGGATTTGAGAGCTTTCCGGAGATGCTGCGAAGATGATCAACCTCTTTAGATTTTGGCCTCTGTGATTGGTTGATAATCAGTTCCGTGAAGGCTTGGCGTGGTACGCGCCTCAAACTTGGTGTCTGCGCTGCCTGCAAATCTCTGCCGGGTCATCCTCGACCAATCTGCCCAGAATCGAATACTCATGATCAGCATCCTTCTTCACTGAATCCTGTCCTCTAGAAATTTGTTGATGGAACCGAGTGTTTGTAGGATGTTGGGTCTGATTGTGATGCCTTATTTTTAAGCTTGAAGCTGGACGGGGCGGGAAAGTCTTAGCCAGCAGAACACTGACTTGCCTCCACTATTACATTTGCAGACTTTGCAGACTGGCAGCAACAGTTAGCTGTCTGCTACTAGTTATTGCTCTTCACTGAATAAACGTGGTCAAGGCCGGGACTTGCCGGCCGCAGTATACCCAACCACATCCCCTCAACCTTCGAGAAGCAGTAAGTCACCACGCTTGCACAGCAATCACTATGTCTTCCATTGCTGATCGTGACGACGACAGGTCGTCAACTCTTTCCTTAGCCCTGTCTGAGTCCTCGCTCAACCTTTCCGATCCTTCTCCGAATACAATGCCACTCAAAACCAGCTCAAAGCGGACTATCGAGGAAATCGTCGCAGCTGAAGAGTCAGGTGACGATGATTACGACGACAAGGCACCTGGTCCATCCAAAGCACGGTCACAGAGGTCTAGACATCGCAGTAAGCCTGCTAGGAAGAGGCAGCGAAGAAAGTATGGGAGCGGATCCGAAGAAGGCGACGAGGACGAGAACGATAGCCTACTTTCGGGCTCGTATAGCGAGTCGGAGAAGGAAGAGGAGCCAGTCGAGATGAATGAGCATGGCAGGCCAGTAAGGAAAGCCGCCAAGGCCAGGTTTACATATGAGGAGAGCGACGTCGAAGATGATAACGACCTCGCAGGACAAACTTCTGAGACAGACGAGGAAGAACATGCACCTGCTCTGAGGTCGAAGAAGAGCGTCCCAAAGCTCATCGTAAAGCTCAAAACGGGAACTCCCAGGACTACGCCAGCTGCACCGACACGTAATCTCCAAAAAAGGAGTGGCAGTCACAGTAGCAAACAGCCGCCTACACCTACCTCAGCAACTGCACGTGGAACGAGAAGAAGCAGTCGCATCTCTCATGATGAAGAGGAAACACTAATAGGCCTGTCTAACTCTGGCAAACACGCCGAAGTGGTCAGACCTGGATCAAGGGAGCCCGAGGTTCCTGTACGTCAGTTAAGAGGCGGCAAAGGTCTCAAATATCCTTCCAAGAGTACTATCGATGAGGCTTCACAAGAGGACTCCAATCCACACAATCCCGAAGAAGTACTAGAGATAAAAGCATCCCAGCATGAGATCATGGAAAGCGAATCCCAGACACAAGGCGAAGCGGCAGAAGATATGCCAAAGATAATTTCCGATATTCGGGACGCTGCAAAGGAGTCTGGTAGCGAGGAAGCCATAGAGGATGAAGCTCGCTTTGTACCAGAGTCACAGGAGCTTGTTGAAGACGTTGAGCCGGAGGAAGATGATGACGAGGAGCCTATCCCGCGGGGTCGGGCAACCCGTGCCTCTCAGCGCAAAGCGCAATCTCCTGTCAAAGAACTGGCAGAGAGTAGCCACCGACTACGAAGCCGGCAACTTCGTTCCGAGGCTAGCAAGCGACCATCACGAAGCTCCCAACGTAAGGTCAACGAAGAAAGTAGTGATTTCGAACCTGATGTCGACCATGAGAAAGAGGATGAAATGTCAGCATCAGAACAATCAGAAAATTCCCCACCAAAAGTTCAAGACGATTACGAAAGCAGCAACAGCCGTCGATCCCGCCGAATGCAACGTGGCAAGCGGACAACATCGAGGCAGAGTCCAGTCTCTGATGAAGACGAAGACCTCGCAGATGAGCTCGCTGAATTGAAGTCTGGCGGCCGCAAGCGCAGACCAAGACAGCATGAGATTGTGTATGAACCTCGAAGGACTCGTGGCCCGCGAGGCAACGTTGATTACCGCATACTAAGACCAGAACTCAACGTGCCAATCGATGATGCGGAAGAAGATCAGGCCCCGACACCGTCGAGACGCCGCAATGGAGGGGGAGGCGGTGGTGGAGGTTGGCAACGCAGCCTGTTCTCAACTTATGGTCCCTTTGGCGGTGCAGGAGGACCAGTCCCTATTCTGGGAGGACCTGGAGGTATCGGTGCGGCCGGAGGTGCTGATTCGGACAGCAGCGACGAAGAAGTTATGCAACGACCAAAGCCTGTTGGAGGCACTGTTGGAATGACACCTACCTCCGCATTCGGACCTGGATTTGGCTTGTTTCCTGCTGCGCAAGCTTTGAACGCAGATGCAGCACAAGGTACGACAGGAACACCGGCCAACCTTGGAAAAGTCAAGGATAAACAGGCCCTGGCCGATGCTGATCCACTAGGTGTGGACCAAAATGTGACCTTTGAAGGAGTCGGTGGCCTACAGGGGCACATCGATCAGCTGAAAGAGATGGTAGCACTTCCGCTTCTGTATCCTGAAATCTTTATGCGTTTCAAGATCACACCGCCACGAGGAGTTCTGTTCCATGGACCGCCTGGTACAGGAAAGACCTTGCTTGCCAGAGCCCTGGCTTCGAGCGTAAGCTCTCAAGGAAAGAAAGTCACCTTCTACATGCGGAAAGGCGCCGATGCACTGAGCAAATGGGTGGGCGAAGCTGAGAAGCAGCTGCGGATGCTGTTCGAGGAGGCAAGGAGGACACAGCCAAGTATCATCTTCTTCGATGAAATTGATGGTACGCTGATCATATCTGCCCGCGGTCATGGATGCTAACAAGTAGCAGGTCTTGCGCCAGTACGATCCAGCAAGCAAGAGCAGATCCACGCGTCGATCGTATCGACGCTTCTAGCTCTGATGGACGGCATGGATGGTCGTGGTCAGGTAGTGGTAATTGGTGCCACAAACAGACCTGATTCAGTCGACCCAGCGCTGCGTAGACCTGGTCGTTTTGATCGAGAGTTTTACTTTCCGCTACCTAACACGGAAGCTCGGCGTGCTATATTGGATATTCACACCAGAAATTGGGACCCACCACTCGATCCTGCGATTAAAGACGAGCTTGCCAAGTTGACCAAAGGGTATGGTGGTGCGGACCTCAGAGCCCTCTGCACCGAAGCGGCATTGAACGCCGTGCAGCGACGATACCCACAGATCTACAAATCACAACAGAAGCTACTCATTGATCCGAAGTCCATCCAGGTTCTTCCGAAGGATTTTATGATTTCGGTCGAGAAGATTGTTCCTTCATCTGAGCGCTCCGCTTCTTCTGGAGCTTCGCCTTTACCCTCAGGTATCGAGCCATTGTTGCGCAAGCCATTGAACGTTCTTGAAAGGATCGTTGCAGAGATTATGCCGCAGAAGAAAAAGACCACTGCTCTTGAAGAAGCTCAGTATGAGGATGTTGATTCTAGCTTTGGGCGTGATAAAGTACAGCGAGCGTTCGATGGTTCCCGAGTGTTTCGACCAAGGCTGCTCGTGCGAGGACCTACTGGAATGGGTCAGCAATATCTAGCAGCTGCACTTCTCAACCATTTTGAAGGTCTGCACGTTCAGTCCTTCGAGCTTTCTGTTCTTCTCGGCGATTCCGCTAGCTCACCAGAAGCAACTATGGTCAGACTATTCTCCGAAGTGAAGACGCACAAGCCGAGTGTGATTTACATGCCCAACGTCCAAACCTGGTACACGACCCTGGGTCAGCAGGTCATCTCGACTTTTCTTGGTCTGTTACGGTCGTTACACCCCACAGATCCGATTCTGGTGCTAGGCATATTGGAACAAGAGAAGGATGAGGAGCTGGATCAGGATTTCATCAAACAACTCTTTGGCTACTCCAGGCGCAACTCGTTTGCATTGTCATGCCCTGAACAGTCGGCTCGCCGGGAGTATTTCAAGCCTCTTATGCGATTCGTTGCCATGACTCCTCCCGAGTTCCCGGATCCTTTGAACCGGAAGAAACGAGTGATTGAGGAATTGAGGCCAGCTCCACCAGAAGAACCCAAAGCTGCTCCCCCACCCACCAAGGAGGAACTCAAGATACAGAAGAAGCGTGATCGGCATACCTTGAATATGCTGAAGATCCAACTGCAGCCTATCATGGACCAGATCAGGACCAAATATCGTAAGTTCCGGAGCGGTGTTATTGAAGAACACCAGATTCGCTATCTCTATGATGAGGCCGATCCCGGTACTGTCAGCTCTGACCTTCACACTGAACTTCTCGCTCGCGCGTCTTTCCGACCTTATGAGATTGGCAAAGATGCTCACGACGAACCTGGCCTCCTGGAGACCGGCACTGGCAAGTTCTTCTACAACTTGGACACTGTGACAATCGAGAAGCGATTAAGTAATGGGTACTACAAGCGCCCCAAGGATTTCCTAGCGGATGTCAAGCGGCTTGCAAAGGACGCACGCACAATCGGTGACCAAGAGCGGCTTCTCAAGGCCAATGAGCTGCTCACCAATGTCGAGGTGGATATCGAGGGAATCGAGCTAGGTCAAGCGGCCCTGACTGCCGAGTGTGAAAAGGTGTATCAGAGAGAGCTCATCCGAGAGAAGGAGGCACTTGATAAAGCCAAGAAGACCGCCGAGGAGACTGGAAGCATGCGCCCGCCTCCAGTGGTATGTAACGTTCCACATGGTGGCGCATCCGAACCTTCGTCCGTCAATCCCTCCACTGGTCCCATCACACTTGGCGAGCCAGTGAACGACAGACGTATGCTGTTCCAGAATATCATGCCCATTACGCCTTCACGGCCGCCTCATAACAGTGTGACCACGAATGGTATTCGGCCCATGGCCGCAGGAGGGTCGGATCTGAATGGCTCAGGCTCGCATCATACCATCGATGATCATGACGCAGACGCTGAAGGCGATACCCACATGGCCCAGTCTGGGTCTCGACCCAATTCTCACGAACATAGCATGGAGACACAAATGACAAACACCACTAGCGGCTCCTCCTTTGGACCTTCCGCACAGCCTCGGCCACCTCACTCATACACTGCACCGTCTCAGCAGATGCGTCAAGCTTCTGGTATGAGTGCTCCGTTGTCACAAAAGAGCACCGTTACCCCTATGGCAGCAGGATCTCAAGCCGCCGATTACCAGAACAGCGCCTCGACCACGCAGACCACTAGTGGGAAGAAGAATTCTGGTAGCTCGGGGGAGAGAATGGCATCCCAAGAGATAGGACCGAACCTGTACATGTACGACTACATACGGCCACGGACCGAAGCCACCGAAATACCTGACACCCAACGTGAGCATTGCCGCAACATTCTGTCTGGCAGATCAACAGCTAACACCGAGATAGCAGAATTTCAAAATTCCCAGCATCGTCCCATCTCCATCTATCAACCACTGTCCCAACCTAATTCTCAACCAAGCTCTCACACTCACTCCCAACCTCCTCCTGTACCCCCTTTCGATGCAATATCACGGGCGCGCAGTACAAGCATTCACGCCCTCCTGAACGACGATCACTCCCAGCCATCCAGCATCAATTCTCAACCAACCTCGTCTAACGCAACGACAACCAAGCCGCACAGCCCAGTCGACGCCACCCATCATTCTTCGAACAACACCAACAAAACAACCACAGACCATCAGAAGTCTGCACTAGCCATCGACCACGACTTCGTCACCCACCTTCTCGACGATCTCTCGTCCCGAACCACGGGTTGCAGCGTCGAACAGCTTGAACAGGTCAACAGCGTGCTGATGGATACCGTGTGGAGGACGAGGCTGGAGTGGAATCGTAGTCGGGTTGCAGTGTGGGTGGGGGAGACTTTCAACCGGGTGTTGGAAGACATGGAGGATTGCGGGTGGGAGTTTGGGCCCAGCAGTTGGGGGCGAAGGGGGTGAATAGAACTTCCACCAAGACTGAACCAAGCGCAAGCATAGAGTGGCCATCATGTTGATTCCTGTCTGTTTTTTGGTCTTCGCTGGCTGGAAAGAGGATGGACTACGAAATGAGATCATGCATGGGCAACGAGGGAGCACAGGAGAAAACGGAGCAGGCAGGTCAGGCGTTGGTCAATTAAGCCCCATTGCGGTCACTTGTGCAAACCAGGGAAAGGAACAGGTATTTCCTCTTTCTTGTTCTCGGATCACTTAGCGTAGTTGTACCAAAATTTCAGCTTCCGTCTGCCATTGTGGTTGAGAATTGAAGGTCAGCGACATCGTCTTTTGTTAATGCTTCCTGCACCTTCTTAAGTCTGGCATGCTTTCAGGAGTTTACCTCGACCCTCAGCGATTGCAAAAGGCGAGTAGAGTGGCCTAGAACAGGTCTTCTTCCGGGCTGTTTCACCTCATAGCGTAGGCAGGGAAGCAAAAGCTTCTGAGCTTGGCGAATCTCGAAGTATGGAAAGACGAACAAGATACATTCGTTGACTCATTGTACGGTGGTACAGAATGTGCAGGTGTTGGACCAAAAGGACCGTAAACTCACTGGTGTCTGACAGAACAGACAGCAGGCCACATACCAGTATTGTGGTATTATGGTACTGTGGTATTGTGGTGGTATCATCCATAGGGCTGAAAATCCCTTGGGGCCTTGGCATGCACTCTCGACCACCGCGGAAAGCTCCGCTGCAAGTTCCCCAAAAATGGAGTCAAAAATACACCTGTCCTCTGGGTAGATGCAGGACAACATTGGACTCGAAAAAAGGCACCATGATAGCCGCCACACAACTGCGGTAGTCAATTCAGACAGCCAGGCTCTCACTTCCATCACGCTATTTTGAACATACGACCTCTAGCCTGTGTGGGCAGGCATCGTGGAGAAGACCACTCTCCCTCGGCGCTCCTCTCCTCGGCGCATCCCCCATCCTCTCCTCCTCCATCCCCATCACGATGAACTACCTTTCGCTCCTCATCCCTTTCGCCTACCTAGGCATCCTCCTCACCTCGCTCGCCACATTCTCCTCCTTATACCGCAAGCGAAAAGCTCGTTCGTCTTCCCCCCCAACCCTTTCTCCAATCCCCGGAAAATCAAACGAACCAACTAACCATTTCCCTTTCCCCGTTCCAGAAAAATCCCTAAGCCTGTCCCCCTACTTCCCCGCCCACACCGCGCGGGACATCTACCTGTCGCTGCTGCACCTGAGCGACCACGACGGCTCGGCGGCCAAGGTGCCGGACTCGCTCCTCCGCGCCGCCCTGCTCGCGCGCTGCACCGAGGACATCCACCGCATCGTGCACATCCGCACGCGCAAGCAGGCGCTCAACACGCTGCTGAAACGCGGCTGCGTCGGCGACGAGATCTGGCAGCGCCTGTTGCGCGCCGAGGCCGAGCTCGAGCTCGAGGTCAAGGATTGCGTGCAGGAGGTAAGATATATACAAAAAAAACATCGTCCCTTTCCCCCCCTCCTGCTCTCATAAACTCGGCGGCTGTAGCTGAATTTTTTTTCTCTTTTTTTTCTTTTCCCCGTATTGACCCGCGGCTCAGGCAAACGCATTCTCGCCCAACTGGGGGACCACGATCTTCCAATCCGCCAACGAGATGGCGAACAATGACATGTTGAAGCAGCGGCTCGAGGGCATCTTTGCGAGCCTGCCCGCCGAGAAGAGGGAGTGGGAGCGCCGACGCCAGAGGATGAGGGAGGGCTTTTTGAGGGAGTTAGAGGCCGGCGCGGAGAAAGGCACCGCGGCAGAGAGCAGGAAGGAGTCGCTTGCTGCGACGGCGGCGGCTGGGAGGGGGAGTAGTGATGAGGATGCGGTCCTCGTCGAGAAGGGTGGCGAGGCTGCCGCTTCGTCGAATATTGGCGCAGGAGGGGGAGGTGGTGCTGGAGGGGGAGGGAAGGGCAAGAAGAAGAAAGGGAAGAAATAAGTTTGAGATCTTGGTGGGTGGGATGAGGCTGCGGAGAGCAGAGCCTGCATTTACATAACCGTACCTGTGTTCGGCATTCGTGGGCGTGCATGCAGTAGCTGTAAGTAGGACGAATACGGAGTGAGAAAGAGAGAGAGACCATGAGAGATGAGATGAGATTGAAGATCTCTACTATGAGGAGTACAAGCTTCACTCCTTCTTCCTTTCTCTTTCCTACTACGTAGCATACATGATAAGTAGATACCACATCCGTCCTTCCATGCATGTCATCAACCTTCCTCCAGGTATATGCATCGTACCCACCCTCACACTCACACCCACGCCCTGTCTTGCGCTATGCACCGCTTCATTCCTCCTTCCCACCGGCAATAAATCCTGTGCAATCACATCCGAGCGGGGCAGATGCTGCAAGTGGAGCATCCACCACCTGAAGCCTTGATGACCGCCGTCCACGTGCCCGCGATGCAGGTAGGGGACAGTACCAGGCCGGGCGCGGTCAGCACGATCCTCGGGGACGACTGGCGAGGGCATCTCGCTGGCTGTATCCGTTCATCGGGTACTGACCGTCTCTCTGGTGTGGCGTCGCAGTAATATTCTGACTGGGTGTCTAATCGACACATCTCAACCGGGAACGATGATGACCCGTGTGCCACACAGGTGTGTAGCTCTTGCGTGGCGCAGAGGGCATAGTGTGCCCAACGGGGCGACGATGAGAAAAAAATCCTTGTTGCCAAGAAAGCCCTTTCTTAGACCCGCGGGGCCTCATGTCCATTACATGAAGTCCTCACGTACATAAAAAGCTTTTCACTCCTCAACGCGAAAATCCACCGCATCAATATTCACGCCCATATGTGCCGCTATATGTTGCATCCTATTTACCAGACTGCCTGTGTTTTCCTTGGTCAGTCTCTTCAGGAAGACCACCAGAAGATCGGAGAGGACGTCGAGCTGGAATTGCTTCTGGGTCGTCTCGTCCAGTCTTTCAGGGTCCAGTCCCTTAGCCTTCAGAGCGATGATGCGCTGGTCCGTGACGATCTGCAAAATGTTGTTGACCGCCGACAGAGCAGTTCTCATGGTCGACGTCTTCCGCCTGACGCCACGAGATAGCGAGTCGGGTGGGAGGAGATGCGCGAGCTGGATGACGATGATGCGGGTGGTGTCGCTGTCGGGATACTCCTGGAAGAGCTGCACCAGGCCATACAGGGCACAGAGTGTGCCTGGCAGGTCCTGGCTCAGGCAAAAGACGCGGATGATTTGGTTGTGTAGGTCTCGGGAGAATTCTTGTTTGGTGCGGATTAGCTGTGCCTCCGGTAGCTGCGACATCCAGGTGGGCATGCGCTTAAACAAGCGTCGAGCGGTGGGAAAGTCGTCGTATTGAGCAGATCGGCTGGGATCCCATTGCAATTTTGCAGAGTCCCATAGACAGGCGAATGTCTCGAGGTCGGGCTGGACGTGACGTTGCATGTTGAGGTACAGGGACCACACCTTCTCAAGGTTCTTCGCGCGTAAAGCTGCATAGAGCCAATGGTTCCAGATATAGACATTTGGGGCAATCAAGGCTTCTTCGGTCATCACCTTCGTCACATTTTCGGCCAGGTCGAGTTGACAACGACGAGTATAATGAAGTAGTAAAATAGAGAATGTTTCAATGGTAGCGGGGGGTATAGGACGATTGGCATAGCTGACCACGTCTTTGTTCTTCAAGTTCATGGCTCGATTGCGCACGAAGTCGATTCGAGCGTTAACCATAGACCAGGCCATCTGCTCTGCTTGATTCCTAGCTTCATCGGACCCGTCACGTAGCCATGCGCCTACAATGCCGTTCAAATGCTTTGCGTCCGGTTTGATGCCTCGCTCGTACATAAGCTCCACTACCTTAGCAGCGGCATCCACTTGTCCATGGCCGAGAAGTCCCTTGATCCAGAATGCAAAGAAAAACTTATTTTGCAAGAACCGTGGCAGCATCGTCAACGCATTCAGGGAAACCCTGCTGACTTCATCTGCATTGATTGCAGAGGATTGAAACTCTCCTACTTTGCTGGCAAGACGTTGAAACGTGTGAAAAGAGTCATACTCACCACGGTTGATTCTGCGGACCGCCGTATCCTTGAAGACAGCTAGCGCCATATTGGACTGACCGTGCTTGAGCAGCGTGGCTGAGATTTTTTCATAATCCTCCATGTTGACTTCTGTACCAGACTTCTGGCTGAAATGTAGATAAGATGCCCAGGCCTTCTCCAAACAGTTCGCTGTGCCATTTCGTGCCCATGAATCTATCACGGGTACTAGTATACCTGGGTCCGCCAAAGAGCCCTCGAGACATTGCAATGCAATGGTTTCAGCTTCTCCAGGCTGATCATTGTCGCTGTAGAGTTGCACACCGAGCGCCCAAAACTGTTTAGCCACTTGAGCATTACGTCCCAAGGAGTTTCGATTCTCATTCCAGCATTGAATAGCAGTTTCCAGGTATTTCTCCACACGCAGACATTCCAGATAGACCAGGGTTTGCTGCGGAGAAAGGGGTGTAGAAGACTGGGAGAGCATGTCTTTGGCTAATCGAAGCACCTTTTTAGTCCCATATCTGTGAGATAGATCCGCTTGTGTTTGCCACAGTACATCCCAAACCTGGGGAGGCACCGTCGATGGAAAGTTCTGAATATTGTAACAGCATCGTCGATACGATCTCCAAAGCAATATCTTGGTATTCGCGTTCACTACCGGTGTATTCACAGCTTCTTCGAGAACGGAGTTGAAGTTCCGGACATATGCCTGATGTTCATCTGTGTATTGGAGGATGACCTTTGGCGGCGGGTCGCCACCAAAGTCGTCAGCCTCTGAGTCCTGCGCTTCGATCAGCCGGTCGAGCTCTTCGGGATTAAAATCATCGGGATCATGTAACCCTCCTGTCAGGTCCTTGCCCAAAGCTTTAAGCGCCATCTTACGTTCATTAGGCGGCAGCGATTGCATGAATTCGCTGTTCGGTCCAAAGGGCCCTTCTCTTAACACTGCAAGCTCTTTCTCCAAGCTTTCGAGTTGTGACCTCAAATACTCCCCCGTCACCTCCAGTTCTTCTTTGGGGTTTACAGCCACTCTGCTCTTCTTGTTTGTTCCTATCTGCTCAAATTCATGCACCACGACATCATTGTTTTGCTCGTTGTTTTGTTGATTAGCAAGTGGATGCTGCACAACGTCGTCATTTGCTTTTTGGGCGTTCCGGCGCCACAGAACATCGTCGTTTGATTCTGGCGGGTACTGGGGCTGCACAGTATCGCCATTCTGTCTTCTGGCGTACGGGCGCTGCACAATCTCATCGTTTGGTTTCTTGGCGTATTGACGTTGGTGGGCCTGAGCAGGCAGCCAAAGCCTTGGAAAGCATGGACGATGGCCAAGGTGAAGGGCGGAAGGGAAGAACTGTTGGTGCCATCGCCTCGAGTGTTCACATATCCTGCGCATGTATAATTTGCCAGGTGAAGACAACACGTAGGTTCCCTGGTGAGGCTGCTGCTACATACGTAGTACGCACACTGCGAAGAAAAAAAGTTGGAGGAGGGAGCTTCTGCAGATCTGCAATGACCCTTTCCAGTTTAGCGTGGTCCTCCGCGTCTCGAACTTCGCGCGTCGCCAAATCAAAGTGGTTTGCAAGACAGGATGTCAACCACTGATGATGGGTTCCGAGGAGATGTTTACCCAGAAGACATACACGAGGAGACAGCCCATCAGGTAAATTTCTGTTTTTCGGTCTATGTGTATCTGCGGCTGATGACGGGGAACAGAGTTGCTACCTCTACCTCCCTCGGACGGCAGACGGTGGCCAACGCCCATCAAAGAGGCGGAAAACTGCGCATATAGCTACAGACTCCGAGGCTCATGCGGAAATCTTCCCTGCTCTTCTAAGTGGGCAGGAGAATGTGCAACATGCCAAACGCCGTCGGATTACCTTTCAGAAATGCTGGGCAGAGCAAAAGAGCCGAGTTGCTCACTTACTCGAACCAGCAGACAATGCCTTCTTGGGCGAAGTCGTCCAGTTCGTGAAGGAGGCACCCACATTGCCCGATCGAGGGAGACTCCGGACAGGCCTCATATTGTGCGGACCTAAGGCAGGGTCCCAGACAAGCCTGCTAGAACGATGGAATTCAACATATTCGCAGTCTTCTTCTGCGATTGTAGTTAGCCTCAATCCAACCCAGGCTGCCAACTTGATCACAGCACTCAAAAACCTTATCCGTGCAGCTATTACCCAGGTGGATGGTCTGGATGGCTATCAGACATTTTTGAATGAACGCAAGCGCAGAATACCCATGAATTACGATCTTGAGCTGTTACAGGAATTTGTGGCCTCAAGAAGCGTGCAGAGGTGCGTCTTGTACTTGACAGATATCGAGGCGTTCGATATGCTTCTGCTCACGGATCTGATCTCGGTGGTAAGTGCTTGGAAAGATCGTATCCCATTCGTCTTGCTGCTCGGCCTGTCTACTACTGTGGACCTGTTTGAGGCGCGCCTTTCCAGATCCACCATTCGTCTCCTTGATTGCAGACTATTTGATGCATCAGTCAGAGCCGATCCATGCGCCGAGATATATCAAAGTCTTAATGCCATGTCCAATGTGTCCGGTATCTCACTCGGACCTGACGTTAGCAGCATTTTATTCGAAATGTCGAGAGAACAAGACGCGGGCGTTGCCAGCTTCGATCGAGCCATCAAACACACAATCATGTCTCACTTTTTCGCCAACGCGCTCTCGATATTGCTGGAGCCAGATACTGAGGACCTCAATGCCCATCCAGAACTCTGCGAAGCCATCCGCTGCACTGACTCTTTCCGAGCACATGCGGAAGAGATACTCGACAAGGGCGATCTAAAGACTGTCAGAGGTTTGCTTAACGACGATAGACTTCTACTTGGGGCTGCCCGAGAAGCCGTCCGAAATGGAAGAGAGACGATGTCCAGGCACCACGCAGCACTCGAGCTGTTTGAGGCGGTATCTAAAGTGGTCAAGCCGTCAGAGACACCACAAGATTCCTTCTTTATCCAAGTTCAAGCTTTATCTGGATCCTCATTTCTTGACTCTCCTCTATATACAGACCTCATTTCAAAAATCACAATTCTACCCTCCAATGACATGCGCAAGATGCTCGACGCAATCCAGCAACAACACAGCTCTCCCGGACTCGACGCCACCATCCTCCTAGAAAGGCTCGACCACGTAATTCCACCAGACTCCACCAAAGGCCCCCTTCGTACCGCCTACGACCCAAGGCACACCACAACCAGCACCACCGTAACCAACAACAAAGTCTCCCTGTCCAAACACGGTCCCAAACTCTCAGCCAAGGAAACCGAATACACCCGCCTCGTCGACCAAATCACCAACACCCTAACCTCCTACTTCGAGACCCACATTGTAAACCCCGTCACCCTCTTCATGCACGAGGCTTTTGTCTACAATCTCAAATCCCCACTAGCTACCGTCTTCACACCGCGTCCGCGCTATGCTGCAGAGCGTGCGCTCTCGATGCCGTATGACTATCTGGGCTGCGAATGCTGCGAGGGAGATGCCTCGACGAGGGGTGGTGGGCGGGGTCAGATCCTAGCCACGCAGCCACCGACCAGTATCCTGTGGCAGCTGTGGTGTGAGGCTGGCGGGATCGTGAATGTGAGGGATTTGTGGGAGGCGTTTAGGGCTATTGTTATCGATCGTAAAGAGAGGGAAGATGGTGGGAAGGAGGAGGAGGAAGAAAGAGAGGAGGAAATCCAGGGCAACAATGGTGAGAAGGATGTAGCGGAGGAGACTGGGGTGGTAGATGAGAGAATGGCCCTGGCGCTCTTTTATCGCGGTCTGGCTGAGCTGAGGATGATGGGCTTTGTGAAGCCGACGAAGAGAAAAGCGGATTGCTTGGCTAAGACGGCTTGGAGGGGGTTGTGATTATGGAAATAGCACAAATTCAAAGTAAACCAGGATATGTCCAGGAAGAAAAGGGTCTGATTGGGCAGCAATGCCGTGTGTATGCTGTCGTGGCGGGGTATCTCAAGTGGATATCATCAAACGCCTTCGCTTATGCTGCCATTTTGCGTGTCGTGAGGGAGTCAGCTTCTGAAACCTGCTCCTTGAATTGTGTTACGCGTGATCATCTGCGCCAGCAAGCGGAGGAGGGGCGCTGTATCTCGTCACACACGCCCCAAGTTCATCGTCAACCACTGCCAGACGCTACTCATCCTCCCAGAGTGCTGTGCGCTAGACTGCTGTTGCACTCGCGAATTCATATCCCTCACCTCCTGCAACGCCAGCGCCAGTAGCTCCTCCTCCCTCTCCTCTTCCTCGTCCATCCTCGCCTGTCTCGCCTCGACTGCTGTATCCGTCGCATCCGGCGCAGCCCCTACTGCAGATGCAGATGCAGATCCAGCTCCCAGTCCTACATTCGAAGGCTGCCGTTGGAAGATATTGTCCTGTGTCAGCGGCGCGTCACCCTCACTGTACACCGCCGCTTCCCTTCTCCGTTGCCGCACCGCGCGTTCGGCCTGGTTGCTGGACGGGTGGCTTTATGCATTCCTAGTTAAAAATATAACCGGAATCAGCTAAGGCATGGCGACGGAAGATCGAACAACACCGGCCGTGTCTTCACCGTCTGCCATGAACACATCCTCCATGTCGACTTCTGCGGCACGAGCCCGTCAGGCCGTGTTTACGTAGCTGCTTCAGACCTTCGGGCTGGCGGGTGATGATGGTGATGATGGCGGCCATGAACGGGTCGTCCGGTCCGAAGGACTTGGTTTTGAAGAGCTTGATTACTTCTTGGCGGCGGGCGCCGTTCGAGGGTAGAGCGCAGGGGGGAAGGGGTAGTGCTTGAGCCATTTGCTGATGAGGCCGGCGGAGAGGGCGGTTGGGAGGGTTTGGTCAGTAAGAAGTTCGCGGAGGATGCGGAGGGCTACGGTCTCCGAGGGGGGTCGGTTGTGCGGGAGGAGAGGGGAGGACTTGGTGGGGTTGTGTGCTTGCGATGGTGGACCATGTGAGTGGAGGGGGAGAAGGTTGGAGAGACAGTCGACGATGGCGGCGAATGTGGAGGGATCGGACATAAAGTGTTGCCTGATCTCGAGGCTGGCGATCAGACTCGGGTCAGACAGTAGAAACCACAGCGCATGCAGAGCCTGGTCTCTTTTTGTGGAGTGCTTGCTCGCCAGATCACGCAGGAGCAGCTTGCGCGTGGCGTCTTTGATGGATCGCTCGGCTATGATCTTTACGGCGGAGGCGCGTAACTTGTAGCTTGGTGCAGCGACGAGCTTCTTGAGAGTGTTGAGCTTGAGAGCGTCCTCGGCATCCTCACAAGGTCCTTTGCTTGGTTTGTCCTCATGCTTGACTTGGGTGATAGTGCGGATGTATTTTAAATAGTAGGGGATTGCGTTGGCGGCTACCAGTAGACCGCTTGCCAGTACTATACACAGCAGTCTATCGTCAGCATGTAGCGGCATTTCATCTTCCAGAGGTATCTCCTATCACTCATCCATCCTTCAAGATATAGGGAAGCTGGAGACCTGATGCTGGCTTCCCTACGAGTCCGAGTGGATAAGCCTCAGGGATACTGTCCATTGCGGAAGTCTTGCGAAGTCTTGCGAATCCTTGGCGTTACACTCGAATTGCTGGCGCTGTACTAGTACTAGTAGTACAGGGCAGAATCTAGAGTCTTGGTATTCATCACGTCCACCGCTGCTACATCACCAGAGCCAGATCAAATATCTACAATAGAAAAATATGTATTTGCCTTTAACATTAATAGTGTCCTCATCCGTAGTGGGGTAGTGATTCCTGAAGCTATCGAGGCGATGAAATTATTGAATAGACAAAACGAAAGTGTATATAACGTTCGAAGCTCTCATATACCAAAGCATTCGACTTGATTTATTCGACTCAATTTGATTAAATGGAACGCACAGTCCGTATACAGGAATCGACCTGTTCAGTCAATCCACTCCTCCCCTAGCCCAAGCATCACCACTGCTACCTCGCCATTCCTTGGGCAGAGCAGCGCACCCTCGCCGTCAAACCGCCCATTAAGATATGTGTTCAATGCCAGGGGTCAAGTCTTAGATTGCACATAGGGCCAGATGGAGTCGTGAGGGAGCTGGAAAGCCCGATTGATGAGCTGAATCCCTCGGCAGATCAATACGATAAAATCTTTGCCCTTACTGCAGCTCATTCTCAGTTGACCTGACGAGTGCCGCTTTGACAGGTGAGCATAGGTGAGCACGAAAGAACACAAGTAAGCAAAATGAGAAGAGATAGCTTTCTTGTAGTAGCGCTTGACCTGACCTCCCTTATGGTGAGCACTCTTAGAAAGACACATCTATCTTATCATCTCTTTAATCCAGACTCACCGTCAAGCTCAATTGAATAGTTGAAAAGTGCTGTAAGCTTGGATCTCTTCCTGCAGTTGGAATACTACTAGGCCAATGGCCACACGTTGTTGCGACTGCAATTGATTAGCCCTCTCCTCCAGAGATAGATTCTGCAGATAGAATACATTAATTCATCCACTTCATCAAATGGGTCACATGCTACCATAATTGCAATCTTAGAAGCTTATTGATAACTTTTAGGACTTAGGCATGATGGTAAATGATCCTAGAAAGAAAGATCAAGTTCTTAAGAGCAAGAAAAGCCACCATATTCTGTGACCACGATTTAACTCGTCAGAACTGTAAGCCTGATCCTAGAATAAAGTCGGACCTAAGTTTGACCACTGTGCCACGGCTTTGACGCCTGCCTTGTGTAATTATATAGCTGGGGTCCTTCATACTGAGGCTGAGTGTTGCTCGTATGTTGCTGCGAATAAAGGTAGGCGTCGTGATCATTCTCGTATCCTACATGGGTCGAATCGTTGCTCATTGTATCAGGATATGTAGCAGGCGCAGCGGACGCTGAGTAGTCCTGTTGTTCATTTTGTGATAATTGTGAAGCTGGGAATTGTTCATACGCGGCTGGTGAAGAATAATAGAGTTGTCGAGCCTGGAGAATGGGATTGGTTACGGACGTATCAGAATCCGGATATGGCGCATGAGCGTATTGCTGCTGGTGATGAAATCCTCCTTGAACGTTGTTGTGGTAGGATTGTTGCGGATAGCCATCCGCCCTACACCGCATAAGGACCTGGCAATGAAGGAGGTGATGTTATGCTCAAGTTCTCCAACGAAGTCAAGACGCTCTGGGGGGTTGCAGCTGGTGGTATAGGAATTTGCGATGGACCCCCCATTTGCGGGGGGCCAGGCGTAGACATTGTATATGGTTCCTGGTGAAAGTCATGAGATGAATGTGCTCGCGGCTGCTGTTCGTTCCATGGATGCTGAGTCGAGAAGCCAACTTCTGACGGATATCCCAGAGGCTGGAGGTAAATGTTTGCGTCCTGCTGATGAACCGGAATGGCGTACGCTTGGTGAGCTCCCGATGTCGGGACCACAAGAGATGCAGGTGGAGGAGCAAGCGTTTTGAACAGTTCCCCACATTCCGGATTCGTGTGGTCTCTGAGCATTTCGTAAGGCGTTACACCCTTTGCATCAGGCCGGTACAGATCTGCCCCTCTCTCAATAAGGAGACGGAGCCCTTCCACCTCACACATAGAGTCGTAGTCGATCGCCACGTGTAGGGCTGTTCTGTTTTCGTCGTTTGTAGCGTGTATATCTGCTTTATACTCTAGTAAGAGACGGATGATCTCAGTGTCGCACCCCCAAGTTGAAAGTAGCGCCATCTGTAATGGTGGCAAGCCTCCATGATATCGGGCGTTGCTATCTGCGCCGTTCTCCAGCAGAACTCGAATAACATCCAGTTCATGACTAAGATGAGGTTGAAGTGCTTTATGTAAAGGCGTCCAGCCTTCACGGTCCATCGTGTTGGCACCCACTCCGTGATCCAGTAGATACTTGATTACTTCTATATCATCATCGCATGCAGCGAAATGAAGAGCTGTTTCTCCCTTGACATTTCTTGCCGTGATGTCGACCCCCAGCTTATGGAGTCTTTGCACGAGTAAAAGACCAAGGCCACCATCGGCTGCAGCATGAAGCACAGTCCATCCTTGATTTGTCACACCCGAAACATCTGCTCCGTAGTTAAGCATATTAGTCACCGACTCATCATCGCCAGTGTTAGCTGCGCAGTACAGCGGTGTCAGTCCACTGGTAGTCCTAGTATTTACTTCAGCGTTATTTTCGAGAAGAAGACTGACAAGGTCTGGTTGGCCACTGGTAGCGGCAATATGAAGCAGTGTCTCACCGTCCTCGATGGGCTCCTCAAGTGTCTGCCCATCTTCTGGAAAATCGAAAGCATAGACAATCAATGGGGACAACTGGTGGAACATCGTTCGAATTTCATACGCTGTAGGCATAGTTGTATTTGCATTGGCCCCTCGATTCAGGAAAAGTCGAACAATCTCCACGTCACCTCGCTGAGCAGCCAGTAGAATGAGCGGTACTCCAGCCTCTGTGTGAGGAGCTCCTCGGTCCAGCAATAGCTCTACGACGTCAACATGACCCTTGTAGATGGCGTATGTGCAGGGTTGTGTATTCTTTCCGTCCGCTTCTTCAAGATCTACGCTAAGCAAATCCTTGTGATCAAGATATTGCAGGATCGACAAAGAGCCTGTGTATGCGGCAATATGCACAAGAGGCAGTGGCTTGGGTGGCTGGTAGTAATATTCTGAAACTTGCAAAGATCTGTAAGCATCCCACCAGGCATCTCTCTGAGGAGACGAAGACAGAGAGTCGAAAAAGTCCCACCTAAACACTTCATCTTCTGATATAACAGTCTGCAAGTGGTCAATCAGAAAGTTGATGCAATAGTCGAGAAACGGGTACGCTTTCATGCGAGCGTTCAAGAAGGCTCTGAGGACCTCGCCAGTACTTTGGTCTGGGTCAGAAGCTGGGTTGTGGAAGGCATGATCGTCCAAGCACCCGCCATAAAGGTACGCCATTAGAGTGTTGGAAATCTTGGATTGTACAGATTCGTGTTCAATATAGAACATGCTTAATAGGGTTTCGTACTTCAGGCTCCATTGCTTGTTCTGACTTAGAAGCTCGGGAATCGATTCATGAACAAAGGAAACCGTGTTGTCGGTGACGTTGATCTTCAGAAGATCTTCACAATCTTTGATAATTTCGCTCAATGCGTCCACTTTGACCTGGCCCATCGATGAATACGAATCGTCGAGACTGAGAGCTTCAGCTAGCTCACTGAGTTTCAAGGGACGTTGTGCACCATAAATCCAGCGCATGATTGCGGCGCAACGCTGCTTCCAATCATCGGGGATGCTGTTTAGAGCTTGAAGATAGATATCACCAAGGCCTTTGGGACGCCAATTCAGTTGTTGTCTCAGAGTGCTAAGATCTGTTTTCCTTATTTGCTGTGTTTTGTGTTTGATCCATAAAAATGATCGAGGACCTTCGGCAGGGCCATCTGTAAGAACTCTTCTAATGTTGTCGCAGATGAAATCGTCATATCCCCGGTTCCTGGCTAGTTCAGCCACCTTATATTCGATGTACGCTCGCAGACCACTAGGATAGTGTTCGGAATTGGTAAGAAGGAGATAAGGAATATCACTTAGGTCGTCATTTAGCTCTTCAGGCGTGTCTCGGGCAAGGACCATAAGGTTGATGATTGAGGCACCACAAGAGGGTGGCGGGCCTTTATTAGGCATGAAGTGATCTATGAATTTCTTCAACAATAATTCCAATGACTTTTTGTCGCATTTCTCGGTGCCGTCAACTATAACAACCAGTCTTCTGACCGGCAGAACTCTGATCATAAACTGGAAGACTCTCCACAAAGTCTCGAGAACAAACATTTTGTCCTTCTTTTCGCGGTAAGCCTTGAGAAGAATCTCTCGCAAGCCTTGGATCTCTTTTCTCTCTCTGTCCACTTCCTTTTGAGCTCGCCCCGTGGTATCAGGACCCTTATCACGAACCAGCTGATAGAGAAATCCACGTAAGATTCCAACAGCGCTGTTTCGCTCACGATCATCCCCGTCACAGAAGTAATATAGTACAGTGCAGTCCTTCGGGTTTTCACGTTCGAAATGCTTGCTGAGATAAACTGAGAGCATAGTCTTGCCAGAACCTTCTGGGCCACAGAGCCATAAAGGCTGTGGCGGGTTTTTCGGATTATTCCATTGCCTGTAGCATGGTTCGGCTTGAATCCAATCACAGCTGTCCGGCACTTCTATGCCCTTTTCAGTTGTATATCCATTTCGGTCATCTAGAGGATCTCTCAAGAGTAGTGCCTGTTGACATTCGTCCCACTTCTCATGAAATTGTGATGATTGAGTGAGTCCAGGAGCTGCGCTCGATCAGTCAGCGCTTAGAAATACTTTGCACATAATGTTGTGCAGTAAAATGCTTACTTGTGTAGCCTGTTGCTTGTCAGCGATTGAAGGACTCAGATTCTGGCTCAACCCATACTGATATTGATATTTTCGGCCTGCATGTTGCCCTGCTGAACATATCCACCTCCGGACGAGACAGTGGCAGACCAGGCGTAGTCATCGCCATATGTCGGTCCACGGTCCATCGTGACGAGGTACTATGTTAGGAGATTTGTAGTATTTCCGTGCCCCTATCACCTGCTTCAATTCTGCACACGTCGGTAATGACACCAGCTTATTGAATCCATAAGTAGTATCTGATAGCCAGTCTCCGTTTGTGAGCTGTTATCTATGTTCCGCGACGCATTTATGACAGAAACAATGCTGTCTCTGAAAAGAATGGCGATTTGTTGTCGTCCGCGAGAAGCAAAATGGATGGACCACTCCACCAGAGCTCCAGCCTGTGGCTCGGATCAGAGCCTTCCATCTTGAGACATAGGCGAGCCCAGCTTTTCCCGAAAGATAAATTCGCCACATTTGGGACGGGAGCCAATGTAATGGAGTGGAGCAATGGGTACAAGAGCCACTGATGGATTGGTAATCGTGCAGCGCCGAATTAGCTGACTGGTGGCTATCAGGGATGCCATAATCATATTCGGGCGTGACAGGCGATCAATAAATCAGCACCATCAAATGTGTTATTGCTGTCGCTGGTCACCAAATCTGACAATGAAACTTCTAGCAACGTTTCATTATTTTAACAGGGTCGAACTATTCTGATAAAACTAAGTTAGGTCTCTTGGTTTAAGCTGCTGCTTATAAGAGTCTCCTCGCGGGTACGTTGGATTGGCTCCCGGCCAGGATAAACAGTGCGCCAATAAGACAAAGGGGACCGCGGCCGGGGCCTGTCGGGCCGAAAGGCTAAGAGGTTGCCCAGCGTTTGCTGCCTGAATGCTGGGGGAGACCGGGCGAGCAAGGGCGGCATCACCTTACGCCCAGACCGGCGGTGAGCTCGGGCCAGATTTCCATACCTTCGGCTGACATTTTTGGCCTAATTGAATTGCTCGATGCCGAATGCGCTGCAGGGAGTCTCAACCGTATCACGGCTTCATTTACTATGCCGCCTTCCCAGTTGAAGCAATTAAAGGCTTCACTACGGGATCAAGGGCTGGTAGGCCCGCAAAAATCTAAGAAGCAGAAGAAGCTTGCTGCTAAAGATGCAGGGAATAGACAGAAGCGGAGTGCCGCTCTCCACAGCATTCGAGAGCGCTTCAACCCTTTTGAAGTCAAGGCTCCGGCTCGAAAGGAAAAATTTGAGGTCGTGAGCCTGAAAGATGGACGAACGAAGAAAAACGTACAAGGCAGGCCTGGTGTGACAAAGGGACTTGGGGAGGAGCGGCGGAAGGCTACACTTCTCAAGGAGATCCAGAGTCGAAACAAAGTAGGACAAATCGTGGACCGAAGATTTGGAGAGAATGATCCTACAATGACACCAGAGCAGAGGGCAGCAGAGAGATTCGCATGGCAGAGCCAACGTCATCAGAAGAAGAGTTCTATCTTCAATCTTGAAGATGAAGCCGACGAGAATACTCAGCTTACGCATATGGGCCGCTTCTTGACATTTGGCGATCCCGAAACAAAGGACGATTTCAAGGAGGACGGCTTGCCACTGTCTGATGGCGGAAGTCATGGACACATAGAAAGATCGGATCTGGAAGACGACCTTGAAAGGCCAACAAAACGTCGCCGCTTGTCCGAAGACGATGAGAGAGACTTAGGTGATGACAATGAGGATATTAATGGTCTCCAATTACCTGAAAAGAAGAAGTCGAAGCAGGAGGTCATGAAAGAAGTGATTGCCAAGTCGAAGCTTTACAAATACGAGCGACAACAGGCAAAGGAGGATGATGATGATCTGAGAGCCGAGTTGGACAAAGGTCTCCCGGACTTCCTAGAATCAATACGAAATTATCGAAAGCCTTCTCCACCTCCTTCGGCCATAGACAGATCTGCGGCTTCTATTAATCCCGACAGGGCTGCTCTTCTTGCTGGCAGAGATCGCGAGGAGGCTGATCATGAGTATAATGAACGAGTACGACAGATGGCGATGGACAGAAGATCGAAGCCGAGCACACGAACCAAGACAGACGAGGAGAAGGCGGAAGAGGAGGCAGCACGTCTAAGAGACCTGGAGGAAAAGAGATTACTGAGAATGCAAGGAGCGCCAGAAAGCTCAGATGATGAGAACGGGCAAGATATCGAGATACCCGAACACGTTGAGGAGGACGATGCAGAAGCATTTGGACTTGGTCAGTCAAAAAGGCCAAAGGAGAATCTGGACGTGGAGGATGAAGACGAATTTGTTCTTGACAACGACCTTATAGCAAGCGATTCCGAAGCAGATCTTGCGACAGATGACGGAGTGTTGTCAGAAGAAGAACCGCTGCAACTTGAGGACGACGGAGACGATGATTTTATCAATGGGCTTGTTCTGCCGCCAGGTCCAACCTCTCATGAAACCCAATCTTCAAACGATGAATCAAGAGATACTTCCCACAACAGGAACTTATCATTCACATACGCCTGCCCTACAACACATGAGGAGTTCTTAAAGATTTTGCAAGGTACAGATGTGAGCGACGTACCTACTGTTGTTCAAAGAATACGAGCCTTCAACCATCCTAAGTTGAACGCTGGAAACAAGGAAAAGCTGGAGGCCTTCTCTGCCGTTCTTACGCAGCATGTCGCGTACCTAGCCGACCAAGAGCCAGATGCCCCTTTGGCCGTACTTGAAAGTCTGCTTCGTCATCTGCACTCGCTTGCCAAAAGTCATCCTCATGCAGTTGCCACCGCATTCAGGGCTCATCTCAGGGATATTGCTGACAATAGACCTCTCAACCTTCGCGCGATGGATTTTATCATACTGACTGGAATCTCTACTATATTCCCGACGTCTGACCACTTCCACTCTGTTGTCACTCCAGCCGGGCTAACAATTGCGCGCTTCCTGGGTCAAAGTCCGGCAGTAACACTTGCCCATCTCGTGAAGGGTGCATATTGCTGCACGCTTGCTCTTCAATGCCAGAGTCTTTCCCAGAGATATATACCTGAAGTAATGGTCTACATCCAGAAAGCGCTGTCGTCGCTCGGGACTGCTGGCTCGATCAGTGCAGCGTCGATCATCCGAAGTCACCTCCCTGAAATGTCTCCGTTGCGACTCCTCGATGCTGAAGCTGAACCTTTCGCATCGTTGCGTTTCCAGGATCTCTTCGCTAAGCCCCCACCTTCAACCACGGATAACACCTCTGATGATGACGCTCCTGAGGCCACCGTTACCAATAACAAACTCAAAGCGACCCTGATATCTCACTTCCTCACCCTCCTCAACCACGCCGCAGACCTATGGCGCCGTAAATCCGCCTTCCCCGAGATCTTCAAGCCCGCCACCCTCCTCCTCCAAGCCATGCTCTCCCAAAACGATTCCAACCTCCACCCGAGCCTCCTCACCCACCTCCATACTACCCTCCAAACCCTCACCGCCCTAACCACCTCCTTTCTGCACACCCGCCTCCCCCTAACCCTGCACTTCCACCGCCCCCTCGCCATCAAATCCTCAATCCCCAAATTTGAAGAGTCCTACAATCCCGACCACCACCATGACCCGGACCGCGAACGCTCTCAGCTCAACAAGCTGAAAGCCGAACACAAGCGCGAAAGGAAGGGTGCGTTACGCGAACTGAGGAAAGATGCAAATTTCATCGCGAGGGAGCAGTTGCGGGAGAAGAAGGAGCGGGATGCTGCTTACGAGAAGAAGTTTCGGAGGCTGGTGGCGGAGATCCAGAGTGGGGAGGGGCATGAGGGGAAGGTCTTTGAGAGGGAGAAGGCGAGGAGGAGGGCGAGGAAGGGGTGAGAGGCTGCAGGATGGATGGGTGATGATGGGTTTGTGACAGAGAGGGTATTGACGGGAAATGGTCCTGTTGGCTTTCTGTTAGTGTAAGAAGATAGGATCATATGACAGCGGTGTGAGGACACCATCAGCAGTATCTGTGTTGGTGTTCAAATCAAGCCCATCCAGCTCAGCTGTCTAATCATCAGCCTGTCTCCAACCCACAATGGGCTATGAACGACTCCGTCCCGATGCAACGCTAAATGCTAAGCACACCCACCCATCATGCAATCTACAGCACATCACAAAGTACATGCATCGCCTGCAAATGCAAATGCAACATCTAAATCCAAACTTAAGCACTAGTAACCTGTGCAATCACAGCTCATCTCTAGTCGGCAGATGAAAATCCCACGACCTCGGCGGCACCGGCAGCCCCAACCAATAATTCCACAGCCGATTGATCTCCATGATCATGATGGCCCAGGTCTTGAATGGCAGGCTGATCCAGCTGGATAGCACGTATTTGTATGCTCGCCAGACGAGATCGATCTCGGCCCAGAATTCTTGGCTGAAAGATTGTGGCGCTGGTGTTTCATCCTCGTCGGCGAAGTCGTCGTCCGGAAAGTCCTGGAATTCGTCTTGTTGAACAAACATTCTGCGGCCTGGTTGCGTTTCTGGATCTTGACGGGTCTGCTTGGTGGAGATAAGGTAGTTATTGCTGTTGTTGTTCTTGTCCTGATCTTCGGCCTTGATGGCGGCTCGGAAATGCTGGATTGCTGTAAGGCTGTGGGAGATGCGAGCCAGCGTGTTGACGAGGGCGACGAGTTCTGTTCGTCGAAGGTGCGGATTCTCGCCATTTTTGGTCTCGTCGAATTCGAAGAGGACTTTGAGAGCTGCGCCATAGCCTGCTGTCTGGAGTTTGCCCCACAGCCGGCATTTGTCGCAGCCGACACAGTCCATCAGACGAGAGACATTCCGGAAGCGATTGCGAAAATCCTCTTTAAGTTCCAGCATGGCTGGATCTTGAAACATGCGGGATTCGTCGAAAGTGGGAGGCGCAGATGTAATACGACTGATTAGCTCTATGACTCTTTGCTTGGTTTCAAAATCCTGGGCTGGGTCGCCTAAACAAAATGTGTAATGCTCCAAGTGCTTCTGCAGCTTGGCGAGTGCTCGGGTGACCAGGGCATAGTTGAAGTAGAGATTCGAAACCCGCTCGGGATGTTCGTGCAGTCGTTCTTTGTAGCAGTCAAGATTTCGAACCCACTCTCCTGTTGTCTGATTGAAATAGTCCCAGCAGATGTGGGTTGAGATCGAGGCATGCATTCCACTGATGATCCGGTAGAAAGCCCTTTGCTCCAAGCATTGATCGTCTAGCGGATAGGAATCGTCCTCATGACTGATAGGAGATCCCACCTTGTGTCCCTGTATCATACTTCGAAGGTCTTTGGCAGCGTCTAAGGGTGATGGTCTACCAAAGGTCGATAATTGGGGCGGAGGTCGTGAGAAGCAATTTTCTTTGTATATGGCATCCCAGACTTGACGTGCACCAGGTCCAGCATATCCAGTAAACCTTTCTGTGTTGTTCACCAGACTGACATAGTCACCTTTTGCGGCTGCGCCTTCATCTTCAGGAACACAGTAATCCCTCTCATCGCATTCGTCGTCATACTCCACCACACAGCTCTCATCCACACCTTCACCTAGCATACCCTGAAGAGGTCTAGCCTTCGGTCTCTCTTCTTGTTGCTGTCTCCCAGGATGATTTGCATGCAAGCCTTCAAGCTTACTTAACTCTTCCACTCGCCATACAGGAGGTATATCCTCCTCATTCTCCAATGTGTCCACTGCACACGCTCTGTTGCCACACATGGAATTGGCATCTGACCAATATGGACATTCTTTATTGAAGAGGTTTAGTCGGTAGTATGCGAAGAAATCTGTGGACTTGGTAATTGAATCTAAAGACTGGAAAAGATCGGAATTCAGTGACTCTAGCGTTGCATACGAAGCGCACGCATCCGAAACAATTGACTTCGGGTCTATCTGTAGTCATCTATTAGCGATATACTCGACAAGTTCGTGGACAAAAGCACATACTGCGCATACATCTGCAGGACCTGTTTCCACTTCTGCAGGTCTATGCGATCGCGCTGCACTTGGTTGCAACAGAGTGAAGACAGCCAAATAGAACAATGACGCCGCAGAACGCATTGTGAATGTACGAAGAGTGTGAGGAAGGGTGAATAGATGTAGCCGAAGAGGTAGCAGGGAACAAGAATTGAAACAAAGGACAAGGTGGCTTCACAGAAGTACTGCTAAGCCGACTTGGTAAAGAAAATTTCGGTAACTACCAGAGATCGCTTGCAGGAATAGAAAATGGTCAGAGGACCGGAGACGAAAGCAGAAGACTTCCTGAGGTGAATTGTGAATTGTGACTTGTGAAACCGCCCATGCTTCTGAGGAGGATCCAAGTTGGGGAAAAGTGTCAAAGTTCCTAGTTCCTCGTTCCCTGTCACAAAAGGAGGATGTGGCGTCAGGTATGGCTCCTTCTGCATCTGTGGGGCTTCGGGCTGATGCTATTTAGGAATACCGCCTGCAACGGCATTATATAAGCTTGTTCCTGGTTACCGGCAATGCTGGTAATTGAAATCAAGGGCACCACCTTCTGCTAAAGAATCAGGATATGCGGAGAATGGTCACCACAGTCGAAATTGTGTTTTCAAATGTAAGGAGTGTCCAGACCAGGCCTCTTCTAAGCACTGTCATAACACAAAAATGGTGTTCTGGAGGCCACCCCGCAGCTGCTGGTTGCCGCAGGCACCGCGCCGTGAACACCGCACCATCAGAGGTAAACAGTTGACAGTCTTCACTACCTCGCCAGACCCTGTCCTCACTTATCGTTCCCCTTATATTAGCGACGCATGAGCCTTACCCTACCACTTGTTCACGAACAACAACTCCATTTTTCCTTGAAGCGGACAATACTCTCAAACAATCATGTCGCTTCCAGTGGAGGCTACTCCTTGTCCTACCAGCGCTGCTAGCAACGAGCTCCTTGATCTCCGCTCGAACTATTCAGCAATCAACCTAGGCGACAGCAACACCACGTCGGAAATCAGCTTCACAACTGATTCAAAGATCTTTTTCCAAGCTGCAGCAGCCAAACGACCGGCCATTATGAAGAGACCAAGGAGACCAGGCACAGCGGTCGACTTTGCAGTACATCAGGATAAGGGACCAGACAGTCGAGAGCACAACTTAGGCAAATCCAAAAGATCGGTTCCTACCGCAGACAAGTTATCAGTCCTAGCACAACCTGCCCAAAGACTACGTTCAACACTCAGCTTCAATCCACCATACCCAGATCTCGTCCCGTTCCAGACTACGACCACAACGGGCAACTCAGAACAAAGTATGATGGCCACAGACAAAGCGACCAAAGTGCAGCCGGTCGTTAAGAATAGTTTGCAACACGTCCCCATACGTGGAAGCGATGTAAGTATTGAGAGGCGAGCTAGACGCGGAACACTCTACATACCTCCCGAAGACACCACCATGCCAACCGTTTGGATGGGTGTGTTCAGTCCTATCAAAGATGTTGGTTTCGGTGACGAGAATTCAGTTGACGGTGCGTCAACCGATCTGACAGGTATTGTGGCTCAGATGGCAATGAAACGTGGTCCACGACAGTCATCAATCATGGGAGCTCCACAACGTGCACCTCTTCGTCGATCTTCCAGGCCACCGCAGGAGACAACGATCGCTGAAGACATCCCGGGCCGCTTAACCGGAAAGGAAAATCTACCTCCTGGGCATGAATCTACTGGCAACAAAAAGACGAAGAAGATACTGGGTGACTCTTCACAGAAACCTCGCCAGACTTCCAGAAAATCAACATTTGACAACATCAAGAAGTCAAAGCCATATTCTTACGGTGTGGAAACCATGTCTTCCAAGGCCAGCTGCTCACCACAATCTACTCAAACCGGAGAGCTGTACAAGCTTCAGACACAAGTTGGTAGTATCGTCTCAGAGCATGATGTCAACCGCAACTTCGCCCGCCTTCGACTCAATGCAGGAGAACAGGGGGTTGTGCGTATTGCGCGCTCAAATGAGGTGCTGAAAAATTCTCCACAGCTCTCGTCCGCAGATAGGATTGAGAAGCTTTCTACGAAAATCATAGTACCCAAAGTCGTCAAACCCCTGCTTGATCAGAAGTATCCCGTTCTATTCGAGGACATTCAGTCTCTATCCTTGTACAAGAACAACTGGCTGGATCATGAAGAGATTGCCGTCACCCAGCGGATGAATGAGCTGTTTGTTGCTGCTAATGGCCCTGCTGATGTTGGAAATCCTTTCACGAAACGATCGCAGCTATTCGTCATGTACCAAGACCAGTCATTTGTGTTGCTGCACAAGCGTCTTCAAGCATCTCTGCTCTACGGTGCTCTTGCTCTGCCCAAGGAGACATTGATGAAGTCTTCCAGATTATCCGAAGATCTTGGCATGAAACAGCATTTCCTCAATCTCTGGTTGAACACCTACGACCTACAGATTCTCCAAGTCTGTGCAGAAGTTGTCATTGGCCGCGAATACTCTGACAACCCAAAGACCGAGTGTAATGCTCAGGCCAACTCTTGCTCGACCCAGAAGGCTGTGTCCAAGCTGTCACAATTCCTGGAGATATTCCTGATCCGCAATGAAGATGCAACTCCCTCTGACGACGAAAATTCAGATGTAGGCACAACTGGCATCCAACACACTCTCCTCCGCAGCCTGATGCTCATCAAACTCCTGGACACCGCCAAGACCTCCTCCTCGCAGCCCCTATTGTCTGGTTGTCTCTTCCAGCCTTCCTCCCAACACAAGAGCTCCACCGCCGTGATCCAAGCCCTGGCGCAGCTACTCAACCCTGCAGCAGGCAACATCGTCCGATCACTCAACCACCTCAACTACACCGTCAGCCACATTCAGTGCCCCCTTGAAGAATACGACTACCACATCACCAACCTGGCCGTCGATCTCCGTGATGGAGTCCGCCTGACACGTTTAGTTGAGCACCTCCTTTTCCAAACCTCCTCCCAAGCTGCCGGCGAAGAGAAACACTGGCCACTATCAGCACACCTCAAGTTCCCATGCTTGGGCCGCGCGACGAAGCTGTACAATGTCCAGATCGCCCTGGATGCGCTGAAAGGTATCAGCAAGGAACTGGTGGAGGATGTCAAGGCGGATGACATCGTGGACGGGTTTCGCGAGAAGACTGTTGCTCTGTTGTCGGGTCTTGTTGGCAATTGAGGTGTTTTTGGGCGGTGGTTTTTTGGGGAGGAGATAGTTCATGACTCAAACCAAGTTTTATGAGTCTTTTGCGGCATGTATGAAGGGCACCAGGAGTGTACATCAGCATAGCATAGCATAGTCAATTTTAGCTTAAAAAAATGAATCAAAAATTCATTCCAAAGTTTTGATGTATATTTTGATTAATCTGGAGCCCTCCACCTCTACCTCTGCTGTCCTTATACATCCTTACGGTGCAGGATTAGAAGGAGTGGACTCATGCCAGATTAAGTTGTTGAGATATCGTCCTGGTGCTCGTTGTTTTGTTTGGAGCTATGGACTTGTTTATTGTATTTTACATCTGATGAAAAGCGATAGTGTCCGTGGGTGGGCACTGCCATTGCTGATCATCTCAATGTGCATTTCTGGGTGGCTGGGATGATGGGAGGGACCAGGGCACTCCAGCATTCATTCTGCACACTACATGTACTTAGGGTTTCTCAGAATGCTCATTGTGACAGGCGGGAGATGCAGATGTGATGGAGGGGGGCACTGGTTCTACGAGGAGTTTCCAGTTTCGCAAAGTGTTTGGAGGGTATGGAATGGTTGAAGGGGATGGAGGGACGGGTTTTCTACTATTGTTGTTATGTAATTATTGCCAATAAGTTACAACGTGGTTGCCGCTGGGTATGAGGTTCGGATCCCCTGGGATAGATGGGCGGATAAGGACAAAAATTCAAAGCGGGTACCTTGAGCCTGTGGGTGGGGTGCATGCACGGACCATTGAAAGGTGGCTGGCAGACCATAGACAATTGCCATTTTTGCAAGTATGCCTCTTTGATAACCCTTGACCTCTCGGACAAATGATTCATCCGATGCGGGTTTGTGGCAAAGAGATCTTGAGACTCCTAGAAAGACGGGCCCGGGGAGGAACAGAAAACTGGTAAAGTCTAAAAAAGCCATCCATGGCAAACGCTGTTCCGCATGATCCTGTCGGCAAAACAGCACTCGGTCCAGATCAGCCGACAGGATACAGGAAAGATCGTGCATACTACTACGTACGCCGTAATTGGGTTTCTCTCCAAGTCTTTGTCTTCGCTTAGAGAGCCACAGCATGGATGTGTGCTTGTTTGTGGTCACTCACTAGAGGCTCCGCACCAGAGCATTTGTTGGTAAATAATGGAAAATCACGAATGCTGGTTGGCTGCATCCTAATCTGAAGACATCCAACCATCTTTCAGATGCCCAGATAATCAGCCCTGTACGTAGTACTCAACTACAGATCTCGACCCGTCGGAAGCTCTCTGGGCTTCCGGGGTTGTAAAGGTACATACATCTGCATGTACTACGTAGTTTGCAGGTGCGCATCCGGGGATGGATACCGCGGGTTTAGGTTAACGGCTACTTTAGCTTAAAACCTACCAGCATTCGCATCCGGTGCAGATCTTCGCCTTTTGGGGAGGACTTGAGATATCTAATAGGAGTGGATCAGTTGCATTTCGAAAAACAAATGTTCTCAGAGAGCTTATTCGAGGTATCGCAGTAGATGATGACGCTCGAAAGAGAACAAGAAATTATCCGTCGACAACGGCCGGCTGTTCCCTCCTCCGCAGCCGGGGCCTTGTTCTTTGCTCTTCACATGCCTCTCTGGACCAATTCAGCGGCTTGCGCTGCCAAGTCAGTACCGGTGACCATGCAGCTGTGACGTTTCAACGCTATCTAATCTCAAGCAATTTCGAATTGCAAGGGTTCCCAACTTATGAGAGCTGTTCGGTTTCGTAGCGTTGAAAATAGTTGGTTGACTATCGAATTACCATAAGGTTTTGGCTTTTCGTCACCCGCATATATGTATGGGCCGCTGATCCGTAAGGACATGACCACCACACTCTGTTATCCAAACATTGCCCCCCTAACACTCTTCAAGATGGACCTTGGATCTCGACGGTGGATGCGACACGTGTTGATGGATGCTTGGTGGCAGCTAGTGGCACGGCTTCATCTTATGCACTGAGGCAACTCACAGTGACGACGCTAGGCGTGGTCTGGCCACATCTATGGGATAAACCAGACAAGCATAGGTTGTTGATTTTACTCACCAACAAAGGTTCCAAGGGCTTAGTAGACACGGCCGGTGTAGGTATTGAGATGGCAGGTTGTGGAGCGTCTCGGACCTGGCGTCCGGGGCAAGCGCAGCTGACACACAAAGGCCAGGCTAGCTTCCGCGAAGATAATGAAAGAATGGAATGTAAAACATGATTGAAATGTATGTGGGTTTTGTGCAGACACATCGGTCATGAATATGTCGATCTCTTATCAGGAAACGCAATGGTAGGATGGTAGACCAACATTGATCAGTTGGTGCTTTGTGGTCCAATTGCTGGTAGATGGAAAGTACTCCGCAGGCGAGGTGCTGAACTCACCACGATGAATGATAAGAGGTAGCTTGGCATGATAGCATGGTGTTTGTAGCAAAGATTCAAGAGCTGATGGGTACAGATTGGAAAATTGAGGCGCAGGAAATCCACCTCAGCTATGCGAGACGGCGGCAGATTACAGATCTGCGTTGAGTCAAGGGATCTGAATGCTTGCAAAACAATCCTTTCTGCAGAGCTTTGTGCAGCTGGTACGTCAAAGTAGGGACGGGATATGGCTGTAACACGTCTCCAATTGCGTCGCATAAAGTAAGGTATGGTACGGTATAGTATGAAATTGGTTAAGCCAAGAATGATTGGCTGACTGCACCATTCGATTGCTCTGTAACTACTCCTCTGTCATCCCGGAGCATTTTGATTCAGATTGGATGCAATGGTCCGAAAATTTGGTCGTGAGGACTAGCCGTGGCCCAATGGGTGGAGCCCTTACCAGGGCCCCACTTGCAGGGGGGTACCCCCCCTACAAGCCCGCGCGCAGCGCGTGGCTCTCACCATAACGCCCATATCAGCGTAACGCCCATCTTGATTTTCTTCCAAATAGGGTGTATTCTTCTGCGTATAGCTCCACCACAGTATGGCCGATTCGAATGAGGATATAGATGAGCGCGTAGAAAAGGCTGTACAAGAGATTCTTGCAGAACGCGAGGCAGGGGAGTTCCCTGTTGTTGCACAAATTAGATCGGAAGA